TTCCTGAAATTTTTATTCAGTTGATGTGAGAAGACTCCAGCTGATGTCAGAAAATTGGAATGTGTACCGGTGTTTAGTTTTGACGTTAAATAGATCGTGGTACACTCAAACCTTACTATAGCAAACTTTTATTCTACATGAAAGAAGTGCAATGCGTCTGAAGATTCGTTATAAAGGTACATTCCTAACACGATATCATTGCAAGACTATTTTTTATTTGTTTCATTATAACCAATATTTTGTTATATTCGGGTTCGTTGTGTCAAGGTTTGAGTGTATAATGCTTGTGAGTCGCTCGCTTAAAAGGTTGCAATGGTTGCTGTTTGAACACCGATTAGACGTGTCACTTGATATCCTAGTCCATTTGAAGCTAACTATGGACTCGTGCTTCACTCGTGACTGATTACATTTGTGGGTTGAAGAAATTTCAATGATAAAAACAGGATTTGTGATTACAAGATTGATGTTAAGTGCTGCAGTAAAATTTGCATGCGTTGGAGGGCTAACTCCTCTGTGTTAATCCCAGGGAAATGGATCCCTGTGCTTGAACCTTGAAGGATGTGGTTTTAGCTGCCTTGCTTGGCTCTCTTTAAGACCATGAAAAGGGCTCCTATGGGGTAAAAAGATCGCAATCAGTGTTTGTTGATAACTTTATAGCGTACCTGAAAATGTACTAGAGAGACGAGTACCAGAATTCTGGGAAGTGTGGACGTGTGGTAGCGCAGTTGGCGCTGTCCAGTGGCACTAGGTTCAAAGAAAGTGAAGGAAGACAACCACTCGTATGTGGCACGAAGCCACAAGGAAATCCATATGAATTTCCTTATTGCTTCATGCTACGAAGGGGTCTTTGTCTTCCTTCCCTTTTTTAACCCTTTTGCCACCTTGCGGGCTTCTGCAGAAACCATTTGCCGTTACTTCAATCAAAGTGTTCCAATCTTCATGGCAGTGCTTGAAAGTCTTCTAGACATTGCTGCGATGAATCTGCCACATTTGAAATAATCCGTCACTAAAGTGTTTACCATCTCATTTTCATTCAGTATCATGCAGTACAAAAATATCTATTTCGATGCGCTGCTGGTGTGCCACAGCGTTGCATGTTCTCACCATACTACTCAGTGTTCGACACATATTCTACTATTCGTCTACACTAATGCGTATCCATCTACTGAAAACTCTCCGCTGAGTTAAGCTTTTTGATGTTTGCACTATGTGCTGTGATTGGCGAAACATGACTTGCTGTCATTATTTGCATAGGAATCAGTTAAAGCTAAACATATTTGACAGAGATCTGTCTTTACTCGGGGACAACTTTCTGTGGCAATGAAGGGAGAGCTATGGGGGCGGAGCTACTGCACGTGTTCTCCTCCGCGAACTAGTCTGGCTAGACTCACTTTTCGAATGATGGCCGTGTTCGAATAATACCAGAGCATAGAATTTGCCACGTCTGATTACACAGGCATTTGTGAGTGAAATTTGACACAAACTCCTTCAGCGAGTTCTCGGAATAGCTGGAGGGTGATGCGCACTCACCTAAAGGTAAAGACATCATTTTGACTATGAGGTGCACCTAAAATGTGCCGTTTTCATATGTGCAAAGTGCAAAATTGCACTTCATAAAGCAAAAGAAATATTAATATCTCTTTGGTTACATTCAGCGTCTCTTTATGAACGGCATCCTGTGGAAAATGAAGTAATGTTATTCTTTTTATGGTTTTTTTCATAGAAAACGTAGACGCATTTGTGGGACTATACTCTTCCGCGGTGGCGCAGGCTTACTTTGGGACTGTAGTTTTCCCTTCATTGCCACATAGGGTTGTCCCTGAGTATAGCTGGGTAACAGCTATATGAATATAACACACTCTCCAGCCACTTTTACTCTAATAAAAACTGGCCCTGCATTTTGAGGTTCATTTATATTCTTTTATTCAGGGGTGACTGTCCGACTGGCTCTGAAGCTAGCAGCTTTCCTTAAGGGTGTCCCCTCTCCATCGTTCTTTCTGCCGTTGTTGCTGCTGCATTGCTTTCTGCATGGGTTCTACAGACTGTGTACATGCACGCTCGTCGGGGTTCCATTTGAGTGGTTAACGTTTCTATGTGTTGTTTGAACACACCAAGACTGTAAGAATGGCCTTTTGGTGCATCTATCTCTTGTGTCGATGACCCGGGTGGCGTCAAAGTTAATTGGATGGTTTATCTTTCTGCTGTGTTCTGCAGGAGCGTTTCATGCAGCATTGAAGCTACATATGTCCGTTGCGACTACCTTCCGTGTCGATGACCATTGCATCAATTTCGACACTGCCCGGTCGGAAGGTAGCCGCACCAAAAGGCTATTCTTAGAGTCTTGGCGTGTCCAAATAATACCTGGAGATACTAACCGCTCAGCTAGGACTCTGTCAAGTATACATATACACTGTCTGCAGAACCAATGGAGAAAGCAAGGCAGTGACAAGAATGGTGGGAAGAACGATAGTGGTGAGGGGAACATCACTTAGAAAAGCTGCTAGTTTCAAAGCCGGCCAGATAGTCACCCCCTGAAGAAGAAACTGTATGGGTTTCAAGATTTAGGGCCAGATATTTATTTTAATATTAAAAGCTATTGAATAAAAGTGGCTAAAGAGTTTGTTTTGCTCGTATGCAAGTTAATTATTACGAAATTTTACAGTTGTGTTAGACGCACATTTCCCTGATTGGACAGCTGACTTAAAACTTTTACTGTTGTTGCACAACAGTGACCTGTGAACCATGCTCATTAAGTGCAATAAAAAATTCGATTCAATTTTTGTGTCATGTTTGTGCCTTCTTTTTTTTTTTTTTTTTTTACAGGTACCTTACAGGCCCTTGGTTAGGGCATTGAGTAAGGGGGGCTAACAAAGACATGTACAACAAGTAAAAGGGCGAAAGGTGCCAAAACGTAAGCTCAAGACATGAGTAACAAATAAACAAGAAATAAGTAAGAATAAATTGACATCATACATCGTTAACAAAAAACTAGAAAGATGCAGTTCATGGCACGCAGCAGTTAGGAAGTGTACAATACGTGTAAGTAAAATGGCACAGATTGTAGTATAATACACTAGGAAAATCATGAAATCGCTTACAGGAAGTGTGAACAGTTCGTCCTAAGCAAACAAAAATAAAGCACAAAAAAAGTTCATGAAAGTTTGTCATTGCCAATGCAGCTACAACTTCATTTAAGAACATTGTTTTCACACAAGAAGCTAAAAAATGAGCAAATTAAGACAGAATGATTGATAGAATTGACAATATATTAGAGGCACTCTTAGAGCGTGTGTCTGTGCACTTTTGTAATTTGTCCTCCTTTTGCCATGTAATTAGTCCTCCTGTCGCCATTTGTGTACGTTGGGCTAGGTGGTATACATTCATGTTTAAACATTACTTTGAAGCACACCAAGGTGCTGTGTTGTCCACATCCATCTCGTTGGTGTAATTTAAAGTAATTTTTAAACTTTCACCTTAGTTTAAAAATTCTGTGGTCTTTAGCAAGATGAGCTAAGACATTGTCTGCTACCAACCCAAAAGCACGGGTGGTAAAGTAATGTAGCTGTCAAGCTTGTGGAGTTCACTGTTTACATAATGGAGAGGAGAGTGGCATGGGTGTAGAGTTGCATGCAGAGGGCATTCCTCGGACGAATGGAGCGAGTTGCCACATTACACCAAGATGTGCAGTTATCGGCACTGGCACACACAACTCTCCACACCAGAAAGGAAAATACATAGGTGCCATCCTGACAGTTTCAACGACCTCGTGCCCACACTTCATTTACTGCATGCGTCGGGTCAAAGTTTTTCCATAGTTTTAAAGGGGGTCCTGCTACTCTTTTTGAGCTTTGTCAAAAAATGCTGCTGATTGGTAGCAGAGGCCACCAAGAACACGTGAGGCAAATATTATAGCGCAGCGCGCTTGCTGGAATTCACAATAAATTCTCAAGTTGGCTAAAAATCGCTTTCTCTTTTCTCGATCGACAAATGATACTTTATAGTGAAAGATTTTTGCATCTCCGTTCGTACTGCGTGGACGGATTCCAAAAACTTTTGCGCCGATCAGCTCGTTGATTGATTAGTGGGGTTTAACGTCCCAAAACCACCATATGATTATGAGAGACGCCGTAGTGGAGGGCTCCGGAAATTTTGACCACCTGGGGTTCTTTAACGTGCACCCAAATCTGAGTACACGGGCCTACAACATTTCCGCCTCCATCGGAAATGCAGCCGCCACAGCCGGGATTCGAACCCGCCGATAAGCTCGTTAGGCATGAGCTAACTCCTTTAGTGAATGTACCCCACGGCTATAGAAAAGTGTTGCATCACCCCTTTAATTGCTTTGCACATTAGAAGAGCGGCTTTCCATCTTGTCATGTTGACTGAAATAGCAAATTGTGCTAGTGCATATATACTCATCACGATCAGCGCACAAAAAGGACAAACACAAGAAAGTGCACGACCAGTGCTAGTGTCGCGCACTTGTGTTTTTGTCCTTTTTTATGCGCTGATCGTGATGATTATGTTGACTGGTCATGCAATGGTCAGTACAGGTCCACAACAAGGCTAACAATGCACTGAATCTATGCAAAGCAAACTAAAAAGATTCGATGTAATATAGACTGCTGGAACAACCAATGATGTTATCGCAGTACTTAAAAATTTTTCAGAAACATCTGGCCCGCACTACGCAAGTCGCAATCTCGCCTCAGCAAGCGCGCTATTGACAAGGTTCTCGCTGCATTGCTCGCGAAGCACACGCACGCGGCGTTCAAGGCAGTGAAGCATCACCAAGCGCAGCATTTGGAACGGCAACAAGACCTACACAAGAACAACATTAGCGCGGGATTTTGAACTCCGCCAGGTGCTGTCTTTGCGCCATTTCTACGCAAGAACGGCGAAAACGTGCTGCTAATCAAGTTTAGCACGATCACATTACTTCATCTGCCAACACTGGTCAAAACAATTTGTACAAGCCAACAGTAGTTGTAGACTGAAAAGCAAAGTGTTGTGTTAGCGGGTGTTTTAATCGTCCTTTCCTCCGTTGCTTCGGTCAAGAGCCTAAACAATTAATTTTCGCACAACTGCTGCATGTGACTCCGGCATCTTAAGAGCTTCGTTTACAGCCGTGCTTAGCACCAGCGCTGTCGAGATGGCGAAGGTTCAGCGACATGTTTATTCCCTGGTGATGAAGTTTGCAGTAAGTGCGCTAACACTTCCAATCGTGCGTTTGTGTTCTCGTTGTTGCACCCTTAAAACCTCGGTTTCTTAAAGTACATTCTGAAAGCAGGGCCCTCATAAATTAAGTCCTTTTTTTTTTATGGTACTGAAGCCAGATTATGCTTGTGTCGTTTGGGACCCACGTTGAGGGGGGGCAACCGAAAACGGTCCGTTTTATCCTTAATGCTTACCCGAGAAATGTCTCCCGAACAGCGCTCATATCTTACAGTACCAAAGAGCAGTTGTAAGGCTATAATTTATACGATAGCTTTATTCTCCTAACTTTAACATTAGCCTGGAAACTTAGCTAAGGCATGTTTACGCATGTTTACACTCTTAAACGTTGCTTCGCACGTACGAATACGTTCGTGTTTTCTTTCTGTCCTCGTACCGCATATGTATAGGACACATTGGCCCTTGAGGCATTTGTAATAATGATAATCTGGACTTCCATAACTATGCATCTTTCTTCTCATAACCGCAGGTGTGCGCACGGGAGGGGGTGGGGTAAGGGCAGCCCACTCCCCCTCCTTGTCACCTCGAGGGGGGGGGGGGGGGAATGCAAAGTCAACTTCACACACTGGTGGACGCCGCGACTAGTGGGGAGGGGGCAGCTCTGCCTCTATATTGATATATAGGGAGGGGTGCTGCAAAGAACCCTCCACCCCTGAATGCACACATAACCATACAAACAAGCTGACTGTCTCAAAATGCCTATATTTCCCTAGTTACGACTTTCATTACCTTGCTGTCATTTTACTATATTTGTTACACTGTGCTCAATTGCCTCACCACGCTTTTGTCGCTCGCATTTCTTTGCTGCATTTTCTCAATTGCTTTCTGTTGTGCCCCTCTGCTCGCTCTTTCGACCACAGTGTGCCGTAAATAAATGAACATCACGTAAAGCGTGGATTCTATTGCCGCCCGAAATTCGCATCTGTCCACTCGACAGGTCATCGGTGTAGACAAGGCCATGCGGGATACGCTGCGCGGTCAACTCATCAAATTGGCGGAGTGGCCTGAATTTCGACCGTGCACAGTGCAAGTAGACATATTCATATTGCTTTGCATTTCACTTGTCAATACAGCCTGATCTTTCCGTGTGCAATGTCTTCATGCGAAGGTGCAAATTTTTAAATGTATTCAAATAGCAGGGTGCACCCAGGAAGGGTTCAATATTCGTTATGAATATTTGGACGCCATTGTCTGTGTAGCAGTGTTGTACATGTACTCGTATTGATGTTATGTATGGCTCCCAGGACATGCGTTTTTATGTGCAATCGTACACCGCAGGGGTGGTTCCAGCATGGGGTAAGGGAGGAGGGGGGCTCCAGCTCTTCCCTTCTCACAAAATTTCATTTTCCCTCCATTGCCCCCAAAGAGCAAGCATAGTCAAAACACAATGCCTATGTTCCCAGCCTCCCTGCCCCCTCTGAAGCAACTCGCTTGTCGTGGGTGCCCCCCCCCCCGCCCCCTTCAAAAAAATATTCTGGCACCGCCCCTGGAACAATGTAGCGCTGTTCTTTTATTTGTTAAAAGATACAAAACATCAAAGTTAGCAGCCCGATATGACGGCGCTGAGACCTACTGATACAACAGCTTAGAGACGAAGTAGGAGTGATTGTGAGCTTTGACACCTTCAGCTGCTCTTCCCACCCTGCCTTCTGATTTGCAGCGAAGTCTATGAATGTCTGGAAATGCTCGCTGAACCTCCCAGTGTCCAGAACAACATGCTCTGCGTCATCATGCTGGATGTGACTTCGTTCACGAGGTTTGCGTTTACATTCTCTAGTTTTCCGTCACGTAATAAACACTCATGTTCAGGGTTCCTTAACAGTTGCGAGAGAGAGGCGAAAGTTCTTTTGAGCAGCAGTGCCCCCCCCCCCCCCCCACTTTCACTTGTAGAGTCCAAAATATAGCATGCTTCTCACAATAGCCTGCTTTCGTTTTCTGGCTTTCTGGAAGTAAAAATGTGAAGTAAACATTTAGCAAAGCTTCGATTTGGGCTAGTTGGCAAGGCATTGTTATGAAGCTGCGCTGAGTGAAATCCACACAAACGACTAACGAAACATTATGAAAGGTAAAAGTGGGGCGCAGTACATAACAGGGACTGGAGGAGAGAAGAACGACACATGCGCACTTGTGCACTTGTATTCTTTTCTCCTCTAGTTCCTGTTGCGTACAGCGCTTCACTTCTACAATGAACCGCTACCAACTAGCCCCAATGGCTGATTTGCGACTAACGAAACGAGAGAACGGGACACCATATGTTCTGTCCTCTTGTTTCATTACTCGTTTGTGAATTTTGCTAAGCACAACTACATTAGAAGAAAATACACATTTCTTGGGATACAATGCTGGGGGGCCTCGTGTCACCACTGTGGGAATCCTCTGTGGCCACAACCCTTCTCTCTCAAATGTGACAGTAAAGGTCCAAACAAAGGCCGGCAAATTCACAGATGAGTCGACTCACTCATACTCAGATCGGCTTGTGGGTCTGAGTAAGTAATATTTTGGTCCGAGTCCTCGTGAGTCCGATTGAACAACTGCTCAGTGGGTCTGTGTCTGAGTGAGCTCTTAGCACAAAATAGATTTTTTGAGTGGGCTCCACCTTTTATTGCTGACCTATTGGTCCAAGTGATTAAAAATATCGGGTAGACATTGCGCCTCTCTTTTGGGCTGTCAAGGGGAGGGGGGGCATCACGCCATGCCTACCCTTAGGAAATTGCTGTCCTGGAACCAGTCATCGAATTTCATTGTATTGTCAGATTTCGTGATGATGGCATTTTCAGTAAATAAGAGTGGCCGCAGCGGCCGTCCAGGTCAATCCGAGGTGACAATGTTGCAGAATTCAACAGACGTCCGGAATAGCAACCCAGATCTCTGGAAACTTAGGAGGCGGTTAAAAGTTTTAGAAGAGAAGATATTACTCGCCTGTTTGTGCCAAGACACTGCAGAGAACACCTATATAGTTTATTCACAAATTTTAAAGAAAACCAACAAGGCAGTTAAGGGCCGATGACACAATCACCCAACAATTTACAGTTTTCAGTGAAAATACAAGTAGGGGACTTATCGCACTTATACAGATATGAAAAATGGACTCTCAGAGAATACTTCAGTGCAGTATAAGCTCTAAAAGTCACCAGCTACAGTCAAACGTCTTTGTAACGAAGTAGCAGCTTGCGTAAAAATAAGTTAGTTATATAAAAAAATTTGTTGTAAAACTGTATTCCTAAGACGACATACATTGCAAGAGTATTCTTCGTTTACTTTGTTATAACCAATATTTCGTTATATCTGGGTTTGTTATATCGAGGTTTAAGTATAAACCCTGCCTATCGCCGACGACCGCCGTTTTGCCATGCCATGGCGTGTGTGATGTCATGTTCTGTGGAGCAGAACCGTCATCTCCTACTTGAGTTTGAGCCACTCAAATCGTTCAGTTTCAATGCCAAGCTGAAGAAAGCTGAAGTGGCTCGACTGCACATGCCTCTTACCAGAAAACAGAATCGTTGGCCAGAGCGCAGGTACTCGCACAGCAAGCCACTTCTTACGCCATTGCCACCAAGTGCGCTAGTGTTACTAGACTATCAGGCTGCTTGTGTCTTTATAAAGTCATCAAATGAAGCACTCGACCTAACTTTTGCCCGCTTGTTTGTGTATGCATAAGGATTCGCTCCTGTTACACACATTATGATGGAAAATTGGGTGTCACGCCTGTTTCAACCAATAGAAATTACACCCTCTCCCAGCTAAATGGGGACCATAAGTAGCACGAAAAGCAGCGCATGGGTCGACTTAAAGTTGCGTTCACTACCGGAGCCTTGCCCGATGTTAACGCGTACCTTGCAACTGGAGCACACCATGAATTCACTGTACTTTCTGTTGCTGTCAACGCATCCCAAACTCTGGTTGGAGCGCGTTGCGCGGGTTCATCGCCACGTCATGCGGGATCATTGCCGCTCTGCGCAGGAGCCCGTGCGTTCGTCGTGTGTATTAAGAATCTCGTTCCCCGTCACCGTCACGTGATTGCTGAGTGTAAGGAAGAGAGGCCACAGCCTCTTACACAGCCACTTACGCAGGCCTGCATTGATTGATATGTGGGGTTTAACGTCCCAAAACCACCATATGATTATGAGAGGCGCCGTAGTGGAGGGCTCTGGAAATTTCGACCACCTGAGGTTCTTTAACGTGCGCCCAAATCTGAGCACACAAGCCTACAATATTTTCGCCTCTATCGAAAATGCAGCCGTCCCAGCCGGGATTCGATCCCGCGACCTGCGGGTGAGCAGCCGGGTACCTTAGCCACTAGACCGCCGCGGCGGAGCACTTATGCAGGCCTGAACGCTCTAGTTGCGCATGAGCGCATTCTGGGAGTGCTTGGGCCAGATGTTGCGCATGCGCAGTAAGGGTGGCCACACACGCCGGATTGAGCTCGACCATAAGCTGCTTCGCACTTCAAAGTTTGTGACTGTGTTTGTAGCTTCGTACTTCAAACGCAATGTACGAGTTTAAGTAATGGCACTCTTGATATTCAATTACTTGCAGCTGCACAAGTGTGACCAGTTGGCTAGAGAGCCTTCGAGAAGAACAGTGTGCCGACAGAGTGTGCGTGGTGATATATAATGGTGAGTATGATACCACTTACGTTACCCTTGTTTAATATCGCCTTCGCAATCTTTAGTAATGGAAGAATACAATGTTTTTGCACCAAAGCAACACCAGTACCGAGGAAGGACACAACACCTGCGCTGATAGATGGAAAGTGTAAATTGAAGGGCTCGTTTTCTTTGTCAGGCACAATATTAATGAGAAATGACAGACAATAATGCCAGGGTTAGTATAAGGATACTATTGGAAGTACACTCAAACCTCATTATAACGAAGTTGCATCTTATAGGAAAATAAGTTTGTTATATCCGATATTTCCTTATAAGAGTTATTCTTACACTGTATCGATTGCAAGATTATTTTCATTAACTCTGTTACAACTGATATTTCGTTATATCCATGTTCGTTATATAGAGGTCTGAGTGTAAATATAATATAAATGTGTAGCAAGAAACGTGGACGAAAAGATTACTTACCAGCGGCTGGTGGCAAGTTATTTTTTCGTCTACTTTTCTTGCCACGCACTTAAACTGCGATTCTAATAACAACCCCTACACTTTCCCTGGCATTATTGTCTGTTATTTCTGATCAATATTGTGTATAAAACTTGCACTGGCTTTCAACAATTGGTTTACTGCACCCAAACTACAAATTTATGTGGTGATAGTGCCGCACACTGGCATCTCTCGCCAAGAGGCGTCTATAACTTTAACCTTGAAATTTATTACTTGGCATCATAAACGAGGTCAGATGTTTACGCTCGTGAAGCTCACATTCTTTCTTCAGACCGATATGCGAAGCCAACACCCAGCATATTGTACTGAAAGCGTGCTGTGACAACTTTGGATGGTACACAAGGTCACTTGGGACTTTCTTTTCGTTTTCATCATGTCGTACAGGCTACCAGTTGAATATAGTGCAGAGAGAGATAATTTATTCACGGAAAGGCAGAGAAAGTTGTGCCAATCAACACTCGCACGTGCACCACCGCGCATACATAAAATGGTTTTGGTCAGGCCACAGGACAAACGTCTTAGTGAGATGTGGAAAATATTGTTGAATTTCACCGGTGTTCATACTCCTCAATGTAAGCAGGGTTTGTTAACAAACTGCTAGTACCCAACGACACGAATGAATCATTTGCTGCAAGTCATGACAGCATGCATCAAGAACAAGTACACAAAACAGACCAAAAAAAATGTTAACGTGAATGTCAGTGCTTATATCTATTGTCTACTTTTGTTTATGTGCAATCTTTATCCTTAAAAGGACACTTAATCACTTAGCATTCAGAGACGAGAGAATTGTTTTTTTTCTCATCTTCTCAACCCTTGCTACAGGCACTATCTTCTCCTCGCCACTTACACTCGAACCTCATTACAACAAAGTCACACCTGCCATGAAAATACTTCGTTATATCCAAAAATTTCTTATGAAGATATATTTGCAGCACTGTGCTTATGACAAAGCTTTTCTTCATTTACTTTGTTATAATAGATAATTCGTTATATTTGGCTTTGTTATATCAAGGTTTGAGGTTATTTCTTCATAAAACAGGTGGACTATGTCTGAACTAAACAATGATCAGCTTATCAGAATTTCGCTCTTTTCGGCTGCACAGTGTTGTTTCTGCCTGCACAGTTGAAAATGCACAAAACGAAGTGAAATCGGTTGATTCTGTAGGATAGTCATACGAGACAGGACAGAACAGACATGTGTCCTGCTGCGGTGGTCTAGTGGCTGAGGTACTCGGCTGCTGACTCGCAGGTTTTGGGATCGAATCCCGGCTTGTGCGGCTGCATTTTCAATGGAGGCAAAAATACTGTAGGCCAGTGTGCTCAGATTTGGGTACACGTTAAAGAACCTCAGGTGGTCAGAATTTCCGAAGCCCTCCACCGCGGCGGCGTCTCTCGTAATCATATGGTGGTTCTGGGTCGTTAAACCCTATATATTGATCAATCAATCAGAACAGACATGTGACACTATGGCAGAGTAGGGGAGAGTTCACAACTCATACCCCTCATACATGTAGCGATTGCGAGCTTAATTTCATATGATGTCATGTGAACAGGCGGCTGGCATCACAAATTGTGATACAGGAAACTCCTGGAGAGTAGAACACGCACATTCTTTTCATTTGCAGTGGTTGTTTAGTGGTCTATTAATTGAGGCTGTCATGAATGCTCATATCTAACTAGCCAATCAGTATGTCTTAATCAGTTAATCGGCAATATTGTGGGGCATTAGCTGAATCTTTTCAGGACTGCTAATACATAATGACCAAAACTAAAAGACACAGAACTATTGATTTTCATGTCCATTATCTGTTTCATTTTGTGTTTTATCTGTTCATACACCTGTGTTTATCACTTTCCTTTGTTGTAGTGTTATATCTTTCTTTTTTTTTCAGTGCTTTGGCCGTTTGCTCTGTCTGTGTTACATCTTTGGTTTACTTTTCTGTCCTCATAAACTGTCTATTTTTCAGTTCTATTCTTATTTATTTCTGCATATAGAAGAGTTTCGTTTTTTCGTAAATGTTTCTCCACACATTCCTTTGTCATTAATGTCTTCGCTGGTTGTTTTCCTTTTACATCGCATTCATTTATAAATAGTTATAAAATACTTATAACGTATGCTTTAGAGGAACAACAATCTACCAGATGAGTTGTACATCAAGGTTTCGCCATTGTGACAGTTTCACATCAAATGACGTGCATTGTAATGTATTCGCATTGAGCGCAATGCGAGCGACTCACGGAAAAACAGGACAGGATCGATGGAGGAGGAAATGTTGTAGGCCTGTGTGCTCAGATTTGTGTGCACGTTAAAGAACCCCAGGTGGTCGAAATTTCCGGAGCCCTTCACAACGGCGTCTTTCATAATCATATGGTGGTTTTGGGACGTTATACCCCACATTCAATCAATATCAATCAATCAAAACAGGACAGAAGAGTGCACATCTATTGTACTGTCCTATTTTCTCGTCAGTCATTCGTGCATTTTGCTTAGTGCTACCATATTACAATAAATATTACTGTAATTCTGGGATACTGCTGGACAAAAACTGCACTTAAAACTTGCTGGAAAAAAAAAAGTTTTTGCCATACCTAGAGTTTACTATGCATGGCGAAATTTCCGCAAATATGCTGTCATTACAGTAAATCTTGAAATGCACATTTTGCGAAAAATAAGCACGTATGTTGTTCCTTTAATTTAGCTCTCGAATATGCACTCTTTTTTATGAGGATATGTCCACATAAGCTCGAGAATCACAATTCTGCATTGCTTGGATTTCATTTTTATTGCTCATTTTTCTAAGTAAAATGTAAAGTACTTGTGTTGTCACATTCATTACTACTTTATTACCTGAGTATTCATCTTTCCCCCTCAATATATTTTGTCACGTACGAATTTTCATACGCATTCTGTGAAACGTATCACTTCTTGAGTGCTAACGCTCTTCTGTTGTTTTTTTCAAAAAGTCGGGTCTTGTTCAAGGGCAGATTGTCCTTTTTTCTGCCTTCCATACCAATTTACATCTTTTTTAACGTGCGTACGATGTATCTATGTGTACAGGACGATGCGTTCACACGTACATGTGTACGACGAAAATGACAGTGGTGAAATAAGCTCAAAAGTTTTCTGAAGACCTTTTGATTTTTTACAGCCCACAAGGTTTCCCAGCACGCCTGCCATCCAGATTACATAAAAAATCTGCGGAAGCAGCTGCCACAGATAACGTGCCTGTTTCACGGACCCGATGAGGTAGCTATGCATTGTAGTAGTGAAAAAATTTGCGCTTTTGTCAGAACATCAGTTCGTCGTGGAAAAAAAGTGCGATGCAACGCGAAACTCCGTGATGTACCTTCGAAGCGTGATTTTTGTCACTACTGCAAAGTCCAGCTGCGGTGGAGTATTGCATTTCACAAGGAAGCCTAGTCTTGCATAGTCTAAACGACTTGCAAAACCTTCCGAGGTAGCTTTCCTGCAGCATAAAAGTTTCAGCACTGTGGCAGTGCATTGCATCCTCACTTCAATTGTTACATGCAGTGCAATGTATAGAGTGTTTTTCGATGGCCAGACTAGAGGTAGGGTAGATGCAATGCGCATTCTCATTTACACGCATATCCATGGCGACACAGGTGAAATGCTGTAGTGCACGAATTTTCCTGGCTCACGTTGCAATTTCAGTGCACTTTAAAGAATGCCAGATGGTCAAAATTTTTGGAGCTCTCCACATGGCATCTCCTGTAATCACATTACGGTTCTAGCACGTAAAACCCCTAATAAAAATAATATTGTGATTATTACTGTGGTTATTATTATTTGTAGTGCAGGTAAGCTGCCCCGTAGTTCTTGCAGTGCATGTGTAGATTAATGGAGCTCCCGTGCGAGACGACATTTCAGGCATGAGCAGAAACGTCGCCAAATGCTTGCAGAAATAGCTGCTCTCCAGTCGTGGAACTTGAAAAAAGACTCCTTCGTTTTCACTTGCCGGGAGTGATGTTCGATAAAAGTTTCTCTGTCACGCGAGTTCTGAAACCCCTCGCAGGATTTATGGATGGGAATTCACTGCTGAGCAATTTAGAAACGCCTTCTCTTGAAAGGAGCTTTGACTCCAACACTGAAGCCTTGTTTGCAGAGATAGTATGCCAATTAAGAGTAACCCTATGTGTTTCGATTGGCACACGTATTGAAGAACTCTGGGTTGTTTAAAATAACCGAGAGTCCCTCTTGTAGCATGCCGATTAACATGTTAATTCTGGCGCTTAAATCTCCAGAATCTGATATTTGATGTAAAACATTTCAGCGAAAGCAGCAAAAGGCATTAAAAAATTTAAGGAAAATAATGTGTTACAAATTAATGTGTGTTTATCACATAACATGAAGAGACAACTCGCTGAAGTTTCCATAGTTCTGCACTGGTCAAATCTGTCATGTTTAGTTGCTGCGAGTTCAACATGGGAGACAGCGAAAGATGCGAAATTACCGCTGTCCACTTTAAGAACGTAACTGTACTCAGTAGCAATGCAAAAAAAAAAAAAAATGTTGGCACTGCAAAAAGAACAGTGCCCGCCTTTCACCCGAGAAAGGCAGTTGTGCTAGCTGATTCCTTTTCAAACCACAAGTACTTTTTTTCGGTTAACTTAGATAGTGCACACACCAAGAGATAACGGTTTGTCGTTAATACCTAAGACATTATGTTTCGTTGAGCAGTGATGTCAAAATCCTCGATGAAATGTACTAGGACGTTCAAGTTTCTGACATTATATGCATTATGTATAAATTATATACATTATATGCATGTGTGCTTGTATTTACAGATGCATAACTGCATTTCTTTTGTTGTCGGCCTATTTTCTGTTTTCGGTCGCGCAAAATATGCAACCCGGTTGCACTTACCACCTGTTCCACGAATTTCATTGTACCATATCATGTGTTGCTCAACTTCCCACCTTACAAAATTCCAAGCAAGGATTGTAGTATTTATAAATAAATTAAATAAATAAGTCTAGCAACACTGAGGTACGTCGGTACGTCAAAGCCAACTTACTGAAATATTTGAAAGTACTTGACGTCAGGAAAATGGGTAATTGCAGTTGAATAGGGCACTTATGTAAATGCTCGGTAGGAAGGACATTGATAACTGTGGGTAAGGCTGACATTTTTTTTCTAGGATGTCACGGAGTAATAATTTAAACCTCGGTCTTGACAATATACTTTTGTGACGAATTCTCTGGTATACCAAAATAATTTTCCTGTAACATGCAACTTTGTTATAGTGAGATTTGAGTGTGGTTGTTTTGTGGTGCCAAACACATGAGGCTAGGAACAAGACGGTGCTAGCCGAATCTTCATCAGCTTGTCAATCTCTTCTTGCACGTCCAGGACAAATGGCAGTCTCTTGTCTCGTCTGTTCTGCGGTGGGGCGAAATAGCCTTTGGACTTCGCGGAAGCGTGACAATGCAGTACCTGCAGAGTGTCATTCGACACACTTCAAGCAGCGCGGAGACAAGTCATCATGTGCTCATTAAAAAGTGATTGCAGGGCATCTCGTTTAATGTGTGTGCTTGAAACATTGCGCCGTGCATCGCAAGTGATCGTTATCACTGTAAAGCTCGTTTCGCCGCACTTTGAAGATGTCTCGAAAGAATAACGGGCCAGCCGTATCTTGTCATTATGCTTGCATTTTCTCATGCTTTTGTCGTCCGATTTATTAATTACTATTCGAGGCTATATAAGGCCTGTGGATTAAGTTTATAACTAATAGGGTTGTGCCATTACGTAGTATTAACTGCCTAATGACATCCTTAACCATTAGTGCCTGATTCGCTCTTGTATTCTTTGTAGTGAACATACCAATAGCTCATGGAAAATATGTGTCAGCAACTTTTCTGGTAAGATGTTACAGTGTAACAGCAGAAAACTTGATAAACAAAAAGACGAGCAAGATTTTGTAAACTGTTTTATTAAAGTAATGAAATTTAACTTGCACCTCATGACTTTGGGAGAGTGATGATGGGACAGTAGGTTGAAGGTGATTGAACTAGGCAGTGGGACCTGAAATGATATTAGAAGCATAATTAGTGATGACAATAAATGTCTTAGCAGACAATGCTCAAATGCTTTTAAGTTCTTTAGGTATTGCTAGGCCACCTTTTCGTTACTGCACTGAAAACGCTGCTCATTCCACAAAGAAATGCTTGGTGATGGAGGGGAGGAAATTTGCCGAAAAAAGTGCAGGTGGCAATAGGTGGCTCGCGGTTCCCGCAGCAACTCAGTGAGGTGCCATATTTGGCCACGAAAGGTAGTGCCTACGTCACACTTTTAATCCGTATATTTACATTGTTCAAACCCACCAGAGATATAAGGAGACACTTAACAGAAACAGAACTCTCTTTCATATTAGTGAATTACTCTTCCGCGATACCAAGAACTCCCACCCTTCTTGCTTCTAGAAGATGCTTGATAAGCGAAAAAATGAGCTTAGAAGAAATGCAGATTCCAAAGCCATCTTGATGTTCCTAGAGTCGCTGTGTGCGCAACCTTTATGTAGCAGAGTAGCGCATCAGTTTTCCAACGCCGGTAGCAACCACGCACTGCAGAGAAGCTGGCGCATAGGCCACACTGCCTAAAGCTGTAGCCATTCGCCTGGAATCTATAAAGTGACCGTTGTGCACTCTGTAGCTTGTTAGCTACGAGCTGGTGCTTTTATTTGTTTTACATTCATGTCCTCAAGCTTCAACAGCAAAGTATTTGCGTGGATACGGCACTATTTTCGAAAAACATGTTGAAATAATCAGTGCTGTAGGCTTATTGGGGTGCTCCTTGAATCTTGGAGGACCTATATTTTGTGTTTATGTGTTTGTGAGTTGTTGCTTACCTCCCATAGCTGGCGCCACTAGGCCATGCGGCGGTGGCAGTGCATGTTATTAGGCACAACGCTACCCCTTTGCGTTTTCTGTTACTGAACAGACTAAAAAAAATGCTTTTGAACTCCCATGCCACAGTCTCGAAAGCAAGTGTTTCTTCTTTCTTCGCCGGTTGTTGACACGTCACGCACGTTGACTGGTGATCGGCAACATGCTTCGGCGATCAGCGAGAGGCTTAAGCAATTCGCCTGCAAAAGCACAGCGCAGCTTCGCCGCATAACTATGGTTGCTAACCAGACAAGATGGCGAATCTGTGCACTACTCTGCTCCCTTAGGAAGCATATACAGCGATTGTAGATGTTCCCACGCCAGTAGCCATGTCATACATGTTGATGGCGTTTACTAGGGCCGACATAGTTCTCAACCGGTAATTATAGTGTACATTGTCTTCTCAGGGAGCCTGGGGCTTAACATACGAAGTTTCAGGAAATTTCATTTGGCCAGTGCGACCAACACAAATAAAGAAGGAAAAAAAAAACCTCCTAAATTTATGGTGTCGCCATTGAAGATTTCGACAGGGAATTTGAAAGCGAAGGTCTTGACACCACTTTCTTGTGGGCTAATAGACATGCGATGGGGAAATATCCAACACTAGAGTTTCTAGAGTACAACTATCACCCTCACTACGCCTACCGCAGGGCAAAGGTCTTTCCCATGTTCCCCCAGTCAACCCGATCTTGTGCTTCCTGATGCCATGTTATACCAGCAAACTTCGTAATCTCATCTGCCTATCTAATTCTCTGTCTCCCTCTCGTGCATTATCCTTCTCTTGGAATCCAATCAGTTACCCTTAATGACCAGCGGTTGTCCTGCCTACGTGCTACGTGCCCAGTCCATTTCTTCTCTTCTTGTCTCTCAAGGTTACACCTACCATTTTTCTTTCCATTGCTCGCTGCGTCGTTCTCAATTTAAGCTGAACCCTCTTTGTAAGCCCACAAGGTTCTGCTCTATAGGTAAGATGCAGCTGTTATATACCTTTCTCTTGAGGAACAATGGTACACTACCATTCATGATTTGAGGATGCTTGCCGAATTTGTTCAACCCTGTCCTTATTCTAGTTATTTCACTCTCAATGTTCAGCTCCATCATTACTGCCTGTCCTAAGTAGACATATTCCTTTCCTAGAGTACAATACAGCAGTCTAAACTAATTTATTGCTTCACTTTAGTGTTTCTTTGATGTCATAAGTTTCAAAGAAAATTCTTTTGAGCTCTGCCATTGAGACAGTGTAGTTATGGCAGGAAATCCCAAAATTAAATTTTGGACCCCATTGTCTTATCCAATAACCAACTCGCAATGACACTTAAACTGTAGCGTTCTTACAGTAAGTTACGAGTATAAATGAATTAACTTGGCAGTCCGAACATAGTACTTGCCGTTGTGTCTCTTGAGCAAGTGATGCTCAAAAGCTTTCAAGCAAGAAATTTATGCTGTTTATGTTTGCACTTCCCAACCTCTGAAGCTCTGTAAACCACTGTAATAGATGTCCTCGAAAACAACGAAGCTGTAAGCAATTGGCGGTCGGTTGTGCTGTCCATTGGTGGGCTGACTGTATGCAAAGTAGGCAATTACAATTGCCTCTCATTAACCACCCAGCCCACCTGCCACAGCAGCTAAGGTGTTTCTCCACTAAGTTCAAGGATTTGGGCGAGATTCCCAGGATGGGGACGACACCCATGGACGTTCTTGTAGTTAGATTTAAAATGTACTTCAAGAAACCACAGGCAGTCAAAATCAATCAGAAGTCCACACTATGTCTCAATACTGTATTGCACTTTTAGCTAGTAAAATAAAATTCAGCGATGAAAGGGCCTTTTCACTTTCTAGAGCATATCTTGGAGCAGGAATATTACTGCTCAGGAGCAGCCATAAGTCCTTTCGGAGCAGAAAAAAAAATGCTAGTTTAAGGCAGGTATTGGTGTTTTAGGAGCAGATATTAAATTTGCTATACCTCAACTGGAGTGTGAGAAAACATCTCATAAATATTTATCTTTCGTGTTAAATATATTTTACAGGCAACAATCAATGTAAATTTCATGTAGCAAACAATGGCAGGTTGTCGAAAATTGCTGTGAAATGAGGTACAATGCAAAATACTAGTATTTGTGGCATAGATCAAGTCAAACCGGAAAAACTGAGCACCACATTTGAGAAGCAACCACAGTCCCATATAACTGCTGTTAAATAAACAGTAGATCGTCGGTGTGAGATAAAAGCAGTCTTGCCCATTTTTGTATTTCACCGCATTAGCCTGCATGTCTAGCTGACGAAAAAAAAAACCAGCCAAATGAGCTATGTGATTAATATGCCAATTCATGTCACACAAGTGAAATTGGAACCGATAATGCTGCACACTAGCAGCATGCTGCGATGATAGCACAGATTTTTTTTCTGCTTTTTTAGGACTTATGAGTTGGTCAAACAGTAAAAGTTCGTCATTCTCATTATCTCAGAGTCATTTCGGAGCAGATTTGGAGCAATTGCTAAGAAATACTACTGTTTGGAGAACCATAGAGCCGCAATTCTCTATTGGAGTAGCACTTTCATCACTGAAAATGAATGCTCAAAATAAATAACATGAAACGAATACTCAGATGCAGCATGTACTGACCTTCGTACCAATCGCATCTCGCCTGTTGGAACAACAAGTTCAGGGGAGGCGAGGGGTACCTCGGATCGCATCAGGTACCTGTGGATCGTGGCCATTCCTGGAAAGTGGTTGGCACTCCAACTTCACAGAGGCTTCCTTAGTGGACGCAGTCAAGTACACTACGCAAGGTGCCGCAGGAGGAGCCGGTGGCATGTCCGAGCCGCTAGCAGGAGCCGGTGGCATGTCCGAAGGCTGGGTGTGCAAACACGAACGCCGTCGACCTGTGTAGGAATCTAAATCCGACGGTGGTATATGGACGGCCGCTGCAACATCGATGCTGCCACCGCTGCTTGGATTTTGCCACTTGACCTTTCTCTTAATAGGCTGAGGGGTCACTTGTGACAGTTCCATACCGCCTTCGTCGCTGGGATCTGAATCCGATGATTCTAACTTGATGGCAATGGGGCAGGCAACGTGAACACTACTACTGCTCCCTGGATCTTCCTGCTTGATCTCTGTCTTAATTCGTTCATCAGTCACTGACGATGGTTCTGCATTGGCAATGGGTTCTAAACTGGAACTTGAGGACTGTTGTTTGATAGCTCCAACAACTCTGAGAAAGAAAGTATGAAAAAGTGTTCAAAAATCAATACCTGGAACAAATGCAATGTACGAAATTCATCTGCTCTAGCTTATCATGCATTACCTACACTTGCATGTAAATTGAAGCTTCAATTAACTTTCTCTGTGCTTTTCCTATGCCTTCATAATTTGGTGGTTACATAAGGTTGCAATTAACAAAAATTAGGCTGCTTCATTCTATTTCCTGTCGTTCACTACATGTACTAGTACTTATGCATTCATTAGTTTCGTACCTGAACTGATGCGGTCGAGGCCAAGTTTTTTTTTTAATTTCGCAATACAGTGAGTAAGACATTATGATGAAAAATCATGAATTAAAGACATGAGTTTTTCTGCATTCAAGATTCAACAGCACGTATTTTATAGAATAAATGAGGGAATATTGTTCAATTTTACAACTAGCGATGAAGCTATTAGAATGTATATTCATTCTACATTTCTGTAGTCAATTAAGAGCTGGGTAATTTGTAATCATACATGTGTAAGCATTTATAATGCCACTGATTATTCATCCTCAGAGAGTTCTACAATGATCACCGAGATCTAAGGGACCCCGAAACTTATTTTTTTAAAGCTTTGTCAGAGTTTACGCTAGGGCACCAAATAATCTGTGCCACAAATTTAGGGACACACCAGGTACCAAGGCCGCTACGGAAAATTATGTCTATACCCTCCTTCTCACCCCTGCCTTGCTTCCTCAACTCACGAGACACGCTGGCACCTTTGGTGATCATAATGTGCACCGGACGGTTCGAGCTTCACCCAGTCATTGCCTCCGAGATCGCCCAATGCGCCTGTCGGCATGCACGCCACACGAAGATGACAGAGTGGTTGACATCAGCTCCGACAGGTGCCACCACACTACCAGCCAATTTTATTTGATTTTCCTGCATAGCAACAACCTGCAAAGGCATGCAAATGAACAAAAAGAATTTGAAGACAATCACCCATGAGCGTAAACTCAGGCGATGCGGCCGAGTCTTCAGGGGTCAAGTTACAGCGGCAGACGCGTGGATTATAGCGTTTCACCAAATAGCGAGAGCGCGACACTCATTGCTGCGATGGGCTAAATCGATCCCACTCGCTAGATGCCTCACAAACATTGCACTACGTTGCACCTTTGAAGGTCATCGATTGCTCAGTATGCGGTACATAACACAGCTAAGGCAATTCATTGTGTCCGAGAAGAGAAACTTTGAGGTAAACACTCCCGCTCAGCTCATGTCAACACGGAGCAAGCTGTAAGACAAGCAGACGACGCTCGCTGCCCTCGGCAGGTTCCATGATGTAGACTGAAATATCAAACAAGATCGGTCACTAGATGTTATGCCTACTGGAATGATTCTACGTGTAAAAGGTTTGAAAAGCTGAAAACTAGATTGGCTGAGCCGCTGCGATCTGGAGCGATTCAAATGTTTAGTCTTGTAAGAATTACAAGTTGATTCAGAGGATTTAAATCAATCTTAAAATGATCCTTAGGACTTGCTTTACCAGCTCAATACATTTATAAGAAATCTTCAAAACTGTTTCAGGGTCTCATTTAACGTGTTAAGGCTCCACGTGGTATTTGTTTTTTGTTTTTAAATTGAAAAAAAAAAAACATTTTTTGTACTGGCAGCTTAGTTCAAACAGGAACAGAACTAAGCTTTTTGCGCTTAGTTTTGAGCCAGTAACTAGTAGCTGCAATTGCATGCGAAATGCTGCAAAGGGGCGCAACTGATGCTAAGTCTGTAATAACTAATTGAATCACAACTTTTATTTAATACAGAAGAACAATGAAGTACAGTATTGACACTTACGATAAGGCAGCTGAATGTAGACTTAATTAACCACTTTTTGTTTACTTTAGCTATAGTGATAAATGTCTCAAGCACGCACAACACACAAAGACACACAAAACCTGTACACTCTGACAGGATGCAAATACCATGTTTACATCCAGCCAACTGAAAAAAAAAAAAAAAAAAAAACACCAGGCCTGTTCGGAAGGCACAGCACAATCACATCGAAGGCTAGAAGAGCGGCCTTTCAGAGCCTTTTCAGAACACTCATTTGATAGCTGCTGCAAGCACACTTGCTGGATACCCACAAGGGCATTAATAATAAATTTTTTGGGGTAGTAGGCCGGAATTCGCTATGTTATGTTTCGGCCCCGCCACTGTGGTCTAGTAGCTAAGGTACTCGGCTGCTGACCCGCAGGTCGCGGGTTCGTATACCGGCTGCGGCGGCTGCATTTCCGATGAAGGCGGGAATGTTGTAGGCCCGTGTGCTCAGATTTGTGTGCACGTTAAAGAACCCCAGGTGGTCGAAATTTCCGGAGCCCTCCACTATGGCGTCTCTCATAATCATATGGTGGTTTTGGGACGTTAAACCCCACATACCAACCTATGCTATGTTTCGTCATTCTTCTGAGAAGCGCGGTATCGGCTAAACACTTGCAAGGAAATTCGTGCCAATTGTTCATGCAGTGGCTGACGAGGATGAGGAATTATGGCTGAAGTGGCTATGCGCCACAGTTAATATGGGAACAAGAACAAGCTTTTGTAATGGGTTGGAGCATTGGACGACCCACTCGTCACGCTATTTGCATTGTGCGATGACTCGTTGTTATTTTGATGTTTTAAAAGGCTTCATAAATCGTATCAACGCGATTGCTTTCCCGACATCAAGCCTGCCTAAGGCAAGTTTGCCAATAGGTCTCGAGCACAGGCGTAGCTCAGTGGTAGAATACTGGGCTGGCACCCAGCGTACCCGGGTTTAAGTGCCACTGTTTCATTGGTGGTATGTTCTTTTTTTCTAATTTCGCACAGTGTGGTTACGGACACTGGCGGCGGCGACGGACAGCCGCGTGTGACCCGAGTTGTGATTTTATAACAGCTTTCGCTGTAAAACGTCTTAGAAAGTAATTATTGTGCAGGAAAGCACGGCCTGGTTTTGAACTTGGATACGGCCTGGTTTTGAACTTAGATACAGGTTTTGAACTTAGATACAGAACTTAGATACACCCAAGTAAGAAGAAAAGTGGGTGAAAAATAACTTGCCGTGAGCAGGAATCGAACCTACGACTTCCGAATAACACGTTCGAAGCTCTCGGAGGTCGTAGGTTCAATTCCTGTTCACGGCAAGTTATTTTTTCACACACTTTTCTTTCTTTTTATTTACATTACATTGGTTCTAATAACATCCCCTATACATTCCTTGGCATTATTGTCTGTTAGATCTCATTAATATTGTGTCAAAACACGGAAAAACAAGCCCTTAGGTATACACTTCTTTTCCTTGGAGGCGAGAATGCTATAGGCCCGTGTGCTCAGATTCGGGTGCACGTTAAAGAACCCTAGGTGGTCGAAATTTCTGAAGCCCTCTTATAGGGCGTCTCTCATATGGTGGTTTTGAGACGTTAACCCTAACATATCAGTCATCATCAATAGGCTACACTCGATCATCGGGGTTCCAAATTAAAAACCTGCTAATTATAGGATGTTGAGCAGCGAAAATATTTTCACATGATGCACTTATGATTTCTTCTTTTCTTTACATTCCGCGTGCAGTATTTTTGTTCCGAAATAGCTTGCAACTATTCACCAAAAGCGAACTCGCAAGCAAGTCTGTATATGTGCAATATATCTATCGCGGGAAAACTTGCACGGTTCCTCCATTTGCGAGTTAGACGAGAGGCATCACTGATTTCGGTAAAGTATTAGAATGTACCGCGCATCCTGTTTACCTCACGGTGTCTTTGTCATTCAACATGGCAATCGGTTCTCCGTGCGGCAGCAGAGCGTCGTCCAGGTAGAGTTCGGCACTCTTGGGGACGCCGTACTTCGATTGCACCAATCGCGCGAAATGCCCAATCGTCGGGGTCTCCGATCTGTCGGCGATGATCCACACCAAATTGTGCGGTCCCCGATGTCGTACGACGCACCGCAAGTCCAATTTAACTCTGACCATGCCCGAAGCGCCGTTGTTAGCCATCGTTGCTCGGTGACTTTGTTTCGCTGTAGAGTTCACGCACACGTGCCCACACACAGAGTCCCAAACCCAGCTTTCCTCCGCAGTCAGATGGACTTATCTGAGCAGGTCACCACATGAGTTAAAAGCTAGCGTTTGAATTACGCTGGCGCACAAGTTCATACAATCCGTTCGATAAAGTAATAGAAGATGGTAGCTGTTCTGTGGTAATAGTTTCGTAACTGCTGAACGCTCGCTGACAGACGCAGCTAGCGTCGCTCCCATCCTCCGCAGGTAAATAGACTCGTCTGAGCGAATTAACAGCAAATGTTAGCGATGGTAGTTAATAACCCCGCGCAATGCAAGTTTAGACAAGGCAATAGTTTCGCTTTGCAGAACTTGTCGCGAGTAGTTTCGTTTTGCTTATCCCCCCCCCCCCTTCTGCATTCACATGGACTCGTTTGAGCATGTTAGCAGGAATAGTAAACGTTGATAATTATACTTATCTGGGGACAGGAAATGACGTGCAGTTCTTACTTCTTATAACAGCAGCTTGTTTGTTTGTTTTTTGAACAAGCAGCTAAAAAAAACGCCTTTATTCACACATCGCCGTCGGAACAGTAGTCCTAATATATTACGAACACCACTACGTACAATGCTACGATGTACTTCATTTGAGATAATAATAATAATAATAATAATAATAATAATAATAATAATAATAATAATAATAATAATAATAATAATAATGATGATGATATGTGGTTTGCGTCCTAAAACCACATTATGTGTATGAGAGACGCTGTAGTGGAGGGCTCGCAAAATTTTGACCATCTAGTGTTTTTGACATCGTACAGTACCCGGGCTTCTTCCATTTCGTATCCATTGAAATGCGATCGCCACTGTCGGAATCGAACCCGCGGCCGTCAGGGCAGCAGCCGAGTACGTGCACTGATCCACCGCGGCGGACGACTTCGTTTTGAGGTGGAATTGTGTTCGAGTTAATCACGTTATAACGCAAAACTGATGTGCGAACACACGTCTCTTAATGCGACAAACATGTGTTTCTACCACTCTTCCTATATTAGCGCTCTTAATTTCTTACATTGTCGAAGTGTTATTATTTGTTAGGCGCGATAATGTGAGCTTTGCAGAGTTGATGAACGAAAAAAAAAAAAAACTTTGTTGTTACCTTGTTAAAAAAAGTAACGTAGTTGTTATTAATAAATTACAACTCTATTGTAATAAAGGGACCGACAACTGATTTTTTTTTTTTTTCGACCCAGTTTTTTCCGGCGTGACAGAAAGCTTACCCTTCGCAGTGTTCGCAGCTGCAGTAGTTACTCCCGAAACACGTAGTTATTTTAATAGCAGTATTTTTCGGTTTGAAAAGCTTTGAACCCCGACGTACCTTTTTGTCCAGCAACACTGGGAATTGATAGCGATGCCGGTAGCACTTCTAACTACTTGTGCTGCGTGCTGTAATTGTTCTGCTTTTGCAGGAATTCCAGTAACTATGCTTGACCACGTTTACCATGAGCTTTACAACTATTTTTGACAAGAACAAGCTGTTACAATGAGACGCCGTGGCTTTATGCAGCTTCCCTATATTGGTACCGTATCCCGACGTGGTGGTCTAGTGGTTGATGTACTCGACTGCTGATCCGCAGGTCGCGGAATCGAATCCCGGCGGCGGCGGCGGCTGTTGTAATTTAAGCTTGCACTGTTGTAATTTAAGCTTATGCCAGGTGCAGAACATGGCCAATTTTCGTCAGTGCTGTAAAGCTGATCCGGGACACCATTTATAGTGTTGTTGCAACTAATGCACAGGATTGCCCACCATATTTCGAATTTTTTCGTAGTAGCAAGGGCATCCAACACACTACTAACACTGCAGTGTGTTTTCACTATACCAATGTGCAATTTTTTTACATATTTTAATTATTAACATGATGTTTAGCCATAAATAAACAAAAAGTTGCACAATTAATGTTAAATTTAGCCACTGTTGAAAATGTCAATAGTGTGCAGTTGGGCATAAACTAGGAGTAAACCTACGATCTTCACCATTTCTACAGGAGTAGTACAGTCATAAAGCAGCATATGTGTGCTGGACTGGGCCGTGCAAATTGGTCAGCTCGACTTTAGAAGTTATACATTAGTCATCTACACTCTCTGAAAAGTTTTGTGGATGTGAACATGCCTGCCTACATGTTCCTAATGATTCATTTCTCAATTTAATAAACAGCACTTTGTAATATGCAGAGTTTTGATTGAAATTACCTAATGTATTGTTACTAAGATGTGGGACATCAATTTGCGTAAATAGTAAAAACCGTCATTCCATTGGTCAAAATGTATTCGATTTGCTACTGCCACTATTCGATTAGCACATGATCCAGTTTTAAAAATTATTATCCGGAAATCTACGTAATACAGTACAATACGTAATGTTATATTGAAAACTGTGCTCATGCTCTGAACCACTTCGCTACGGAAAACCGCAGAAAAAAAATAAACAACGAAGAAAATAATGTAAACTGATGGGAAATGCTTTATTATTTCATTAAGACGGTCTTGCACTTCAGGATGATAGGACAACTGGATCAATTAGTTCGGTCCACAGAATTGAAACCTGAAATGGATAGACATACAACAACAGCAATTATATAAATTGGTAGCCGAATATGTAACACTCATTTGAGCTCATTGTACATCATGTTCAGGAACAGCACTTTCTTCTGACATAGAACAATCAGTTCAGCTTTGTTACAACTGCAATATCCCTTTCAGGCACAATTTAGGACAAACTTTTTGTGAATGAATCAATTTGCAATAGTAATTTACTACAATGTGCTGGAAGTTTTGTCGTAAGAAAGGTTAAAGCAGTTGGGTGTTGCCTTGTAAAAATATTCTAGGGAACCACAATAGACTAATGAAATGTCTGCCCATTCTGCAGTTGATCATAATGCATTTTGCAGTATAAAAGGATAGGAATCTGATTGTAGAAAGCCGTGACGGGTAATTAAATGCCCACCTATTCTGTGATTGATCACACTGCATTTTTTTCTTGAAAAATTTGAATAGCAGACTTTGAGTACATTGCATAAGTTAATTACTACTTGCTGAAAGCATTATGAGAAATACGTCACTATTTTGCTGTTGCTATTGTTAGCGGCAAGTCGGATATCCAGTTATACGTGATAGCATGCACACTGAAGTGGTAATCTTTTATACACAACACACTGCCAGTTAAACAAACTACAAACCAATCGCTGAGAGGGCAAAATATGCTTAAAGATCAGTACCGGTTGCTCTTTATTTTCGTAAATGTCGCAACTGTTTACATTTAGTCACGACCGGCAAAATCTAATCACATACACAAATAAATATCAGTGTGCCTGATGGCGATATGCGAAGTTAGAGAATCACATTCGCGCATGGATTCTTTTTTGCTATTTTCGGCAAAGGGCAGGAGCAAGTACCAAATAAATGCTTTTTTTAATTAAAAAAGTTTTGTTTAGTAATACTGCCAACCCTCATGGAGGGTCACAACAGAGAGGACAATGCAATGACATATTACAATAGAGTTACACTTTCAATGCAGTAACACTTACAACGATAATAGTACAATGCAATTTTAATTACATGCATAAAAATATGTATAGCATTAGGCTTTTCAAAATGATAAACTTCGCGTGGGAACCCAGAACAGTGCAACTACAAAAACTTGTGTTTGTTGGAAGCTGCAACTCGCAGACACACACATTGAAACGATGGATCAAAAAAGTGCAATGCACATATAGTGTTAGAAATGGATAAATAAAATTGGACACATAAAACTCGGAAGGTGTATTACTGGGCTACATAATTATTGGCTTATCTTAAAATCACAAAATATGGATGTATATGAACCAAACCAAAGCTTATAAAGGGCACAAAGTTCCAACTTCATACACGATTAACATAGTTTAATTTTGTTGGTCTGCCTTGTTTCCTCACATTTTATGCCGACGAGATGAGGTGCCATCAAACATTAGATTACATATGACAAGATGGATGCTGCTGCAAACATGTAGTCTGTTTGTTTACCTAATAGGCTGCATTCCAGAATCTGCTCAACTGATGCTAAGGTAATTATTAACAGGGGCTGCATTTGTGTTCAACTAGGCGCCGACAGATCGGTGCCTCGAGCACGATTGAGGCCGTACTCACCACTTTTTCCACTGGAGGCATGCCTTCATCGAGCACCTCGAGCTCAAACTTGCCACCATAAGCTGGTAAAAATAAAACAAATAAAGAGAAACTACATTTAAACTTTCATATAACGAGCTCGAATATAACGAAATATCAGTTCTAACGAAGTAAACAAAAAATAGTCTTGTAATTAATATAGTGTTTCAAATATACCTTTTATAACAAATCTTTGAATATAACGACTTTATGTTCGTGTAAGATGCAACTTTGTTATAATGAGGTATGAGTGTACATTCTATTCTCAAAATAACGAATTTGGATATAATGAATTATTAGTTATAACAAAATAAGCAACGGATAGCTTTGCTATACTGTGATATTATTATTATTGTTTGTAATAAATTTTCGGATATAACGAAGTAATTTCATGGCAGATGTGACTTTGTTATATAAGGTTTGAGAGTACTTTAATCTACATATGGAAATGCACACAAGATTTACCTTTGCAACAAAGACGGAGCAGCTGCTATACAGAAGAAGTTTAACAAGCACAAAGTTTCTTTGCAAACACAGTAACAACAAAAGACACACAGATTATTAAGTATGTAGAAAAATACAATTTCATCAATCTATAGTCATGTGCACCCAAGAGATGACAGCTGAAAGTATGATATTCATGTTGCCTCAAAAAAGTGTTCGTTGCAAACTTTGACTGGCAGTATGCTGATGATAATTTTGACATTTCAATTTCCCTCCCCAAGATGATGAGGCTAAAACTGTGAAAAAAAAAAAAAAGACCGGTTAATGCAAGCTGGCCATGCATTCCATGAACTATGGAGGTATTCTTAACACGTGTGAAACATAATGTAGCCAATGTATGATTCAATGAACCATATCACTAAAATCAAATTGTTTCATGTCCTACCACACCATAACAATCTTTTGAAGCTCTATGTGTACTGACCATAAAACTATTGTCACTCATCTCAAAGCAATGAGAAAAAGAGAAAATTGGGGGACCCTTAACTTCGCCTTTAAGAGTTGAACGGGCTAGCGATATCCTGTCCCTAGTGCGTACATAAAGCACTAAGTGCATGAAATCTTTTCGAACTTTCTATACACCCACTACGTGGCCTTAAGGGTGCAGTAACGCGTGTGCCTTTCGTAGTGGTTGACCGCCTTTAAACCATGAAGTCATTACTATAATCACGTGTTATGATGCCCGGTGGCAATGTATTGTTACTGCATATGTGGTTTGGGTATGAGCCTCTGGGTAGCGGGGAACAGGCAGATTAGAGAAGAGGATGTTCGCCTCCGGTGCACGACACCTTCACTTCTACTGGTACACCACAGCGGAATAAACACATTCCTAAACGTAACAGTATGCTTGTAACACGCATTATTACTGCAATATTTCATGTTGCACTGTGAAGCATGTATAAAGAATGTGTGCATTTGTAAATCGTGAAAGTTACTTTCACTGCACTTCCAAGAAAAGGAAGCTATTCTCACTGTATTCACAAGCAGACACGTCTCTATGTGGTAGAACATTTGTTTGCCACGCAAACAACCCGGGTTCGATCCCCATTCTGACCCTGTTTTTTTTTATCGTTATTTTTTAAATTTGCACCTTTCTCAATTTTTCGGTCATGCACTGGATGAATTTCCACTCATAACCAACAACGCCGACGTCGACGCCGAAAATTCTGCGGAACAAGCTCTTGAACACTATTGCCTTAAAAGGAGCGAGGAGCTAACTGGCCGCGGTTTTACGGTCAGTACACAGTGCGAACCGACTAGCCCAACAGCAAGCACTTTCGAAGCTCGACCGTTGACTCAAACTGCGTCGTTGAAAAGTCGAGTGCACTTACTCTTCTTGGCCTCGGCTCGCTTCAGCTCTATGCTTAGAAAGTCGCTGACGGCATTGTGTTGCAGAACTTTACCTTCCTGAAAAGGGAAACGAATGAAATAGGAATCAGACATCCCCTCACTTCTACATTTGAAAAATCATCAAGGTATTGCCCTTCCAGGACCTTCCATTTCTACACAGAAGTCACAAAGGCTCATTGGCCACGTGCTGTACAACGCTGCAACAATGACGTGATGGCACTTATATTAATGACAATTAGATTGCATTTTTTATCATGACTCTTACGGTTACAGATTTAAAGACCAAATGAACTACTACGTTAACTAATGCTTGGCAGAGCAGTTTTGAAGCGTGAGAGGTCACAAACATTGCTAGGTCATTCGAAAGGCTACTGTGGTGTGCAACACACTGCGATCTGCTTTAAAGCTGTGGCAAATCATAAATTAAGGGGCCATTTACCTTGTAATCGGACACGTTTGGACAATAGTCAGCATCCAGTTCCAGTATCTAGATTAGAGAAAGGATAACAAACATGTCAGTCTGGCTAGACACACTCGAGCTGTGGCGTCTAGCCAAATAAGTCAATGAGAATGTCAAATTTACGCGCAAAAGGTGGAACCTCGATGCATGCAGTGAGAAGTAGCAGATAGCAGCCGTATCTTCAGATTTCACTGCTTATCAAAACCGCTTCTATTAACCGACACACGCAGGTGATATACTGACGTTTTACACTCGCACTTGGAAGCTGCACCCTAGATTTTTGCGACTTGTTGCTTACAAACTATACCCTATGGATACTTTTATTCTCTGATGATAAGACTGTGTATATCAAGCTAATGATGATTTTAGCGAAAGTTGACGACAATAGTGCATTTAAACAGTTTCCACTTGTCTCTGCTAGTGGACGACGATTTCGCATAATCGCTATGGAGTTAAAGTTAGCGAAAGACTAACAGCAAGGTACCCATACATGTACTAAATAGGTCAAGTCGCAAAGTCGCACTATGGTCACGTACAACCTTACAACAGGGAGAGATTTCAGTCTCAAAAGCAGACAAACATTAGCCTGCACACATGGCCACGTAAGCTAGACTGACACCATAAGCAGGACTGCCGGTGACGCCGCCACCAGGGAGCTTCACCGAACACACTCAAACCTTGATATTACAAACACAGATAAAACAAATTATCAGTTACCAAGAACTAAATGAATAATTCACTCATAGATACGATGTTACGGATATATATCTATAACAAATTTTTGAACTTAGTGCAGTTACTTTCGTGTAAGATGCGGCTTCATTACAATGAGGCTTGAGCAAACATGAGTGGGAAACGGTGAAATTGAAAACTGGGTGAGTTAGTGACAGTTCGACTTAATGTGTGGAGCAGCACGTGGAGAATCCACCAAACCTTTGGAAAAGGACTCAGCGATTTCAAAGGACCACTGCCTAAGTGGGATTAGCACTTCTTAAGTTCCAGAAACAACGTGCTGCTTGCTGCCTTCAATCACCTAAGCTGGAGTGCTCTCCCATCTTCTTAATAGGGTAGCGGAACAGTTTTACAAAAATCAGAGCGTGACAAGAGTAACATTATGTTTCTAGCATTCCTACAACAAAAAAGTTACGATGCTATATAATTCGGATTTAAATGAAGTTATAATGAAGTTATTTTAGGAGCAGATGTGACTTCCTCATAATAAGGTTTGAGTGTATGTACAAGCATAATGGACCCTATACTTCTAGTTTTTGCTAAAAACTGTAAATTGTTGGGTGACCCTATTATGGCCCCTATATGTTATATACTCGACTATGTGTGAGATGGAATTAAGATGTCACAGCAGTTTATTCAAGCCGCAGCTGCGTTACCTTGAAAGCTATGACGTCTCCCGGCTTGGGCGGCACTTTCAGCGGCGGGTATTTCGAGTAGTTCACCTGTCTTGCGGGGGCATCAACAGAGTCTGCACTCGATGCTGCTCCGTGTTCCTCCGCCACCTTCCAATGAAGTTGTAGTTACAGTATTAGTATGGAGGCACACTGTTTCAAACAACCACGATAATGATTCTCACTGAATTTGATCGTGCTCATTGCAATGGCTTCCCACAAGACCTCCCTAAAGATGCTGAAAGTTTTGCGAGTGATTTCCTGCCTTAACACCGGCTGCAGCCACAATCACATAAGTTGCATCTCTGCAAAAAAAAAGTATGGAGACTAACACCACAGCTCGCTTAAGGTCTTATTAAAGGGGCCTTGCAACACTTTTTCTAATAATCATCGAATAGCTCCACTGAATGACTATTGCTTTACGAATACATCATAGCTGCAGGAAATTTTAGAATTTTTTCAAATACGAGCGGAGTTATAGAAATTTGTTGAGCAGCGCAATCAGTTTCTCTTTTCTCTCATCCCGAGAAGTGTGCTGGCAGCTAAGCGTGAAGGGATTGCACAAGGGAAAAAGGTTAGTCACATTTGCATTATGACTGCCAGCGCTTTTTTTTTTAATTTGAACCCACACCCAACTGTCAGCGAGATAGCGAACGGGCACACGGCAACGTCCAGTGGTTGATGCTGCAACCACGCGGTCCTGGGATACCAAAATGAGCCAATGGGCCCAAATTCGGGTATATGACGCGGCCATTTGAGTATATGGCATCATTAGTAGAGAGCAAAGGGAGCAAGTCCAGCTGAGTTTGAGAATAAACGGTAAATTCCAGGCTGCATGCCGCGCTGTAACATTTGGCTGGCGTGTTGTCAGGAGCCTTGACTAGTGATCGGCAGCGTTATTTGGCCACGCTGAAAATAGGTTGCAGGACCTCTTCAAAGCTGTTAGCCTCAAAGGCATGCAGATGGTATTGGCATTATCAGTGTCGGCTCAGTGCTAAAACACCTATGCAGTCGTGAGCACTAACTAGTAATGACACATTACCAGTACCCAGTTAAACCATTTGTCAAATGATTTAGCCTAACAAAGTCGCAATGCTACCAATCGGGAACAGTTGCAAACAGCCACTTCGATCGAAAAGGACTATTTCGGATTGCAGCCACCATTCAAGGTGATCCAATTGCAAAAATTGAGCAGTGAGCGAATACTTCTAAACAGACAGTTTTCAATTAAAAGGGATTATTTTATGAACTGCCGTCGTTTTGTGATCCCACTGTGACTGAACGTTTGCAATCACCTCGATCACACAACTTCAAAAGTCTTTAGCGCAACCTAGTCCTAAATGAGTACCTTATTAATGTCTAATGCAAGCCAGTTGATTGCATTCACAGGTAAAACAGCACAAAGTGATGTTTAGTAATAAATCACGATTTGGTAATGAGGGACGCCGCAGTAGAGCGCTACAGAAATTTCGACCATCTGGTATTGTTTTACGTGCACCAACATCGCACAATACATGAGCACTTAGCATTCTGCGGCCCTCTGAAAATGCGACTGCCGCGGTCAGTATCGAACATGCGACCATAACCACTTATCCACTGTGTGGTGGAGAAAGTTTTTTTAATGCTTTCGCTACTAACAGTAGGCACACGATACGTTAGCGAGCTTTCGATAAAACTAGCTGACAGACAACGTAACTATATCACCAGTGTTTTTTTGAGAAAACAAGCCTTGATACTTGACGAGCGTGCAGCTAGAGAGAGAGAGAGAGATAAAGATGCAAGGAAAGGCAGGGAGGTTAACCAGACGCACATCCGGGTTGCTACCCTGCACTGGGGAAGGGATAAAGGGGAGCTAGAAATGTTCATTATTTCTCCCTCCCCAGTGTGCACACTTTAAAGGTATATTAGTGAGTTTTCATAAAAAAACTAAAGCAGTTAGCAGTCATTGAACAGGTTGATACAGGTAGTTCTGTGCAACTTATCTATATTTTCTTTGCGCTGTTATGCCAACGGATGTGAAAAAGAAGGTCTTTTTCTCTACTACCTCTGGAATCTTGGCGTTCGGTGTGGGAGCTTCTGCAGGTGGAGGCACGGAACGGTAGGAGCGTGTCGCGGGAGAATCCCACGACGATGCCTGACCATTCGTGAGTGGAAGCTGGTTTTCCTGGTTCATTGAAATGCTCTGACTAACTTGTGCTAGGCAAGGTGTTGGTTGGACAACTGCCGGTTGCACATTCTGCTGGGCAGCTACTTGCTTTTCTTCTTCGTCATCATCATCACCTGACGATCTACTGCCGAAACGAACATGTCTCCCGGTTGGCGATTCCCCTTGAGCGAACTTCACGAGAGCGCGCACTGCGGCTGTTTGTGGTAAGCTCGGTGATGCGACTGGCGATGGAAGGCGTGGTGCTGCAGGCAGGCTCAGTGACTCGGCAACTTGGGCGCCATCTTCACACGGCTTCTTCTTCTTCCTCCTAGGCCTGCGTTTTTTCTTTGGAGGGCTTAGCGAAATCGATAAGCTGGGGTCTGCTGGGGCCACGGGCCACCCTTGTGTGCCTTTGAGGCTCTGACTTAGTGGGGTTGAGCAAGCTGGTTCATTATGAAAGGGCGTGCTTGAGACTTTGACAGCTGGGAAGTGCGGTGTGGCACCCTGCTTCGATGTCGACGCCATTGAAGTGGCGGAGCGGTCGTCGGCGGCGGCTCCGAAAACATTGTTGTCGTTGTCCTCGGGTGACTCGTTGCTCTCCGAGGATTCCCGTTTTCTCTTTTTTTTCGTCTTCTTCACAGGCTCGTCTGGCGTGGAAACATCATTGGCGTTAGCCTCGGGTGACTCACCCCTCTCCGAGGGTTTCCTTTTTCTCTTTTTTTTCGTCTTCTTCACAGGCTCACCCGGCGCGGGAGCTGCGTCGTCATCAGGTTCGGTATCGGGTTTTGAGGGCTGTTGCGCAGGTGTGACAACTCTGTTGGAAGAATTAAATAAAGAGAAAACGAAATATAGAGACAGCGCCACTTTGAATACACCGTCGTTTATCACAAATTTCAATGAGCTAAAAAGAAAACTACTCTGTGTAGAGGACCAACGAGTGCATATTGCCGTGTTTGTCTTCTTCGCTGTGTTCTTGTCTCTCGTGTGTGCAGAATATGATTCAACTCGCCCAACTATTAGTTTTACATCATTTACCATCACATGATCTTTTGAGAGAAGCATCACAAACGCACAATGCTTTTAGTTTCTGTCATAAGTATCTTGGGTCTTACATCATACCAGCTTCATGTTACGGTCAAGTTCTTTAAAAAAAAAGAAGTGTAAATTTCAGGGCTCGTTGTCTTCTTTAGACACAAGATCAACAAGAACTAACAGAAAATGATGTCAAGAGAAGTATAGGTGTGTTATTAGAATTGTAATGTAAATGCAAGGAAAGAAAAGTGGACGGAAAGATAACTTGCTACCAGCAGGGACAGATCCAGTGACCTTAACATGAACATCACAATTTTTTCACGCTTCCATTACAATTGCTTCCAATAACATCTCCTATACTTCCCTCGGCAAGAATATGTGTTAGTTTTCATTAATATAAGGTCAGGTTCTTTGCTACTCTGCGTAATATTGTGTACAAGAAATAATAAAAACAGTTTATGGAAGCAGGAATTGCAAACGAAGCTGTTTTTTGCACCTTGGACCTGTAGTGCGTAAAGTGAAAGCGCTGCTTTACAGATGAGCAGTTTTGCAATGCAATCGGTTCAGTGATGCAACTATCCGATGGCCATGTTATTCCTACGAAACGCTAGCCAGTAATTACCTCTGCAGGCATGTGATGTACAGGCATAAACATAAACTACAACAATAAGGCACCGTTTGAGATGCTATAAGGGCACAGCTTTCTCCAAATAAAAAGATGAGGCCCCTGACTACAAAAGATAAAGATATGTTGGTGTTCCGGCACCCGCAATAGGAGCCTTGTGCACAACTGTGAACGAAGCTCTCATACCAAAGCCAAAAGGTCTCTATAATTTTATTCCCTTATGGTCGGCACCCTCACCTTTTTATTGTACGATTCCTCCCAACAGACGGGTGTATGTCGAATTTGAATTCTCAGCAAGGTAAGATATATTTTTGTTTCATATGAGCACAGAATTAAGCAAAAGTCTCTGCTCACACCGAAGGATAACACAAGCATGCAACAAGAAAAACAAGCAGAGAGGTAAACCAAACATCACAAAGTGCCTGCTCATTAATAAAATGCATAGTATTGTGCACGTCTCATTAAGACACGCCCGTCTCTCGAAGTTTACTCTGCCTTCACAAAACGAAATGATGATGATGATGCTCCTTGGATGATTGGCAACGACCCACTCAGGGGGATCAGTACAGTAACTTGTTTGTTTGTAGCCTGGAGACTGTGGCACATGTCCACTACGGGGGATTGGCCAAGAATACAAATAGTAGCCCTACGAATGGTAACTGCACTATTGATTACCAACATAATTACAAGAATAACGAAAAAAAGAATGAAATATTACAAAAAAAGGAGCAAGCAGCAAGTACATCTTTGCTGAGTCGGCTTCCGGGTATATGGCAACAGCTGGCGCCGTAGTCACGCATAGGAACATGCGGAGTTGGAAGCCTTGCGTTTGCATTTCGCGCATGCGTCGCACACTGCGCATGCGTCGTACGCTAACCGCTTGCGGGCGTCCGCTACGAACGCTAACTTAATATACGCTATTCGCAAACTTCCTTGAATAAAACCTCGCATTCTACCCACGGCTTTGCAGCGCGCCACAGTTTTGATCCTATCAGCATTAACGTGTTTCTGACAAGCGCACACAGCAATCATGCTCTCTTTTTCTCACGTGTCAAATGATTGATTGATATGTGGGGCTTAACGTCCCAAAACCTCTATATGATTGTGAGAGGCGCCGTAGTGGCGGGCTGCGGAAATTTCGACCACCTGGGGTTCTTTAACGGGCATCCAAATCTGAGCACACGGGCCGACATTTCCGTCTCCATCAGAAATGCAGCCGCCGCAGCCGGGATTCGATCCCGCGACCGGCGGCTCAGCAGCTAGCCGAGTATCTTAGCCACTAGGCCACTGCGGCGGGGCTTTGTCACGTGTCAACCCCTCTGTGCTGTACAAAGGGCGCGCCTGTCAAACCCACAAAAAGTCCGCCTTTTTGCAAGGCGTTTCGTAGTACCTCACTGTATCTTTGTCCCTCAATATCCGCAATGGCTCGTCGGGCGGCAACCAGGCATCGTCGAGGTAGAGTTCGCTCTTCTTGGGAACGCCGTACTTGGCTCGTATCAACTTGGTAAACTGCTTCACCGTCGCGGTCTCCGCTGTGTCAACCACGATCCACACCAAATTGTGCGCCTCTCTGTGCGGAACGGCGAGGCCCAAGTCCAACTTCACTCTTATTTCGGCATCGGCGCCCGCCATGTCTGAACAAAGCAGTTTCGTTTTGAAGCGCGCGCCCTCACAACCACAGAGTTACTACCATTTGGTTATGCTCACAACGAGGCAATGCTCTTAATTTTGTGCTAAAGTATTGCAGCTTACAACGGTTAATAGGTTGACAAAGACTTTACAATACGTTTTAAACCATGGCCGTCATGACGTTTTAGGCGTAGAAAAGCATGGCATTTGAGATTACCAATTACTGCTCACGAAGCTTTTTATGAATGCTTTAACTCTATGTTTAATATAGTGTTGTCAGCGGTTTGCAGAATGACGCAAATTTTAGGTTTATACGTTGTGTAAGTGTGCTTGTTCACTTACATTTGTCATAACTTTAACTATTTTGTAAAGCCCACAACATGCGCTATCATCATGTGCGTGCAACACGTACAAGCCGAAGCCGAGATAATCCTCAGTTATTAAAAGTTGCAGAAGTACAGTGGCAGAAGGTCGGTTCCTCCGCCGCGTGGTTAGGAAATTCGTGCGGCGCTAAGCGTATAATGTCGCGGCGCGTTGTCGTCGTGTTATCGCGTGACTCGAACACGTATTTTAGAGACTCTGAACCGTTCGCACAGTACAGTAACACCTGAAAGAACAAAGACTGCTAAGCGGCAGTCTTCAGACAGTACCTTCTCAAGCAGCTGGTTAGCCTGCCCGGACTTTCCGTCACGATGTCAACCCCGTCGATATTGAAGAAACGAGGTACTTCGACATCGACGGGCGTCGTCGAGAACCGCGTGGTATTCGACTTGCCCACCGCCGACGACATCGACGTCCAAATGGCGTTCACGGAAGCCAACAAGTCGAACGTCACGGCCAGCAACTACAGGCAGCTGATCAACGTTCCTCAAGTCAGCCGACACTGACGTAAGTTCGTCGCCTAACTTGCCGGTAATAAGCGCGCACTGATCGTGCTCTTGGCAACAGTTTTATTGCTCTGTTTTCTTGCATTTCCGAAGCACCGATCTTAACTATCTCAAGAATAGCAACTAGCATGGGCAAGTTTTCTAAATCTGGCTGCAGACTGATGCAACCCAAAAACGCAAAACAGAACCTTGCCCTAACATCTTTTGTGTTCAGTTACAGTCGATATTCGTGAATGGGCTAGTTGTTTATGAATGAGATATTCGAGGCTTATTCGTTTCCGGACCTGTTGTTAATGGTGCCCCGTCATTTGTTAAGCCTGAGGAACCTTCCAGACCCATTCGAACACGTCGAAACAAGCCCACCAAAAAGCCGGCGTGCTCGCGCAACGGCACTTAGGCATTACGGCGCGTCGCAACTTGTTGCGCAAGTCACCGCTATATTCAAAAGATCGGAGAGGGAGTGCCTGCAACCATTGCGCAGCGAAGTGGGCTATACGGCTTTAGTCCGGGGTCGGCTTATTGGCCGATTTATCGATTGCGCGATGAAGCTTAACGTCTTAAAGCAACACAGAGGGTCCGTTTTGGAACGGCAGACCATCTACCTATGTTCACCTTATTCTCTACTTACACACACATTCCGCTTTTGTCAATATTCAAGTGAACCCCTATTACAGGGAGTACAGAAACTGTTCGTGTTTTACCACTCTCATCCTGACGTTTTACGGTGATCAACTGGAGACCCGAAGGTCGTGGGATCGAATCCCGTCAGCAGCGGTCACATTTCGGTGAAGGCAAATAGCTAGGAGCTCGTGAAGAACCCCTGGGCGTCGAAAATTTCTGGAGCCCTCCGCTGTGGTGTGTCTCATAATCAGGTCATAGTTTCGGGACGTGAAACTCCAACAGTTACATTATTTTTCTATTTGTGTGGTCAATATTTAGGAAAACTTCTACATTGGGTATCGCAGAAGCCATTATTCTGGTGCTGCTGCTTTCGGCCATTTTTGTTGTCACTGAGCACCGGTAATCGTCACAAACTATAGTCACACACTTTCAATCACGTTGCAGGAACTGTTGTGTACTTTCAGAGCCGCATCACACTTACACTTTTGCTATTTACCGGGCGTATGCACTGGCCCTTGATCCGCAAGGGGGCAACGCTAATCGCCGCACCATTTTGAAGGTTTGTTCGTGCATGGCGTCTTGACTGTCTGTGTGGAGGTGTTCCTGAGGTCTGTAAGACATCAATGTTGCTGTATGAATATCGAACACAGTGCGTGCAGTGAGCTTTTTCCTCTTGCAGCGAGCACGCGGACCTTAATTATGGGGGGACCCTGACGATATCGATCCTCGTGGGTGATGTGCATACCCTCTATAACTTCATTAAAAGTTGTCGCAGCTGCCTCAATACCATTGAAGTTTCTGGCACACACTGTGCGTGTGTGTATATATATATATATATATATATATATATATATATAGTTGCTTTGTTCTTCTTCACACCCGTCTGGAGCTACTTGCTAGACCAAGAAAGCTTTTCTCCTGTACGCGGTAAAAAAAAAATTCATCTACCAAATTTGTTTTGCGGGACTACGATGAAATGGTTAAATTTCAAACGTCGGAAAGGATTGACACTTGCTTTGTCTTCTGGGTGCAAAATGTTTTTCAGGATGAAGCGCTAGTGAGGTTGCTGAAGCGCATCAAGAACTCCGCACCACTCGTCGAGGGGCACAATGATGAAGTTCTGGATTGCGTCCTGGTAAGTGTCGACGTATTACAGCAGAGCTTCATTCGACTCCGACCACAGGATTCATTCATGTGCGTCAAAGCCGTTTCACAAGTTGGAGCAAAAAGCATTTATCTTCATTGGTATTGCACGTGCAAGATTATGGCAGAGTTATGTTAAAAGTAATGGTGTGCAAAATTTCAAAATTTCTACTATTTTTCAAATAGTGTCCGCATTTTGATTCACACTCACTGTTCGAACAACCCGAAAACAATGTCCTAAAGCCAGTGGCGCCATCAGATTTTTACTTTTCTTCACACTGATCACACTGTCATGTTGTGGCAAAGCTGCCTTTCGGTCTCTGCAATGGTTGTAGATGTAATGATTCAATAAAACGCTGGTTCCAATATGGAGATGACAGATGTGACAGGGGTGGAGGCTGAACTGACTGCTGTTTTGGACGCGGAATTTCAGTACAAAGCCTGAAAAAAATGGGACGCTGAGGTTTTCAACATAAAAAGTTTCAGATGTTCTTATATACGGCGTCTATGAAGCAGATTTGGTACTCCGGACTTGGAGGGAAGCACTCTTGTCCACTGCATCAGTTGGGCTTGCAGAAAAGTTGAAAGAGGAGAGGCTTGGAAAATGGCATCTTTGCCTTTTACATGTAAAGTGTTGTCGAGAACAGTTTGGTTGCCCCATATCATGTAGCGCAAGTACAATTCAGCCCCTGCATTTCCTCATTCTCGATGAGACAACTTCTTCAACCCAGTCAAAAAAAAATATTTCATTTTAATATATACTTGGGAGTCCTCTCCAACATTTTTTTCTACAATATCACTTTAAATTATTAGAAAAGTATTATATAAACATTTGAAAAAGTTTTTATTCACTATACATGCACACTTCAATATTTTAATTCGCTTCACGCCTAAAACTTTGCTATTCGCACAGCTCTAGTGACGAGTTCTTATAATATCATAATAAAGGTGCACATTATGATAAAAACCCGGCTGCGGCGGCTGCATTTCCGATGGAGGCGGAAATGTTGTAGGCCCGTGTGCTCAGATTTGGGTGCACGTTAAAGAACCCCAGGTGGTCTAAATTTCCGGAGCCCTCCACTACGGCTTCTCTCATAATCATATAGTGGTTTTGGGACGTTAAACCCCACATATCAATCAATCAATCAACATTATGATAAAAATGTCAATGCTGGCTTGGTAATCTTGATGTTTTTTGCGCAGAAGACATCTGTGACGTTCAACATTTCATCCTCAAATCAGGAAACAAAATCAACTGTCAAAACCACTTATTAGGCGGTAACGTGTGTACATGCAGTGTTTTCTACATGGAAAATGCATGCGTTTCTGCTGCAAAGAAGAACCAACTCTACAACTGACCACATTTATTTTGTGATAGCGCTATGCGAAGGTCATGTGCAGTGAAGATTCTCAAAGAACGACACGAATACTATGCTACAGTGTATGCAATTGTCTTGCTGCGAGTGATTTCTTGTAGTGCATTGCTCAGTTGTTCAAGGTTCCATCAGGTTGACACAATTTTCTTTGTCTACAGTCTATTCAGTCATCCTGTGCTGACTGCTGCCACGTTTTTCAGAAAATCAACCTGCTCAAAAGAAACGTTCGTGTTATCGAGGCATTTTCTCAGCTGGCCTGTGACATGGTCTTCATCCATCCCGCATTCCTCAGGAGCATCGTCGTATCTGTCCTGAACACCTTCATGTCGCCAGGTTTGTGACACGTTTGTCGCGACATTCACGTTTTTGAGTTGTGTTCATTGCGATGAAGAACATATGATACGTACTGTATTTACTCGCATAACCTTCGTACTTTTTTTGGTGGGAATTCAATGCAAAGTCGGGGTGGTGCGAGAATTACTTGGCAAAAATCTTCCACGGAAACGTACAGAACGGAAAAGAAAACGAAGTGGCCGCAAATCGGGATTTTCACACCAGCAACTAACAGCAAGCTTTGAGAAGTACTAATTAAAACTTATTTCAACAATAAAAGCACAGGTTCAACACAAGGTAAGATTTATTTGAGACATAAAAAGTGCAAGCAAATAGTCAAAAATTAAAATACCATATGTAAACCTTGTTGGCATCGTGGGCGTAGCGGTAGGGTTCGTCACTCAACAGCAGCCCTCAAAAAGTAAGCGTAGGACGTCAGTATTGGGCTGATGGCTTTTTAACAGAATCCTCCGCATTTTCCTTCTGAAAAAATAAAGTTTACCATCAGTCCCAGTTTTGGGCACACAGCAGGCACAACGCGTCTTGGTGGCTTTCAGCTGCCGTCACCGGTAGCGAACACAAAACTCGTAGACTCCAAAGGGCCTACCGGTGGCTCTGTTGCCATTGTTTAGTGCATGATCTATCACTTTCACCTTGAGAGCAGCAGTGTAGCTTCAGTATCACCCCATAGCTTGACACGATTACTGACACAACATACAAAACACGCCGCTACGCGCACTTGCCACTTTAGCTTGGCTTGGATTGAATCTCCATGCAATAATAGTACGCTTGATACTTAAGAGATGGCGTGCGCTGTCATCATCTGTGGCTGGGACGAGTAGACGACATCATTGCAGCAGTTTTCGGTGGTGTGATAATTACTTGAGGAAACAAAAATAATCATATTTTTGTTGGGCGATGTGGAGGGTGCGAAATTGTGCAAGTGCGAGGATTACGCAAGTAAATACAGTATTGTGCTTTGTGTAGTTGTAATCTTTTAAGTTAAACAGGTCTTTATTTGTGAGATATACCGTGAGATCCAAAAAAGTGCAAAAAGCATTTTGCTTTGCCTAACAAAATTCAATGAAAACAGATTGCCTTGGATGTTTCGAATGCATGTTGTACTACATCAGACCTATTTGCACAAGTATATCTGTTGCCTCTATACCAATATGAAATTAGTGCAGCCTTCAAAAGGGAAATGAAGGAGAATCGTGGATTTTTAGGCAACCTTTGCAGACTTCAAGACAATATGATGTTGCCTGCCACTTAATATGTGCGTAATGTCTACTCACGTGACCCAAATCACCTAACACCATGTAAGTAGTCACGCGGTATGTTCGCACAGAAACCACATGACAGTGTGTTGCGTGCGGAAGTGACCAAAACCAAAGAAGAACAGCCAAGTCTTAGCCGTACGTAGTATGACTAGTAAAAACTTCACATCCCTAGCGAAACGTTCATATTACTAGCAAAACTTTGCTAGTTGGCTCACCAGCTCTGCTGTTGGTTCCAGCCTTGTGCTACCAGTTTAAAGGTGCGCACATTTTTTTTATGCATGCGTTACCGGTACATAGTCCTGTCACCTTCTTGACTCTTTGCAGAAGCCACATCGAAAGACACACCGGAGCGTGACGAAAAACTGGAGAGGCTTCATGCACTGTTCCGGCTTCTCTTCAAGCTTGTGCCGACGTAAGAGTTGCCTCGCAATGTCAAGGCGCATGTGTTTGTCTGCTTGGTGTGTGGTGTGGAGGCTGTGAGTAAGACGGCAACTGATTGCCAGCTCTGCGGACTTGAAGTGATGAGAATGCTTCGGTAGCACTTTAATGCAACTGGCTAATGGCTTTCATTTGTTTTTTGGGTTGGTTGTTCACAACTGACCTTCAGTAGAACTTACTTGTTGCTCATTATGACCAGATTCAGCAAAGAAGTTGGTCTTTCCAAAACCTTCAAGGGCAGCATCTTCTTTACATATACCCACATGGTTGTTTTGGAAGTTTTAACACAAAAACAATAAATCTCTTAATTACAGTAGACTATAATTGAAACCCGAAAGAACCAGTAAACGTGTTTTATCTGACCGCAGTTCCATTTACTGAGAGGTGAACGGGAGTGGAAACTTCAAGTGCAAAAACAATCTTATTAGAGGCAGCTGTTTCATATTAGCAGCTGTTCTGTTGAGATTTATGTCGACTTATAGTCTACTGTATTCATTCAATCAATCAATGAGTCGGTCAATCAGTGTGGGTTCTACTGCATGCAGGGCTCCCACAAGATTTGTCGAGATCCTCGCCGAGGTGTTTCCTTACATGAAACGGGACGGTGTCCAGCAGGCCTCGCTCGTCGGGCACCTTCTGCGCGTGGCGTCGTACATCCCGGACCACAGGCTGGAGCTTCTGCAGCTACTGACACACAAGGCACTGCAGATCGATGTGAGTTCTCTGTTTTGTTTTTTCCCGAGGTCAGTTAGTCTTTTGCCAAAACTTAAAATGAAATCAGCGCTAAAAATGGAACTGTCAACAGATGAGACAGATGTGCCGCAGAAAATGTCTCTTTTTGTCCTCGCCCCGTTATTATGTGAAAGAGACAGCACAGAAAGAAATGATTGCTCTCTTACTTGTAAATAACTCTTTCACAATACGAAAGCGTCACTCTTGCCCGAAGAAGACGTTCGGCTAGACAGAAAACACAAAACACTTTTACAGGGGCCAATGCTGACCTTAGCTTTTGCACCAAATGCGAAGCGCTGCTTGGCTGCTCGCACACACTGATGTAAACTTGCAAGCATCTTTGCAAGATGTTTCAGCGCGCGAACAAATGAAAAAGGACAGGGTAGACAGAAAGAGCACTGACTTCCCACTAACTTTGTTTCACAGAGTGGCAAGAATATATACTGCTAAAAAGGATGATAACAGAGCATGAAGGTAAAATGCACGCCTAATCTGCACATCAGTAACAAAACACGTGTGACAGGTCCTCTATTGCCTCAAAGCCCAGCTAGGTAATCACGTTCAGCCTGTGATAAAGCAATCGATGATGTGCTTACACATTTATCTCCAAGCAAGTGTATTTTTTCGGCTTCAATAATTTCTCGGGTAAGCTGGTGGTCCCTGTGCCTTGCCAATATTGAGCACTGATCAAAGAGAGGGGTGCACCCACAATTTCGGCAATGAATGCCAAGATGCCCTTGTACCACATTGTGCACATTGTTTCGGTGTTCTCGGAGGCGGTCATTTATGCACCTGCCGGTTTGCCCGACATAGATGCACCCACACGTCAGTGGAATCAAGTAAACGACTCCCACTGCGCATGGGACATAGCGTGTCCTGTGCGCGACAGAGCACGAGGCAGAATTTTCACGAGGTGCATTGACCCGTTTGCAAAGCCTCTGCAATTTTTCCGGGGCAGAAAAAACCACAAAAATATTGGCGTCTCGAGCAATCTTTTTTAGCCTGTGTGATACGTCGTGCACGTAAGGCAGTACGATACGCCGGCTCTTTCTGCAAGATGTTTCGCGCGCTGAAACATCTTGCAAATATGACTACGCACCAACTAGCCCAAGTTTCCACTCTTATGACTTGCAAGCATCATCATGACAATGTGTGCATGAAAAACAAAAAAACTGCTCATTTGCTTTTTAATACTGTGAGCATTGTGTTTATTTTTTAGCGGGTGAGTTTCTAATTTCTCGCAACATGTTTCGGTGCGTCCGTTCTAGCTGCACTGCCCTAAGGATGAAATCAACGATGCTGAGCTCGAAGATGAGGATGACGCCATGGAAGGAGATGACATCTTTGAAATGGTAAGGCCAATAATAATAGTACATGAAATTGGTTGTGGTCTGTTGTTGCCCAAACTTTTTCCCCTTCTTTGGTGAATCGCTGTCTGTGCGGGCACAGCTGGTATATTTGAGCACTACGGTTCACTTGATTCTGCGATAGTCTTATTGTCACTGTTCGCGGCCAGTTGATTCCCGTCGATAACAAGGGTGGACTGTTGCTGTGACTACTGGCGAGTTGTGGTGAGCATAGAATGCTAGAGCATCTCAAAAATTGTTTCATTGAATTGCTGCTGCAGTCGTGATATGTTATGGCTTCAAGCTGTTGTGTCCCTGATACTGATGCATCCATAAACAGCACTACAGAAAAAAAAAAGTGCCAGCTCCTGTAAAAAATAACACATCAACTAGGTCTAAGTATTACCCACGTTTTTGTCTACGTGTATGCATACCCAGGCTGAATGATCTGGCGTGTAATAATCGTCTTGTGTGTAACGACTACCTTAAATGTTGTCGAGCCCCTTTTTCAGAAACACTGATATAGGAGATAAATAGATATAGGGGATATAAGATACGCGAGTGTGCATACATTGAAATTCAGGTTGACCGGAGAAAGCACACGGGGTACCCTGCTCATAAGAGATACTGTATAAAAGACAAGAATGGCTGCCTAGCGCATGTCTCTTATAACGGGTTTCAACTGTACCTCATGAGTCATAAAGACCGGATGCGTGTTGCGCTATGGAAATCCCAGCTAATAACAAGCTGCTGATATCACTTTTTCTTGCTGTAAGCAAATGTTCAGCTTGAGGGGATGAACTCCCTCGTCTAAAATATGCTGGTATTGCAAAGAATGCTTCCCGGTCTTTATTTGTAAGTGCAGAGCTTTCTTTGGGAATTTGCAGCTAAATGAATACAGTCGAATGCTTTTTTAATAGACACTGGTGTAAGAGACAAATGGGTATAAGAGACACCCGTGTGGCTACAGTAAATAAACGGATTGATAAAAAAATGCATACGAGTTACCCTGCTTATCAGAGACATCTCATATAAGAGACAAGAATTGCTGCCCAGAGCATGCCTTTCGTAAAGGGGTTTAACTGTGTGTTGCGTTTGCTTGGGAAATTTGCAGGAAAAAGTCGATGCAGCCGACTCGGAACGAATGCAACATCCTCTTGCTGACACGCTGGACCAGGTTCTAAACCAGTTCTACGTGCACTTCCAGCAACACTGCAATGCCAAAGGTATCGTTGCAAGTGAGGCATCACTAGTGCATGTCTTTGTTCAGTATAGTTCCGATGCTAGAAATTTGTCGAAACATCCTTTTTTTCCTCTTTTTTTTTTCGAAGTGCCTGTAAATGAATAGTAGTATGGGCACCCTTCGTGCGAAGCATTCAAAATGTTTGGTCGTTTGGACGTGAATACACCCATCACCGAAAGTGGAGGTTGCGGTGGCGGCTGCTGTGTGCCTTTTAAAAAGCAACTAGAGCTAGTCACCAAATTGTTTTTTAGTTGAAAATTTACTTTAGAAAGAGTGTCTTTTACATTTGGGTAGCACATTGTAAACATGTTTTCTGTTTCTGGTTCAGTATCTGTTGGTGGCGCTCTTCTTAACGCGAAACCTTTTGGGCCATATCCACTGTGCTAGTTTGTCACGGGATAGGTCAAAAGGCGCAAACATGCTTCATCTAAGAGCGCATCAACGCTGAACAAAACTAAGGCCTTTTGAAATATCTAAAGAGCACCTCCTTCCAAACCGAAATGGAAAATGGCTGCCCTTTGATCATCAGCTGTTCTGCCGTGCGAAGATTATCCGGAGAGGTTTCAATGAGAGAGAGGATTTATTGAAGCCTATCGTATGAAATGTATAAGGCGTCTGCGAATTGTCCATTTTATGTTAAGGGGGGACATGGGTCTTTAAAATTTTTTTTCTGTTTTTGGCTCAATCTTGACCAAACCTCACCATCTTGGACAGTTTTTCATGCTGATTTCAAATATGTAATTGTTTCTGAAATAGCTTCAGTGGATAAAAAGATATTAACATCTGTAATTTAATTAATTATGCACTTCATTGGGGGCTTTTTGGCAACTTAATCAAGCCAGATCCAAAAAATAAATGCATAGCCCCAATGCTGAGGGCTTTCTGTATGGGGTGATGCTATTTTTATTAATTTTTAGGCATTATATAGATAAGAAAACAGACCAGCACTTACAATGGATATTCTGTTCAATTTTCGCTCATTACTATCCGTAATTGTAATTAACAGTATGCTTCTAGAGTAATCAAAATAGCATCACCCCATAGGTAATGTTATTACAAATAAAATGATACCAAGTTTGTCATTCTCAATCAACAGTAACATATAAGAAAAACCCCTAAGGTTTAGTGTGGTGCACAAAAACATCGAACTGAGAAAAACGCATTTAAAGTTTTTAATAACTGTAACTTTTGCTAAAGTGAAGCTAGAGCAATAAAAATCGCACCGTTTTATAGCTCTACATTATGTGAGTATGGCTGTACCAAATGTGTCAATGCACCTTCCCAAAATATTTGCCACAGCTCATTTAAAAACTGTGTACTGGCCGTTGAATCAGTATAAGGAACCCAGTCTACAACTTTGTGGCTGTTCTAGTGCACTGAAAACCAAAGGAAGACACATGTTGTATATAAAAACATCGCCCTTTTATACATAAAACACTATTTCAAGTAAAACACACATTTTTGTCCCAGACATCCTTCATCAATGCGCTGCCTCGGCCATCTCCGGCGTTCTCGGCGGCGCGCAGGCCGCTCCCTTCTGCCGCGCATTCCACGCTCGCTTTCGTTTCCTGCCGAAAGCTTGACTAGTGTTCTTCTTCAGGCGAGCTTCCCAAGCCATGCCGGCGAAATGCAGAAAGACGTATACGTCGGCGACGTCGGTACACGAGCGGGTAGCAGACGAGATAACACGCACGAGAGCAGGCGCCGATGGAGCAAAACCAAACAAACAAACAAAAAGAGCGAGCAACCGTGGCCGCGCTGCCGCGCCAGCCAATGGTAAGCGCGAGACGGGAGGGCTCACTGGCGCGCGCGCGCTCTAGCCAATGAGCGGTCCGGCAGACGGCTTCGCAAAACGGGGGAGGGCAGTCGTTGTGTTGGAGCTACGCCATTTTGAGAGCCTGCAAAACGCGCACAAAGGAACCAGCTTCAAAACAAGCCCAAGATGGCGCCGATCCGCCGGCTGCTTCGCTGGCGGCGCGCGCGGGAAGTTCGAACAAATTTTCTGTTTTGCGGGTTGTTTTGCGACTCCCGTGATGGTTTGAAAATAGATTTTAACCTATTTTTTTATCGAATTTAGCGTTAATAATTTGAGGAGAGGTGCTTATAGGTTCAAAGATTCGAAAAATGCGTTTTTCTCAAAATCGGTTTTTTGGCCATTTTTTACTTTACAAAGACCCGCGTCCCCCCTTAAAGGGCCAATAAACAGGCTCCGAATTTTTTTTTACACCCCCCATACAAGCTCGGCTATTCGTAGATTACACCGCAGTGATCACGGTTTCTGAATATTACAGCGCTGCGCCCCGCGCATAGCCTATATTTTGAAAAACAATTCCCGCGCATCTTTCCTATGCCTGACCGACCTTCTTGCACGCGCAGTGACGTCAACTCGGTGATCGGCGACGTGACGTAGCACGCAGCTCGCCGATTGGTCTAAATCAGGTATGAAAAAACAGTAGTGAAGTCAACGTCAGTTCCTGTTCCAACGCACAGCTACGAAACTGCCCCTTGTTTCTTGGCACTGCGGTGAAAGAACCAGCCTCGCAGTTATCACGTGCACGTGTACACTCCTCGCTCATCTACAGCGCCTGTGCGCGCATACGAACACACTTTTGCCCCTGACATGAACAACACGGGTAAAAAGCATTGCTCTGTTGTCGGCTGCAAATCAAGCGACTGGGCAGTGGAGAAGCATCGGCACCGGGCGCCTCACAATGGGGTCGTGCGGGCTGCATGGCTGAAGCGAATCGGCCATCCAGCGATGTACGTCGGGGACCTGATCGTTTGAGGTCGACACTTAGCATCTGACGCTTATACAGTTGACTCGCGACTGGTGCGGCAAACGGTAAACAAACAATCACGCTTCGCAGCAAGCGGAAGTGCGTTGTGACTGATCGAATTCACCAATGACGTCAATCGCTGACGTGGTGTCACGTTGCTGAAGTGGGTGGAGTCACGACGATGGGCTGCGCCTTCCCCTTCACGGAAGGGAGAAGGGGGGCGAGGCGGCGCAAAAATTTGAAACCAGCTTAGACCGATGTTCTAAACCCTGTAACTGCCTTAATATAACCTGTATTTGCAAAATTCTTGCGGCAGCATGTTCGCAAAGAAAAACTGCACATATATCTCTTTTTGAAAATTTTTGGACCTCAGGGCTGTTTACTGGCCTTTTGAAGGCGATCAGTTCTTTTGGTCAAATAACTCCAAATCCCATTTGAATAGTATATATCACATGTTATAAAAGGAAGTGAGCATATTTTTTTGTTATGGTTAAACTAACCTGCACAGTATATTTTTAAATTGAAACAAGGCCTGTGCAAATGCAATTCTTTTTGGTTCAAAATAAGTGCAAACTTCAACTTTGAAAGTAGTGGCAGGATTTGTCTTTCGGTGGAATGCAAGTGATGATTTGCAAATTATGTTTTGTTTTAGAATTTGCTATACTCAGAACATATAAGTCGGTATAACAAGCTTTTAAACATAAAAAACGGTGAATCGATGTGAGGGCAGTGGAGCTTAGCGGCCACGTGAATCTTCCCTGGTTAGATGTCTTCACGGCTTTGTCCCCCTTCACTACAGTGAAACCACCTTGCATGTAGTTTAAAATACATATGTTTGTTCATTCTGAATACTTCAAAATTTTCAATTATTCGAATTGGAATCGAAGTGACTTTGAACACAGTAATATTTGTTCAAATATTTGAAGCATTTGAGTATTTGCACAAACCTAACTACATAAAATGCAACTTGGAAACTTCGAGTGCAACTGTAGGCTTGCAAGATTTCTGGGTGTAACCATGTCTTGTCACTACAGCTGTGACAGCGGAGGCAATGTTGGCTCTGGTGTAAGTGTACAAGCCAATTTTTTGCTCATGTGGCACTGACTGAAGACGAAAGCAAAGGTATGCACATTACTTAAGCCTATGTTGACACATTCTGTTCAATGAGGGTTGTACATTAGGCAAGCAGCGTGTTGGTACAGCGCTCTGATTGAGTTGCTGCATCACTTTAATGACTGCTATGAGCGATATCTAGTGATGACCGCATCATGTCGCTGCTAATCCGGCGGCTGAGCTGAAGATAATGTTGGTTCTGGCGTAAGTGCACGAGTCGAATTTGCGCTGGATTGGCACTAGCTGTACATGCTCGAAACAGATTTATGTGTGGTGCTTAGCCCTAAATTTTGGTGGCATTCTATCCGTGAGAGCTTTACGTATGCATTGTATTCTCTGATAAAAAATAGATGTCGATTGGTGGCTGTGTTGTCGGCATTGTTATTTTGATAGGTTGTCAACTCTTGCATTCGCGTCTTGCTTTCTCTGGATACACTCAAACCTCGACATAACGAACCCGGGTGTGACTATTGTTTATAACGAAGTAAACAAATAATTTCTCTGTCATAGATACAGTGCTACAAATATATGTTTATAACGACTTTTCGTTATGACCAAGTATTTTCGTGGCCCTAGTGACTTTGTTATAATGAGGCTTTAGTGTAGTAGCCTTTTGCAATTTTTTTAGCTGATATCCTAGGTATCGCTGAAATGTAGCTGTGCGTTCCTCGCAGACGGCAACGACATGACCAAGCTGGACTGGGAGAAGACGAAAGTGCTCTTCAAGGACTTCCTGACCATCTTCGACAAGATAGTCCTGCCGACGCACAAGTGCTGCCACGTGCAGTTCCTTCTCTTTTACCTGTGCAGCTTTCGACCCGTAAGCGACGTTTCGCACCTTTGAAAAACTGAAGTAAAAACCTTACTGTACTCCATTGCAACCTAAGAAAAAGAAATGTCAGCTCAACCCAGAGAGTTGTGCCTCCCTTGCCCCTTCACCTTTGAGACAGTTGTACTGGCTGGTTTCTGCTCGAACCGTTAATAATTTTTCTCATCTAATGTTACTGCAGTCAATCCTGGATATATCGAAGCTGAAGGGGATCGTGTAACAGTTCGATAATTCGAAATAAGAAACAAGCTTTTTTAAGGCTTATATTGACGCATTGCAACTTTCGAAATGGCTATGGCAAATTTTAATAAGCAGTAATATGATTATTCGCTATCAGTAAGCTTAAGAAAAAGGTGACAACTTCTTGTTTTGTAAATTACTGCACTTCACTTCGTGTGAAGAAGTCTGTAAACTTGTCTTGCTTCTTGTGCCCCGTCAAGTTCATCAAGTCATCCTCGTTAATATCATTCAAGCGTTAAAAATGAGCAAATGCGGCACCTTCTGCTATAACAGCGTTGATTAATGGTGAACGGCGACGCAAGCTCTGTGGCCCGGCAAAATGTTGTCGAACGGTCGCTTTAGAATGTTAATGAGCGTGGGACTGCTTCTGCGGCATTGGCAACGTCGGCCATGATGTCAGCATCGATGCAGTCAGAAACATCGATGTCGTCATTTGCACTGATGAAGTCGCTTTCTGGACTCCCGTCTGATGTGGTGCCCCGCAAATTTTAAGTTGCAAATTTCACTGAGGCACTGTCCGCCGTTGTCAGTGGGGATGACGCACCCGAAGTCGTCACCTGTCACAGAAGCCCACAAGGAACTGTGCATGATGGCACTTTTCTTAATGTCGTTCCAAGCGTCAGTCATCATTATGTGCATGATGGCACTTTTCTTAATGTCGTTCCAAGCGTCAGTCATCATTATTATCATCGCTACGAGAGATGCAATGTTTTGTTTGACTCCCGAAAGAAGATTCAGCAGGAATGAAGCTAGAACTACTAAAGTCGACAGGCTGCAAGTTACAACGCTGTCACAAACAGATGTTGATGGCACCAGTGGCTTTTTAGGTAGCGGCAAAGGAAAAGCAAGAAAAAGTGCAGCCTCCAAGATGTTTATTTTATAATCCAGAAATGGGGTGGGGGGGCAAACATTCGTCATAAGGTTGCAGATCTCAAAAGCCATGCGTCTTGGGCCCGCGTGCATCGTGCGCGAACAAGCAAGGCAGAGAATGCGAACATTGCAAAGAGGCTATCGAGTCACTTTGTATTCATATGATTTTGGTGCCCTCGGCAATCAGACCTTTTGAAAAACACCATGTCCACAAGCTACGACACATCGGGCATCACGTGCCGGTGCGTTCACAAAAAGCGCTGCGCAACCAACTAATTTTACCGCCTTTATGTCCCCTGCATGCAAGGAGCGACCGAAACTTGTTAGAACGTGGCTGAGAAATGATCAATCTTTGTCAGAATAAATGCACTTTCTGGGCTTCGGCACGGCACAGCATTCGATATATCTCATGTTACATTCTGTGACAGTTCAATATATGCATGCAATGGTACTATACTTTTGCGTCGGGAATTCAAGCGGATTTATTAACTGTTTGATATAGCGAATAATTCTATATATATTAGTTCAATGTAACAGTAATCGACTGCACTATGCATATAACCAGAATCGACTGTACTAGGCAACAGCTCCTTTAATGAAAACATTCAATAGCAACTTGGAAAAGTGTTGCAGATCGCCTTTAATGGAAAGTGCACAAAAAAAGGGGGGGGAGAGTGAAGACGCAAGAAAAACATGAAATGAGCACCATTTGCTCACTGAAAGTTTCTTTCGTATGACCACTTCTCAGGCAGCCCTGGCTGTTGCTTTCCTGGACTACCTCTGGAAGAAAGTCCAGAACCCAGCCACATCATGCATCATTCGGCAGGCATCAGCGTTCTACATCGGGAGCTTTCTAGCTCGAGCGAAATACGTGCCTCTCAGGTAAGGAATAGGTCGAGACCTTTTGGCATTTCAGAATGTGCGTGCTAAAATGCCACCAGAAGTCAAAGTTAGTTCGGAGTCTGCAGCCGTGGCATGCCTTGTAATGGGATAGTGCTTCTGGCACATTATATTCCAGGTTTTCACTTGTTTAAAAACCTGTTTAGCACGATATAGTTTTTATCTTGTTGGATTTTACTGTCTTCATCATTCTCAGCGTGTACTATGTCCACTGAAGGATGAATGCCTCTCTCAGTGGTGTCTAATTAACACTGTGAGTCAATTTCATTTCACCGATGCCAACCTAATTTCGGAACTCCCTCTCGAGCCTTCCCCGATTGTGTGTCCCATTTCTTGGTAACCGTTCTGTGGCTCTCAACTGTCCACTGGTTGTCTTTGCTACGTATTACATGGTGTGGTAGGCCCAAGTGCATTTCTGTTGCTTATCAACTAGAACGTAACGTACGCCTGTTTCTTGTCTGACCTATTCTATTGTTTCAGTTCTTCCAATGTTACACCAGCATTTTGCGTTGCATTGCGTGTTGCAATGTTCTTGGCTTAGGATTCTTGAGTTATTGTTTGTTATTATTTTCCAGAATGCTGCCAGTTGTACACTCTCGGAATAGCTTAACAATATCGCATGAGCATCGACCCGAGGATATGGTAGCATCTATTACCAACAAGAAGCAAGGAGATCAGCAATGCAATGATCAGCGTCACACTGGTTTTCTGAACGTATGATCGCACAGATAAGGCTCATACAATCAGTATGCATTCAAGCCAACAGTGTAGTAGATAGCACTCGTGCACGAGTGTGCTCCCTGTGCCTGCGTATCGTGTAGGAAATCTCGTTACTTCTTGCCTATACAGTAAAATCTTGTCAAGGGGGCAGACTACTCTTAGACATTTTTTGTTTATTTCTTCAGTGATCTTGATCAAACTGCACAGAATTAGGAAGTTTTTTCTGCTGATTTCAAATGTTTAGTTTTTCTGTAACTCATCTTATTCCTGAGATAACTTAAGTTCACCCCCTATTGTTTAAGGCCGTTATAGAAAAAAAAGTACTTAATTCAAAGTGATTTTAAAATATCCTAATATAGACTAATGACTGTAGATTGAAATAATGCAAGAGTTTCTTGTTTTTAAGCCTTTCTTATTATTTTACAGCAAAATGAACTATCCATTTTCAAAAGCAGTTGGAATTGTGTTAAAATTTTGATGAGTAATTAATTAAAAAGACTTGTTCTCTAAATTCTGCTCCCATACTTGCACCCTACACACATACAGGTTTCCATTGCAAAAAGAATTATTGTTGTACCTGCCCTAGCTGCAGAGATATTGAGGCCTCAAAATTGAACAGTTGTAAATTTCCTTTTTTGGGAAAAATGGAAAAAACTGAGAACACACAGCTACTTCAAAAAGCAACAATCATGGTGTCCATATTTTGCAATCCTCATAAAAGTGCTCATAAATATGACAAAAATATTACCACTTCCTGGTGTGTAAAAATTTGCAGAGAGATAGCAAAATACTTGCAGATCTTCAGATACCAAATATGTAAATTTTAAAAAATGATTTTTTTTTGTCACTTTTTGGTCCCAAAGAGCAGTCTGCCGCCTTAATTCAAGCTTGGTTAATTTGAACTTACAGTTGATTCAAACCGATGCCCTGGTCATGGCTCAGTTCTTTTTATTTCTATGGGGGAAAACTCCCAATAATTTCAATGCGTCAGTATTTACAATGATTGATCTGAACTGGAGGCCAGTTCTGGGAGCCTTTCGTCTCTCCTCGCATGAACTGGCCCAGAAGGATCACCCAAATTACTGATTAATTTCAACCCTGTGAGACGAGTGTAGCAATTGATTTCCACATGTGCTTTTATGGTTGTAAATGTCGTTCGTCTGATCCTACTTATGTATGGGTGGCATGGCCCAGTCAGGCAGTGTTTGCCTGTTGCCGTGTACCATTGGACAATTTCAGTATTGTTTCAAAATATTGTTTCAAATAAACTAAGAAAGAAAGACTTTAAATATTAGTTGCGTAGGCTCTGCCATGTGGATGAACGTGTTTCGGAGTACAAATAGCTTTGTATATTTCGGCATTAAGGCTGATGCTCACGTGAATCGCTGCTTGTTTCTGGCGTATCACTGACTGATCACAATAAATTCTGTGCAGTTAATTAACGAAATTACCTGCCACACACGTGTAGTATTGCCTAATTTGAGGGAACGAGTCCAGAGGTGGCTTCTCTGGATTTTCTCGGCACAGTCAGGTGCGATGTCTGTTCATTCCAGCGCCTGTCCAATAATTTGAACTCTGCCTAATTCGGACCATGTCTTAGGAGGCAGTTTTATAGTCTCCTATGAGTTCTTATTAGTGAGTTTTTACTGCATTAGGCAATATCATGTCCCGGGGTCGAAAATTGGGCGATTAGAGTTTTAGTGTCGGGCACCACTGGCATGCACGTGCGCTTGCGTTGCTTATGCGCTCCTGCCCACATCCATGGAGAATACAAAGGAACCAAGGTATCTGGTGTGTAAGCTGCTTTGGGGCCCCGGCACTGAAACTCCGCATTGTTGAAAAATTGCAAGGGTGTACATTTCTGCTTGCTCAAATCCTCTAACAGCCTTGCTAAGTAACAGGCAGTATCTGAAAACCATTAAATAAATATAAGTAAATAAACTTTCTCAATGCAGCACGGTGTGCGACTCCCTGTCCCTGATGTGCCAGTGGGCGCACGGCTACGTGGCTTCGTTGAACGACGGCGGCTTCTGTCAGCACCAGCACGACGTCCTGCGGCACGGGACCTTCTACGCCGTCTGCCAGACCGTCTTCTACGTGTTTGCCTTCCACCACAAGGGCATCGCAGACGGTGCGAAAGGTGAGGTTTGCGCTTCTTTCTTGGCGTTGAAGGGGTGAACCACCATGGTGTTTTGCTGCTATGCCAGAGTTCGGGGCTTAAAAATGACACCCCAGTATAGAATGAGAATACTGAATGACACATGTGCATAAGTGCCAGCTTTCCCTTTAAATTAGGTCAGCAACAAATAATATAAATAATTTAATAAATAATATTTAATAAGTAATTAAAATAGGTCAGGACTACGAGGCAACATGAACCTGTTGCATATCACTAATCATTGATAAATAATTTATATATCTCGCGAATCCATGATTTCCCATGTAGTGCCTATTTTAAGGTCCGGTTAGAATAAAAGGGGTGGAGGGGCGGAGGAAGGGGAAGCATGCTAGGTCGATAGTATGTTCGTACGATTCTGCTGGTGGCTCTTTATACACATATGGGGTGCTGTTCCATGGTACACCATCTTTTAATGAACTTCTGTTTTAAGTCCAGCCTTGTCCTGCACAATACTTTTTTCTTCTGCTCACACTTGAAGCTTGATGGAACCATTCACTTCACACCTTGTGAGTGTTACGAAGACTGTGTGCAAATTATGTAGGTGCACAAGGATGACGGATTATAAAACTGCCTATAGGATTAGAAGATTATAAAGCTGCATATAGATTACAGGGACCTTATGCTTTGTAATAGGACATTGTGCAGGGACATTATAGTTTTGCGTACAAATCATGAAAATGCCTTCTGTTGAGGGACATTTCTCATCGCCGATTGTGAAGACATACGGATTAGGACTAGGCACATACATGTGAACGTCAGAGCGTGGCTAAGGACAGGTTTTTAGTGTTGATGAAACGTCACCTCCAGTAGCTTCCTAAAGATTTCGGTATTTTGGATGTTGGCAGTGTTATCAACAAAGTTGTTCCATGATCCAATGTCCATTGTACCGTGCTGCAGGCCTGCAGTACCTGCGAGAACTAAACCTGGAGGCGCTGGTGATGTGTCCGCTAAACCCCCTGAAAGCCTGCCTGCATGCCGTGGTCAAGCAGTTTGCCTCGATAGCACGCCACTACCAGCTCGTCTACTGCTACAGTGTCATCGAGCGCAACCAGCGGCTCGCCTTGCCCACGGCCAGCGGGGGGGACGCGCCCTACGGGGATGCAGTCCTCGACGCATTCTTCCCCTTCGATCCCTATGTGCTGAAGCGGTGAGACTTTTTTCGGGGCTACATGTCACTTGCGAGTTAGAACCACGTGATTTGCATGTCTTCCGCATACTTTTTCTCAATAAATGGAGCTCCTGTTAACGAGAACGCTGCTTTCCGGGTCTCTTTGTGGCTGTCTTGGCGTAAAGAACAAACGGCAGTTTTCAGGAGTGTAGGACTGTGTTAGGGCATTGCACTATCAAAGTGATTATCGTTACCTTCAGCCTGACTGCACCCACCGCAGGGCAAAGGCCTTTCCCAGGTTTTGCCAAATAGTACGGTTCTGTGCTTGCTGCAACCGCCTCATCCCCGCAACCTTCTTATACTCCTGTCACACGGGCACCCGCGAAGACCGTTTAACTCCCTCGTCCTTACGACAACGAAGTTGCAGTCCATATCACACGGCCACCCTTACGCAAACGAAGGTAAACGGAGCATTTCGCAAAGGACGTTCGACGATCTCCCTTCGCAGCAAAACGAGGTACTCTCGTCCCCAGCAGTCTAGAGGTCAGAGAAAAATTTTGAGCAGTAAGTGGCCACAGTGAAAGAATAATACATTTTGGCAGTATTAAATGTTTTTTTGTTGTAGTACTCAATCACTACGTGTGTGTGTTTACATATATTTACGCCCGCCAGAGTTCACTTACTCTCAACACCAATGCCTTATACCCCTGTCACACGGCCACGGGCACCCGTGAAGACCGTTTAACTCCCTCGTCTTTAGGACAACGAAGATGCGGTTGGTGTCGCACGGCCACCCTTACGCAAACGAAGTTGAACGGAGCATTTCGCAAAGGACGTTCAACGATCTCCCTTCGCAGCGAAACGAGGTACTCTCGTCTTCAGCAGTCTAGAGGTGAGAGAAACATTTCGAGCACTAAGTGGCCGCAGTGAAAGAATAATAATTTTAGCAATATTAAACGTTCTTTCGTTGTAGTACTCATTCACAACGCGTGTTTGTTTACAATATTTACGCCCGCCAGAGTTCACTTACTCTGAACACCGATGCCCTACACACCGTGCCTCGCGAGTCGGGCCGGCCGGCGCCAGCCGATCAACGTCATTACCAGCGCAATATCGCACCACTTCCTCACGTCGTCCGCTGTGTCACTCATGGCTGAAAAACACAAAATGTGCGCTCACGAGGCAAGGAAGCATAAGAACTTTCGTACCGGGCATGTACACAGGCAACAAAACAACTAAAAGCACAATGTGGCCAGTATCACTAGCAGCATTGCTACAATTAGCAAATGCGTTTTTATTTGAAATTATTTTTAATGATTTATTAGTCCCGTACCTACTTTATAGTGCTTTTTTGTAAAAACCGCATACAGTATAACCTCATTACAACGGACTCGGGTACAACGGACATTCGGATACTACGTACCAATTCGCGGCGTTATGCTGATCTCCCTATCTTTTCCATTGATTGAGCTTCGTTTACAACGGACTCGGATACAACAGACATTCGGATCATCATCATCAACTATGATATCCTTAACCTCCGTTTGTCCCCTAATCCACTCCGCTCTCTTCTTGTCTCTCAAGGTTACACCTACCATTTTTCTTTCCATTGCTCGCTGCGTCGTCCTCAATTTAAGCTGAACCCTCTTTGTGAGTCTCCAGGTTTCTGCTCCGTAGCTAAGTACCGGCAAGATACAGCTGTTATATACCTTCCTCTTAAAGGATAATGGCAATCTACCTGTCATAATTTGAGAGTGCTTGCCGAATGTGCTCCACCCCATTCTTATTCTTCTAGTTACTTCAATCTCGTGGTTAGGCTCTGCGGTTATTACCTGTCCTAAGTAGACATAGTCTTTTACAACTTCAAGTGCACTATTACCTATCTCGAAGCGCTGCTCCTTTCCGAGGTTGTTGTACATTACTTTCGTTTTCTGCAGATTAATTTTAAGACCCACTTTTCTGCTCTCCTTGTCCAACTCCGTAATCATGAGTTGCAATTCGTCCCCTGAGTTACTCAGCAATGCAATGTCATCGGCGAAGCGCAGGTTACTAAGGTATTCTCCATTGACTCTTATCCCTAACTGTTCCCATTCTAGGCTTCTGAAAACCTCCTGTAAGCACGCGGTAAATAGCATTGGGGAAATTGTGTCCCCCTGCCTTACACCCTTCTTGATTGGTATTCTGTTGCTTTCTTTATGAAGCACTATGGTAGCAGTTGATCCCCTGTAGATTTTTTCCAGAATGTTTATATATACTTCATCTACGCCCTGACTCCGCAGTGTTTGCATGCGGACATTCGGATATAATTGACCAAATTGTGACGCCAGCAAGGTGGTCAAGCCTCCTTTACAGCGGACTTTTCTATCACGGACATCCGAGATTCAATTGTTTCCGATTTCAGGCATCGCTAGGCATAGTTGCGGCATGGGAAAAGCACGCCGGCGGTGTCAACAGAAGCGGCGGCCATTTCAGGGAGGTCGCGCTTGGCTTGGATTGATCTGGCTGCCGGGGCTGACTTCGACTTCTGTTACATTTAGCGAGCCATAATTTGCAATGATTGCAATGTTGTCAAAATAACATAAAGATAAAAGATGAAAAAATCTTAGACTCGTAACGGACAATAGTGACCACTTGCATAAAACTGTGGTCAAAGTGAAAAAATAAATAGAAAGCATGCGCTTGGCAGCGGCCCCTCTCGGAATAAAAGGTTTAGTGGCGCTTATGCTCGGCCCGGCGCAGGCGCTGCTGGCGCCCTGGCGCCGTGTACTTCGCTTTGTTCAATTGGGGCAGTTGGGGCTGTTTGGCCTCATGGTTTGTCATTGTGTATCCTGTTGGCCTCTGTGCATTGCGGACGTGATCGTGGTGTGATGGAACCGATGGAGCCGAACGCATCAGCCAACGCCGTGCGTCACAAAGCGACGAAGCGCAAGCAGATTTCCCTTAAAGACAAGCTTGATATCATCGAGCAAGTTGAGAAGGGAAAGAAGCAGGTGGACGTCGCCGTGGCCTACGGCTTGTCGAAGCAGACAATTTAGCACTATCATCAACGCCAACGAGGCAGTCTTGGCGAAGAAAGTCTCAGGTGACTTGCAACCCAAGAGGTTCCGGGGCCCTGCTGATGTGGCTTCGTGGCGCCCGTTCGCGAAATATACCCGTTCACGGACTGCTGCTACGAAAATGCGCGGAGCAACTTGCCGTTGTTCTTAACCAAGAACAGTTCCAGTGCAGCGAAGGCTGGCTGAGCAGATTTAAATCTAGGCATGCCATCGCGTTTAAGTGCCTTTCTGGAGAGTCTGCCAGCGTTGACGACACTGTTGTAGCCGACTGGATAGCAGATGTTCTACCTGCACACCTTGAAGGCTATGCACCGCGGGATGTATTCAATGCCGATGAAAGCGGCATTTTTTATAAGTTAAAACCAGGCAAGACTTTTTGTTTTGGCGATGACACATGCCACGGCGGCAAGAAATCTAAGCGCATTAGTGTTCTCTTCTGCTGTAATATGGACGGGAGCGAGAAAGAAAAACTCCTGGTGATAGGGAAGTCGAGAAGACCACGGTGCATGCGCAATATGCACGTTCCCGTGGACTGGCACTCCAACAAAAGTGCTTGGATGACAAAAGATATTTTTAACAAATGGCTACTCGATTTTGACAGCAAGATGGTGAAGCAGAAAAGGAATGCGATACTATTCCTGGACAATTGCTCAAGCCATATGCAGCTTCCCGGGCTTCATGCAACGAAGGTGGCGTACTTTCCACCGAACACAACGTCAAAAGCTCAGCCGATTGACCAAGGTATTGTGCACTCAGTGAGGTCACGGTACCGCTCACGCCTTGCTGAGCGTTTGCTTTTTGACATGCAGCAGAAGCGGGACTCAGTGATCGACCTGAAATTTGCAGTGCAGGTGCTGTCAACTGTATGGGCGCAGATTCAGCCAGGAATCGTAAAGAATTGCTTTAGGAAAGCAGGTTTCCGAGTTGACAGCGACTGCACAGACTGCTCGCCACAGGAAGACCAACCAGATCCTGGTGTGTGGTCAGCTGTGGAGGAGGCCTTTGGGAGCCAGCAGTTTTCGGATTACGTCACTGCAGATGATGACCTGGTCAGCTCAGAGCAGCTGACAGATGAAGAGATTGTAGCCCAAATTCGCCAAGTGCCTAATGCTGAGCAAGAAGAAGAACAAAATGAAGAAGGCAACTCAGGGATTGTCACAGAGGAGGTCACAACTTCTCAGGCGTTGGACTACATTCAAGGGCTCAAAAACTATTTTGAACAACAGGCCACGACTTCAGATGAAATGAACACACTTGTCATGATGGAGACACGTATAGTGTCTAAAGCTGTCCGCCACACAGTACAGGCAAAGCTGACTAGCTTCTTTCAAAACATTTAATAAATCCGTTATTTGACTATGTTTGTGACTTTCAATTCTCTCCTGTTATAACAGACTCATTACGTGTTTACGTAAATGTCTGTTGTAACAGTACATGGATTGTACAGACTCCTTTTACAACAGACCAAATCCTCTTCACTATGAAGGTCTGTTGTAACGAGGTTTTACAGTAACGAGGATTCACAAAAAAATCAATAGGGATTAAATTAGAATACTTTTCGAAAATCAAACAGCGCCAGCTGAGCCCCCTCGCGGCAACTGTTACAACCTTGTCATTGCCGTGTGACACTGCCACAACTCCTTCTCCGTCGAACCCCCTAGGGGAGATTTACGTTGACGATGTTCAACAGAGTTTGGTGGTGGCCGTGTGACAGGGGTATTAATCTTACCTGCCCACCTAGCTTTCTGCCTCCCCATTGTGTATTTGCTCTTTTTTGAAATTCAGTCGGTTACACTTAACAATAAACGATCATCTTGCCATTGTGCTACATGCTTGGTCCATGCCCATTTGTTCCCTGACCCACTGTACTCCGTTCGTGTCCTTTGAGGTTATGCCTCTTGTCTTTCCATGGCTTGCTGCATTGAAGAGTAGCTGGCATAATTTATGCCTCCAAACAATGAACTGCAGTGCTGTTTATTTTGCATTGTTTACTTCTTCTGACAAGTTGCCCTTCCTTTTTTTTGTGCCCTCTATCGCATGCGTTCCAGCACCGGCAAATGGATCGATCCGCTGTACAGGAAGTTCGAGAAGTCCGACGAGGAGGAGGATGCGGACTTGGATGACGAACTCGAGGTCTGCATTCCATCCCATCTTTCGGCAGCGATGCCTTTGCATGAACGGTGCAGCTTTTTCTGCTGCTGCGTTATTTAGGTTGCGAATCTCCCCGTCAAGGCGTCCCAAGCGGCCTTGTCGACATTTCAAGCGTCTTGGTTTAGTTTGCCTGGTGGCTTGATGATTGTACTCGCCAGCAGAAGAGGTGAGGGTGACATCTATGATACATTTTTAAGTCCTGCCACCAGAAACGTTACCGTCGAAACATATATATTTTTAATGTACGCATCGTACCTAAACATGAGCCATCACCAACGGCACCATGTACGGTAATTCCACTTCTGCAGACGGTGCCGTTGCCCCTTCTGCGATTTTGTTGTCCGAGTGCGATGCATGTGTCAGTGGCGATGAAGTTGAGGAGGGGGAGCAGGTGCTAGAGCAAACGGCTTCATTGACCGTTACTGCACTGAATTTGTTGCGGAGACAAAGGCACGTGGCACTGTTCATGCTCCAAGACAAGTTTATTTACGTGGCAGAGGCAACACGATCTAGATAAAATGTAATCAGTAATTCATATTTGCTTGCGGTTCTGTCACCAGCCTCCCGGCATCGCTTGCAGCTTGTCCAAGACTTCTAGTGCAGCGTCCGAATTCTCATGCGACGAGAAATTCTGCTGTTTCGTTGCTTTGCATCTCTACCAAATTCGGTTCGGTTTTTTTACACATTGCCATCACACGGGGCAGACTTCTGCGAGTAGAGATGAAAACCAGGAGCTCCCTGTTCGAATGAACCGTCCTAGATACCGACGCGTTCGAATTATTGGGAGTGTTCCCAATTGCACAGGGCTGTGCCGGGACCGGGCCTTCAGCTCGAATCAACTAAGTTCGTATTAATGAGGTTTTAGTGTATTTGTGTGAAATAAAAAAGCTGTAGCATTTGGGGCCTGTTTTAGGAATGATTGCCTTGCTACTAGAATAGTATTCAATGTGTATTTGCATTCGATTCAGTATTATCACTGTTCGATTCCTTTGTTATAGATTTCAGTATACGCACACCACTAATTGCAGTCGTCCATGTTTATGCAAAATATTTTGCAGATGTCTAGAAAAGTTGTTCGTTTTGTTTTGTTGTTTTAATGTGAAGAATGATTATGATTTGCTCCTATTTTTTTCTCCCAGGACGACGAAGACGAGTTGATGTGCAAGTCCCCGAAGTCGCCGAACTATGTCGCCGAGATGTTCAGTTACGGCGCGTCGCCGGGCTTCAAGCGTAGCCTATCTTTAAACCATCACCGATAGTAATTGTATACAGCTTGAAGAAGTAGGGATTATATTGTTATTGCTACCGGCGCGAAGCGACAAGGTAGAATTCAATGGTTTTTGTTTATCTTTCATTTTGCTGCTTTTGACGTCGTTGCAACGACACTGCCACTCGCGGACAAAAAGTCAGATACGCAGTCAACTTCGAAGTGCGGCGACAGTGGCATTATGCGAAGGCGATCTCGCTTATTTCACTTCATCATCTTCTGTGACCATAACCGAGATAACTGCTTCCTGTGCGACACTGAAGTGTTGTAATTTATTCAGAAATTTCTAGGAACTAAAATGTAAATATTGAGAACTTTAATTGTTGAGCTGCTAATGGCAAACAGCTTGGGTCAAAAGTTTATGGGATGTGGTTTCTGTGAAAAAAAAAAAAAAACCATTTCTTTTTTTATTTTAGTACTTTCCGAAACCTGATTTTTTATTTGTACAGTATATAAGTGTGTGAGGCCTATGTAATATTTAATAAGCATAGTACTTAACAGGCACAAACAAGGAAGGGTACGTTCACATTAAACATTTTTTACAAAACCTGCATCTTGTAGTAAACTTAAACCCAGGCATGGAAACCTGCATTGCTAAGAGAAAATATGTACATTTTGTGAAGCAAGCAATCGTGTTCAGAAAACGTGAATACATTACTCGACGAGCATGCCGCTCATGCTTTTGCAAATCTGGAACCTTGCTGTGAAATAAAAAAAGGCTCAACAGACATATCTCATTGTGTTGTGCTGCTGTCATTTTAGGAGTTTTGACTTCTCTTTCAGCTATTCATTCTATGTGCTTTAAGTTACAGTCATCTTATGTCAGCTCAAGCAACATGGTAGTGGCAATCAGTGGTGCACTGTGCCCGTGTGCTCCCCCTAGTGACAAATGTGCCGCTCCAATTCCTCCAAAAGAGGAATGCTGCTCCCAAGTGTGATATTTGTCAGTAACTGCTCCAAACCTGCTCCGAAACGGAGCTGGGAAACAAAACATTGAACTTCAATTGGGTTAGCATTCAGTGAGACTGAACAAAAACTGGCTGTATTCTATCGTATTGACAATGCTACATGTGCTGACATTGTGGATATCTATTTAGTGGACAAGCAGACTATTTTAGTGAAATGTGTGTGAGGTTAGTTTAGCATCATAAGGATTACTAACTGCTGCTGTAAATACTATGATGTGTGGCTGATTACATTACCGCATTATCAATCTTGAGCTCATAAATGTCACAAAAACTGGCATTTCAAGTCTGTAGCTTATTTTAATTTTGAAAATTTCAAGGCTGACTGTTCTGGTGAAATATGAAAATAACACACAGTACACGTACCGATTATAGACTGCTGCTTTGGCAACAGGTTACATGTGACAATGGCTGCTTTTGTAATTTGGTGCACAGCTTTATTGCTTTTATATGATATATACCACAGCTATTAGCATTTCAAATATAGGTAGCCTAGGTAGCAAAAACTATATTTCAGTGACCATCCAACTGGTTAACTGTTTCGTGCCATTTAAAGTGATTATTGTATGTGCAACATGCTTTATAAGTATTAATACTTATAAGAAGCTTCAATGACATTTTTAACTCCAGACATCGTTCAGCATATTTTGCCATCAGCTCCGAACACATAAATAGTTGCTCCAAACTAGCCTTTTTTTTTCTGCTCCAAAACATCTTTTTTTTCTCTGGAATATACTTCAAAATCGAAATGTCGCTTCCATCACTGCCCCCTCCTCCCCCATGTTCTTTTGCCAGCCATGGCATACGGAGTGAAGAATTACACTCGACCACGTCTGCTTGCCAAGCTCCCTCACTTCGGAAGAAATCAGTGCTCTCCCCCCATAGGAGAAAGTATTTCTGCCAACATCCCTGGTGGCAACCACAGTAGAACACCACTTGTACGTTTTCCCACATATGTGTGCGACATCTAGTTAGTCCCAGTGCGGAATATACAGACACCTATATGCTTATAAGAATATTCTTTTTACATCTTCCCACTGTGTTTTTGCCTGATAGGTTGCAAACTGTTACCTTGCTAGATGTGCAAAGCAGCTATTTCATTGAGCTTTGTAATGTGGATAGCCACAAAGTCGTCCAAGTACTTGAAAAGTCTGGTACCAGCAGAGGCATGAAAAAAAATGCTGAGTACTATATTTTGCAACCAACCTTATTGCATGTTTTACTTGAGTTTTCGTGCTCTCTACGTGCATTATAAGGGAGCAAAAATAGCAACAGGTTAAAAGATAACAGCAAAATTTATCAGTGAATTCTGACCTACTTTGTTAACAATATGCACCTATGGTGGCAGAAAATGGAGAAGGAAAATGGAAGACAAGAATGGTTGGTTTGTGAGTATGGGCCTTAGACTTTCTTCCGGAACCTCTTTAGAAACTAGTGATTAAGTCTTTTTTAGGTAAAGCTGTGAGCAATGCATCTGTTTGCTTATTGATCAAAACTTTTCTTATATCTTTATGGCATGGTTATGTTATGCATTTCTCTAATGGGTGTACAATGAAATGAATTACACTGTTATATATGTATATTTTTTACTTGGGCTGTATTTGATCATGTCACTGTGAATTTCCTGGGCCGCTGAACTGTACCTGCTAGTTAAGTCGCATCAGTACTTTTTAACTCTGGTGCACAAGAAGGCTCAACAATCTAGAAGCCATACACCATGCATTTTCATGTTGCGTGATGCAAACGTAGTAACCGTGAAAATTCATAAAACGTGCTCAATCCAACAGCATCCTCAAGTACAGGTGATGCAAGAGTAAAACGGATCTTGCGAGCTTTGGCCGAGCTACGGAAAACTGCATGTCAGCGTGCTCTATAAGGGACGCGATTCTTTCTTTACAAACTGAATTGTGCCACAACACAGTGCTATTATTTCCGTATGTAAACCAATAGCCACATTTCTTTCGGAACTAACTGGCATGCACATTTGCGTAGCTTGGCCACGGCTAGCGTGCTTCGTTCTATTTTTGGAACTACTGAACGTACGAAATAGCATGTCGCCGTGGAAACTGCTTCGCAAGGTAGACTTTATTACGGCTACTGCAGCGCATCATACGGCCATAAATTGACGGTTCGCATGGCTCGGGCAGAGACCACACCGTTAGTTGGACTCAGCATTCACGAACAAACAGCTGCACGATGTCGAACAGTCAAAAAACTGCCGAACAGCGATCAACATCGCCCCCAAAGAAAACAGCGTAGGCACAGTTTTAAACACGATTCTCCACGAACAACAACCGCTTCTTTCACAAAAGCCGCCGCGACCTCAACGTGCAGTAAGCCCCCCTTGCTCGCGCGAATTTGGCGCCTCGTTCGTTCATTCAGTCTTCAGCACTCGTGTAGCGCTTGGTTGACGACGATCCAGTCGTTAATCTGCCGGCACCTGTCTTCGTAGAGCGGAATGCTCCAGTTCCAGGCGGTTATCTTGTCGAAACGGCCGCTCACGTAGAGTTTCTTCGTGCTGCATTCGCAGTCGGCGTCCGTCGCCGCGCTCCGAGCTACGATGCCGCTGTAGCCCTCGGGAAGCGTCAGGTGGCGGCCTTTCAGCGGTCGTCCCCGAAGGTGCGACTTGAAGATGCCCGGCTGTCCGTCAAGCGGTTCGACGTGGGGCAGGAAGTACGTCGACGCCTTGGCCTTTCCGCGGTGCTTGATGTCGCAGGAAAACAGGTGAACGTCGACCGTTTTGGCGCTCTCCATTTTGAGATCGGCGACGGCCATGTTTGTTGATCTTGGCTTTTCATTGCGTGGATGAATGAAGCAAAACAAACCGCTAGCACAAAGCTTGAAGCAAGACCTTCACAAAAGAAGAGGAAATATAAAAAATAATTTTTTTGTATATTTTATCAATCAGCAAAAATTATAAAAGTGTGCTCAAGCAAAAAAAAAAAAGAAAACGCAAGTTTATTAGTAGGAAAGATAACAGGCGTCCTCTATAAAAAATAAGCGCGGGAACGGAGTTTGAATTGTTGTACATGGCTGTTGGTGTGCTGTGACCATTCAACAAATAAAAATGTACGCTAGGTTAAAAAATTAGCGCTCAACAGCCCATTACGTTACACGGCAGTTACAGCCAACAACCACTTCAAGTTGGCAACATTGTTATAATCAGCCATGGATGTAATTGGATGTAATTAGACATAATGAACCTCAAGGAAAGTTAGCTCTGTTGTTATCAGCAATAGTAAATGATCAATCGAACTGGAAGGGGTGAACTAGAAGAACTGCTATTTTCTGTGACCGTGTAGTTGAACATTGCACAGGAAAAAAAAAAAAAAAAAAACTGCAGTAACAACTCACATGCTTTTCCTTTGTGTATTTCGTCCTGGTTTTTCGTGCACTGCTAAACATCAGTATGAAGAAGTAGTTGCTGGTAGACACTTCAAGATAAACTTGCAAGTTCCTTGAGCAGGCTACACTCAAGTCAAAAGTCTGTTATAAGGAGTTTATAAAGTCCCATCTTAGCAGGAATCACCTCGAAATTTTTGAAAATTCGTCGTAAATGTGTATTCGTAACACTATGCTTATGAGAAGACTATACTTAGCCTACTTATCGTTATAATGATAATTTGTTATACCAGTGTTCATAATACCAAAGTTTTGAGTTACAGGGTCATTGTTACAAGGTGTGAATAACAAGCTTAAAAACTGATGTCTGATGCATAATTCTGAAAAACTGTTGTTTTGTTTATTGACACAATCATTAGATGTCACATAAACATTTCGATAGTGAAGCAGAGTAAATCTCCTAATTTCTGGTTTTACTACTATGGAGGTGGTAAACAGATGTTTATGATGTTCAAGAGGTGGGGCAAGCATCAGTCATTTCAGCCTGAGGCAATGACATCACAAAACAAAAGAAATGCATATGAATTATTTTATTTCTATGCTATACAGGCACCTGCAGAGCTTGGGGTGCAATACAAATATGCGTGAAAATAACGAAAAAAAGAAATGTCCAGCATTAAGCGATGGTACTTGTGTTTCTGGACAGTGATCAAGGTTTGCGACACATCTTCCTTTGGAAGAAAATTACGAAAACTGTACAGTTCCTACGCCGCACCGTCGGATGCGGATTGGCCGTCCTCGTCTTCTCAGACGATCTCGCACGTTCCACCGGCCATCTCGATACTCGCTTTAAGCTTCTCTGCCTCGTCTTTCGGCAACTCTGCTTTCACGACCTGGGGCGCGCTCTCCACAAACTTCTTGGCCTGGAACGAATATTGGCGTCGGTCAAAACTTGAACAGTAAAACCATGGAGCAGGCAATCTAATATTAAATGATACTGCATTCAACGTCTGTGTCACTAAAGACGTTGAGAGAATGTAAGTGAGGCTATCCAAATGTCTTTGCACTGTTACGATGGCACGTCAGCAATATCCATATTGGTGAGTGGTAAATGGCACGAATATCATGTTCCTGTAAATGTAGTGCGCAATGTCCAAGCTGACCCGAAGGATCCTTCAGTGAAGCAAGCCAACAGAGCAAATAACGATCATTAACGACATCAATGAGACGGCTGTACACAAAAGGGTAAAACTTCTGTAATGCCCAAACTATTGCCAAACCTTCCTTTTCTGGTAGCAGAGTATTGGCATTCTGCCTTCCTTAGGGCGTGAATAGCATATGCAAATACACACTCAGAGAAGCCAGGCTTGCGTTGAGCAAGGACAATACCATCTTTACTCTACTGCAGTGCGGCCATGGTTGTAACGCAAGGGGTAACTTTTGGTTACACCAGGGGGGGGGGGGGGGGGGGGCGAATAATAAAACAAAAAAGAAAATAATTGCATTTATCATCACACTTTTAGCGCAACATGAATTTTGGTATTCCATTGTAATGTCAGGGTCAACTTCAGGTAGCAAAAATCTGGAAAAAACAAAACAAAAACTCGCTTTACATTCAAAATAAATATGGTACGTTCAAACATATTAAAGATAAATGCATATCTTTTCAACCAACAATGATGCGTGAAGGCTTTGCGCAAAGAAGACAAAACATAAACAGGAACACAGAGACACACACAAAGTGCGAACTCTAAATTGGCTTCATTGTGTGACAGCAGGAATGGGTAATTACTCAAACCCCGATTTAACGAACTGAGTGTACCTGTACAAGGTTGATGCCCTCCATGAGGTTTTTGATCTCCTTAATAAGCTGGATCTTCTTGGAGTCTTCAAACTTAACGAGCTTCACCGTGAACGACGTCTGAACCTTGGCCACTTTGTCACCTTCGTCCTCCTGCATTGCAAGGATTACATCGGAATTATACGACTTTCCTAATTTATTGGTGTTGAATTAACAAGCTCTGACTGTATTCGCTTTAGATTCGTGTCCTAAGGTTTCGATAGCGTTGTATTTGTGACTATACTGCGCTATTTTTATCGACCGTTATCAATAACAATTTTCGGCCAGACAGCTGATCTCAGTATTAACGACAAAAACCTACCTGGTGCTTTGTTCTCAGCGCGAGGTGACACAAAGCAATGGCTTATTTCACCCTTTATTTGTCACTGTCAGCGCAGTAAGCGAGTAGCAAGTGCAAATTTGGACTGAAGCGTGCAGTCACTTTTGCACGGCCGCTGCCATGTTGGCTTGTAATCAAAGTTGCCAGCGGCTACTGGTAGAACAATTACAGGCATGCAACGTAAATACAAATAAGAAAAAAAAAAAGCATATGACACATCTATGTACACAAAACATGCCGAACGAACGCAACTGTCGGAGCCCTATTAGCTGTAAATTGATTAATATCTAGAACATGTGGCTTGCTCGCACTCTGTAGCTTTTGTAGTGCAGCACGAGACGGAGTATAGGCATATCTGAAGACCTTCTAGCCACCCATGCACATCGACACTCTCACGGAACTATGCTGCTGATGCTGTTTTGTTTATCATTGCGAATAATTTTATGTGAGGATTGATGCCCGCCTATCGTACTGCCTGCTCGTGTTTGATTCATTGTAGGGGTACACTTTGTATACATTTTTATGCCTTCGTGATAAGGAGGCCAGATGTGCAGCCTTGCCAAGTGGGATAACCAAACGAGTGCGTTAGAATTTGAAAGCACTAACGTAAGACAATGAAAGAGACTATGGACTTCACTTGTGCATACACAGAGCCACAAAATGAGCATGACATCTATACCAAGTTGATTCAAAGTCAGACCAGGAAGAATGACAACACTTCAAAAAGAAAACATTCATTGTCTGAGCTGAACAAGATAACGCTACAACGGGACTCAAGTAATTGATTTTCATAATGGGAAGAAATGAGGCTAAAGTAATTAGTAATGGCTTTAAAAATTTTCAGCACATGACCTGACAACGCATCTATGCCGAGAGTTGATCAAGGCGACAGATTACCGTAACCCACGCGCACATTCAACAACAACAACAACAAAAAAACGCCATTAAACTGTTTGTAACCGGCAGTTACCTCTTGAGGTGCGGCGGCCGCTGGCGCTGCTGCCCAAGCTCCTGCCATCATAGGTGTTTCTTGAATATTAAGGGTTTTCTGCCAGGAGTAAAGGAATGAACACACCCAAAGTTAGCACTGCGTACGTAAGGCAACTACCACATTTTTTCGCAATTGCGCACTGCTGTAATTCCCGTTGCTTGATCAACGGTGAACTCACTGCGCCCATCGTAAGAGCGGCATTCAAACAGCTTGTCGCCGCGCAACATTCGACCGCCGTCATGGACACCGAACGTCGGAAGCAGTTTTGCGTACCTTGAGAAGTTCGTTCAAGTCGGCCACTTCCATGAGCGTAAGCTTGGCGATGTCGTCCACTATCCGGGTGATCTTCTCCGGATAGTGTCTCTCCTCCGCACTTGGCGTGGGCTGCGCCAAAACTTCGGTACTGTAGGACTTCGCGGCTACGGACTACAGCGGCGGTCGGCGTTGGGGCGCATCTGAAATCGAAAACGCACCGACCTGAAATACCTCCGTGACGTGAAAAGTGCTATTCCGTGAGGCCCACAATTAGCGCAACCCCTCAGAATGAAGGTCAAACGCAAATCTAAGAGAGAAGTGCGGAAAAGCGTAGACAATGCACTCTCTCCGCATCACCGGCGCTACGAAAAAAAAAAGACCATGTGCGCTACGAGGACGATCGAGAAATTGATCGCTGAAGCAAACGAGATGCCAACCTTTTGTGGATCCCTCGGACGCAATGCCTTCCCGCAGATAGGACCGAACCGCACCTACGTGCCAGAGCAAGTGAAAGGGACATATTTGCTGATCGTTGCGAAAAGTTCACTAGCCGAAACCGATTCTAACCCTCAGATCGAGAAACACATGCTCCGTTAGTACAGCTCCGCAGTTTCAACAAACCGCCTCAAATAAACTACAAAAATTTTGATAAATTTATAACTAAAACACTTTTAATTTAGTAATTACATGTAAGTTTTTTCAGGTAAAGTAGAAATTTTAATTGAAAAATTAGTATTGACAATAATAAATGCGGTCCTTTTATGCGTCTGCTTGTCTGCCATGTTGTCTGCTACTGCAGTTGTTCGCAGCCATGTCTGTTGACGACCGATCCTCCGGAGAGGCGCGTTAAAAAAAAGAAAAATAGAAGCACCGTGCTCGAAGCCACGAAAATGGACGTTTCAGCGTAAGCTTCTCGGGCATCACTCTGAACAGCTGCGAGGGTCGTGCAATCCAGTCTTGCCATGGCAGTCAGCGCGGATCCGTCCACAACAACATGGGGTTGAAACGTCGCCGACCCTTATGGAAGGGGGTGGAACCCCGCGTTGTCTCACGCCGCTTCGATAGCAGATGTGAGTGCGTTTTGCGCATCGCACGCCGTCTTTAAGGGCCGGTTTCGCTCTCATCCGACGTGACGAAGTGTACGCATTGCGTCTACCGCTTCCGTACGGAGTGTTCCAGTTCGAACAACCAACTGTTGCTGTCCGACGTTTCACGTAGTTGGAGCGGAGCGCTCGTTGCTGAACGACTCGCAGCTGGCGTTTTGAAGCCGCTTCGAAAGCTGCCCGCTTGGACGGATTACGCCACATTTTACTTCCCTACGTTTCGAGTGTCGTATCAGTATTGGCCGTACATGATGTCGAGCTCACGATTCAGTGATGTCCTTTCTTTCTTGTGCGCACTGCGCGATATTTGTTTAAGCATTACGTTCGACCTTACGGTCGCCACTGGATCTTCATCGGCTCGTTTGAGAAAGGAGTGAATGTTCTTTAGAATGAACGCAGTGTGTGCGTTGGCGTTATATTAATGTCGATGTTGGTAAATTCAGAAACATCGATACTGACGCATCACGATTTATAATCGGTGTTTCGCGCGTCGAAGCTGTAACTCGCGGATCTAGCTGGATGGTTCGCTCTAGGCGGAGGCAACAGTGTGAAGCGATTCATAGCTGGATTACCTAATTTCTTCCCAATACTTTTTCGCACAATCTACGGTAAATGAACGGCGGAAAAAGAACAGAAAAACAACAGAACAGTCGCCATTCACTGAGGCGACCCAACCCGGACGCCGAAAGGCTGAAACCCGTGATTGCCGGCTTGCTTAAATGTTTATCAGTGCGCTTGTTATGGCATACATGTACAAGAGATTATGGTTATCTCTTTCCTGACCCGTGGCTCAGTGGAACTGCGACGAGGCAGTGATGACAACTGCAACGTTGGAAAACTACACTTGTCATCAGCGTAACTAACGTTTTCGGCGACTGAAGGCTGCAGGGATAACATCTTGCTTGGCTGTGCGGTCGTTCCCAATGTACCATCGCTAATTGTTAATGTCACAACTTCAACACTGCAAGTAATTCTCAACAGGTGGTGTGATGTATAGTTAAAATTTGTCATGTTTATAGTTGTAATTGCAAGCATTTTATTGCTGTCTTCCATATCTACAAGACAATATGTTCACGGCAAATTTTTAAGGGTGTGCAAGTATTCGAAATGTTTGAATAACAAATTCAAGCATATAATTTGACTCACTCCCGAAATCAAATAACCCATATTTGAAATATCAAATATTTTGCAAATAGTTTTTGAATCATAGGCAACGTTGAAAGAGATGCTTATACGAATAAGATATGGGAACGGAGAGGTGTAACTTTTCCTGTTTTCATAACGCGCATGCAGCCCATGTACTTGCGACACAATGGACACTATGTTGATCACAGAATGAAGGCGTTTCACTTTGAACTCCAGTGTGGCTGAAGAAACAGTGTCAGTAGTCAACTATCTATGCTACAAACTTTATTATGATGTTAAATCATGAATTACATATAGTTTGAACATATATAAGTTTTACTTAGAAGCTAGCTGCTGCCATAGTACCACCCTGAATTCTGTGGTCACTGCTATATTTCAACCTGCAGTTACATAATATATTGAAGGTTTTAGTTGCTGCTTAACATCAATTGTAGTATTTCTTATAGGTAAAAAATAATCGCTATGTTCTTTTGTCGGAGCTTGGAAATATCCGTTTAAATGAAATATTGTGGTATTCATGGGCTGTTTTGTAAATTGTCACTGTACCAGTCTAGGCCCATCTAAAAGGATGGTTGACTTACTATTTAAACAGTATTTGATTTGGTATCATCACCGGTTTAACTGGTTGTTGGTTTTATTAGTCGATTCCAGAATTTTACATTTCTGTCTATGGAACCGTGTTTGCATTCTTTAATGAGTTGTTGTGTTTTTTTTTGGTGTTGCAGTGAGGTTTTAAATGAACAGCCATCATGGCAGCCCTGCACACTCTGCTCCGCCGAGCGTCCGACTTGTTTCGGACGAGCTCGGGTGTGCCTCAACAGCTGAAGCCACCGGCCGCGGACGGAGAGGTGGTCTTCTGCAAGAACAACGTCTGCGTTCACCCTCCAGTGTCGTCGAAGAATGGAGTAACGCACCACCCTGGTTACCTCACCATCAAGGTGCACCATGACGAGGTAGGTACATGGTTGCGGTGTTGAGATTCAAATTTTGTTGGGTGTGCATGTTCCCCCTCCCCACCAAATAAATTTTGTTAAGTGTTGATGCAAGTGTTTTAAGTTGGAGTTCGTTTATCAAAAAAGTGTTTCGCTTTTCAAGCGAAAGCTCGTGCCTGAGAGGTGTGTCTACATGCAGTTTCAAGATGAGAAAACTTGACTGCTCCACCCACAGCCGTTGCTGTCCCTACCCTAGAAAATTTGCATAAATGCTCCGTCAACTTGTTCTTACCCATTCTCTTGACACAAGAATTTGAGTGCCTTGGATAGCTGTCTTTTGCTTGCAGGTCCATGCTTGTGCCACTAGTGGTAGAAACGTTGCGCTTTAGTAACACACAGCGCTATGTGAAGTAAGTGTTACCCTATCTGATGGTCTAAGGGTAAACATTACTGTTGTACTGTACTGTTATATCCAGCAGTAACACAGCGTAAAAACATTGCACTGTAAAAAAAGTCACACCATTCCGCGTATGGAATCGTCACAAAGTAATAATTCTTTCCTTTCATCCATGCCTTTTAAATGCGATGCATTTCTTAGCGAAGTGCTGGCACTTTGAGCATTTCTATCTACGTATCTATTTAGCTGCCTACGTCTGGGGTGCTCTCATAATCACCTTTTTAGCATGTTGTTACCGTAATTAGTAAGGGAGGGTAAGACGTTAAAGAACCCCAGGTGGTCAAAATCTTCGGAGCCCTCCACTACGGCGTCTCTCATAATCATATGGTGGTTTTGGGACGTTAAACCCCACATATCAATCAATCAAGGGAGGGTAAGAGGGTTTGACGAATACGACTGTTTGGTCATGACATGACTGACATGAAAATCTTCTCACGTACGTCGTCAAACCTTCCGCACCAGATACGTATGGCACATACCTATAGAATCGAAAGTTGGGCTACAGTTATACTATACATACCCATATGCCTCGACCTGCAGTATGCTAGTATGCGCCACAAGGAATTGACAGTTTATATCTACCCAGGAGCGGCTGGAATAGACACTGGTAACTTAAATACTCGGGGGTTATTAAAGAACTGGTACCGGTGGGGTTGACTCGACGAATGCAAATAATAAAAATTAAAATGGCGTTAAAAAGTGAACCCACACATTCTGTGGGGCTGTCAGGTACTCTACCGCAGACCAGCGCCAGGACTTAGGACTGCTTTGAAAAAAATACCTTGGGCAGGCATAATGTCGGTGTAATGTCAATTATTGCGGTACTGGCCATCTAATTTTATAAGAAAACAACAAGCATTACATATTGCTCCTATAATACAGGCATCTTGATGGGCCAATGACAATTCTGGTTCCAGTTTTGGCCCCACATTCATAAGAGCTCAATAAAAACTACATTTGTATTCCTGTGATTCAGCGAGCTACATTCAAGTGTTGCTCGACCCTGGAGGAATATGCTAATGAAAGTTGCGTATGAAATTCGCATCACCACAACTTAAAGTGCACTTTGTTTGGATAATACTGACGTAATTGCTCTAACGTGAGTTTTGAATTTACATCAAATCATAAGCTACTCTTTAAATGTGGCAATAGTGCAACAGTGCAATAGTAAACTGAGACTAGCATTGCTCTGATGCTGATCATGACTGTTACAGCAAGTGTTACTACTGTATTGGAGTGTATAGAGTTCAAGTAAACCGAACCAAACATTAATATAGTAGTGCTGTCCAGTTGCAGACAAGCGTAATCAGGTGCTCTGGCACTGATTGTGGCTGTTACAGCAACTCAACTCAGTAAAAACTTGGCAAATATTGAAATTTTACTGTTCAATAGTGAGCAAGTAGTCAGACTCTCCAGTGCAGGTCATGACTGTTATAGCAACCCAGTCCTTTACTGGAGCGCATAGTTCTCTAGAGTGAACTGAGGCAGGCACTGCTCCAGTATTCCTGTCCAACAGTGAACCGGTGTAAGTTCTAGTGCTGATTGCGACTGTTCCAGAAACTTGGTTACTTGTGTGCTGAAGGTACTCCTGTATTGAAGTGTATACAGTCAACCCGCCTCGATGGTCTAGTAGCTAAGGCACTCTGCTGCTAACCCGCAGGTCATGGGACCTAATCTTGGCTACGGCGAAAACGTTTGAGACCCCTCTGCTTAGATTTGGGTGCACGTTAAAGACCTCGGGGTAGAAATTCCCGAAGCCCTCCACTACGGCGTCTCTCATAATCATATGGTGGTTCTGGAATGTTCAACCCTTTAAATTATTAATTATTATTGTTATTATTATTGAGCGTATACGGTTCAGGAGTAAGCTGAGGCAAATATTACTCCAGTAGCACTGTCCAATGGCAAACTGAATTGAGTGCTTCTAGCACCAGTCGTGGTTGTTATAGCAACTCGGTTACTTTAGTACTGCTATTTAACAGTAAACTGGAGTAAGCGAGTAGTGCAGTGCTGATTATGAGTGTTAATGTATCTGAATTATACCTGTCATGGAATGAATGGTGTCCCGGAGTAAATCGAGGCAAAAATTACTGCATTACTCCTGTCCATCAGTAAACTGGAGCAATCAAGTACTTCTAGCACTGATGTTAGCTGTGACAGCAACTCAAATGAGTCGTGTGCTAGAGTTGCTATTGGAGTGTACAGTGTATTCGAGTTAATTGAAGAAAAACTATAATCCATTTCCATTGTTCATAGGTAAACTGGAGTAATCGGGTACTCCAGCGCTGTTTGCGGGTGTTAAAGCGACTGAGCGATTGCACAGGTTCTCGGCCTGAGCCTGCGCCTCAGCTGGATCCCCAATGCGTCACTCAAGAAGAACCCTCGCAGCCTCGAGAACCGTACGCCCTGCAGCTCGCCCTGTCGAAGCCCCAGTGTCTGCACCAGTGTGTGCCCGAGCCCCACTGTGCACCAGCGGCATTTCCGGCGCGGCTCCACCAGTTCTGGGAACCAGCCTGCACCGGATGAGGGCTCCACATGTCAATTGTGAGTCCTCGCAAATTAGTGGGAAGTTTAGACTTGTTGCCGGAACAGGGTGAGGGTGTTAAAAGCTGGTGTGGACTGTGGAACCAGTTGCCAGGAGCTTCCAGGTGGCAACACGAAGGCCGCACATGCCATCTTGAATGTTGGCAGCCCGAGAAACTCCTTGATAGCCATTTTAATTTGGTCAGGTGACATCAGTTGTCGGAAAGCGAGAATTCGGTAAGTCACTCAATCAATCGACCAATCAATCAACCAATTTGTTTTGCATTGATTACAGCATGTGAGGATATGAACTAAAAGTTGTTACATAGCAGTTTTTTGTTAGCCTCGTATTCAGCTTCAATATTTCTAAGAGGCCACTCTGCGTGCTTGTCTTTGCAAGATCTAGGTCACCTTTATCAGATGACTTCATGAATGATATCGAAGGATTCTCCGCAGAGACTATCTATTTTTCTTCACAGAAGCTGCGACCAGCAGAGCATCAGCTCGGCCGTCTCGGACATGGGGAGTCCACAGGAGGAGCAAGGCAGCCTGGACTCTTGGACGGCCAGTGACCAGGCCGAGATGACTGCATCAACGGCGGGGTCACCAGCAGGGTTGTCTCTCGACCCCAGCGAAGGTGACCTCTGCGGTGCCGGAACCAGCGCCACCGTCTCCAAAATGCCGAGCTGCGAGGACGAGAGCGTGTCGGGGGCCGACTGCAACGGGTCTTCGTCGTCGGCCATTGGACCAGAGGAAGTGACGGCTGCTTTGGAGTCCATGATCAGCGGCCTTAACCAGATCGACGCAGGAAGTGTCGTCGGTTAGTTCATCTTCTTCCGTACTGACTACTACTTCCAGAAGGAGAGCACTACAGCAATAAAACTTTGCGTGAGATCATTAATCTCCAGACCATTCTCATTTGGTTAGTTTGGTTACAACCTAGAAGAAAATGAGAACTCTTCCCTCAGCCATCACTGTCCCTCCGACAAAGAATTCGCGTAAATGTTCCATCTAGTTGTGCAGGTGTTGGCAACCTTTTGAGGCAGAAGGCCTAGTTGGATGTAGACAACACGGCAAGGGCTGGATGGCAAATTGCAAGGGGGGGGGGGTCGCACTTTGCAGGTGAAGAGAAAAATTAGGTGAATTGACAATAATGTACAAACCTGGCTCATTTTCTGGCTGAGTTTGGCTCAGTGCGAGAATGAGGAACAGTGCCAACTGGAAGCTATTAGCCAACTGTCCAAGCACATTTTAAGTGAAAAATGCGATGTTGGCCTTCAGATGGGAAGTGACAAAGGGAGGGTGTTCTGACATCATAACGGGGGCTGCATAATACTGCACCATGGACCACAGATTGCTGGTTCTCTACAATAGTGCTCACTCATTTTCGGGACATCAAGCACTTCTCAAGTATTTAAAATAGGTGATATTTTAACGCAGACGCAGGTTTGCGACTCAGGTTTCTGGTCAGAAACTCAAGCACCTTTATAAACATTCTAAGGGATTGTGAAGTCACTGACATATTGTTGACTTATGTGCATCATGTAGCTTCTAGTCGTTCAAACTCTGTAGTTAAGTTCTATGTTGATTTGCTTCGTTTGATATTCATGGATAATTATTGAACCAGTGTTTAGTAGATGTTTATTCATCAGTAAATAGAGGAGGATATTGGTTTCAGGCTTTTCTGGTGTCCAACTTGAAATTAGCAATAATATGTTTTTGGATTCATTACGGCGTAAAATTAGTGTCGCTTTGTTTTGTTATTGGATTATTGTTCCACTAAAGCATGAAAGAAACACACTTAACCTCCTCTGTGCTTTTAATTATAGCTTCATTGTCAATTGGCCTTGTGCAGTTTCTGAATGACCCAAAATAATAAACGTGTGCAAGTTTTTTCAACATTTCATGTTCTGTGCTTGTTTAACATTGCTTACTTTTGTCAGGGCAGCTATATTGAATCAATCAATCTTTATTAGTAATATAATAATACAATACATGTGAATATGCAAATGGTGGACTCAAGGTTTCAAGCCAAATGCTGGACCTCCCATGCTAGCACACTAGAAAAGTGAATAGATGGAACATGTGGCAATGAACAACAATTTCAACACATTAAAAGTAGCAAATTGAATATCTTTTGGCATTTTCTTTTCTGACAGGCAGCAAAAGTTCCTTGGCCAGTTCAGCCATGCCTGCGAAAGAAACATCTGCGACTTCGTTGGGGAACGCGGAGGACATGTCAGGCCGGTTCGAGAGAAACGGCACGGCCATATCTGACGCACCATGGAAAGACGCGGGTGACTATCAGGGCAGGTGGCGACATACATTACAACCAGCCTTGGCATTCGGAATGGAATGGCAGCATTGATGAAGTAAGCATGCACCTTTTGTCTTTTGCACGTAGCGCTCGCGTCCTTCTTGTCTCTTTGTCGTCATTCTGTTCTTGCGCTATAACTATGGTCATGTCATACTAACTAGCCCAAGCTGCCACATCACTGGTCTGTACAGTCACCAATGATTTGAAAAGCAACACGTAATGTAGCTAACAATAAGACAGATGCTTGGGCTAGTTGGTGATTGGGAACAAACCTATTTGAACAGCGCAAGACTTTGAGCAGTTACAACGTAACTACAGAAGGAGAGACAAGGACAGAAAAAGCACTGGTGACTGTCCCGCCGACAAAGAATTTGCATAAATCTTGCGAAAAAAAGTGCGCCCAGTTTCTAGTTATGCCCAGTTGAGCAACTCCTGTTTCGGCATGTAGGCTAATAGTGTGAACAAAATAAAAATAAAATTGTATGGGCATGTGCAGCCGTCGCGCAGCCGGGCCAAGCCGCAGCCGGAGTCGCTCCGAAGCATGACCGACTCGGGGATCGCCTCTGGACCCACCATCATGGTGAGCCGACACAGTGGCTGCTCCAGTGCCGACCTGGCTACGTGCGAGTCTGGCAGGAGCAGTGGACTGGTCTCGTCGGGCTCATCGGAAGGACCGGACTCCGGCCAGCAAAGCCCGTTTCCTGGTAGGCACTGTTCTGTGCACTAGTACCATTATTTAGAGTATTTTTCTTGGATAGTTGGAGTACTGAACTTTGATACAATACTAGGCATTTGGAAAAGAAAAGAGACAGTAAGAATGCTGTTTGTTTTTCATTTCTTTCTTGCTGTTCTTTTTTCTTTCTGAGTGTGTCTTTTGTCGTCCTATTTCACTGAAGCACTGAAAATTTATCACATTGACTTCATTATCTGTGCTTCGTGCATCTTTCTTATAGTGATGCTGTATACGGCTAAGTTACGGCTTACCGCAACTGTAGATGAAGATGCATAAAGCAACTATTTCTTGGCGCCCTTCGCACATTGCCTCCTTGTGCATTGCCTCCTCTCCCTCTGCACTGCTGCCTCTTGCCACCGCCGATGCCTTTTTCACGATTTTCACAATACTCGATGGTGACACCTTCTGTTAATTGCAGCGACCATTAGTGCAGTAGGGTAGAGATTGTGCAGAAGGACTCGTTAACAACTTATGAAAAAAATGCCGGCTTTGCCCAAAGTCATTGCTGCCCTTCCCACAGAGGATTCACTATTGTATAGTGCTTGCTCATTTATGCGTTGTCTAGTGCTTGAATGTTTCTCATATTTGAGTTTTGCATACATGCATGCGTTTGTGCCACTGTATTTAGGTAGGAAACTTGTAAATCCCGCTAAATTTAATAAGAGAATGTGACATCACTGCTCAGCTAAACATGATATTTTAGGTTGTAACAACGAACCTTTTCTCTCAGTGTGCATGGCGCTCACATTAGCTTAGAAAAAGTACTTGTGGATTGAGCATAAAGCAGCTACACGACTGCCTTTTGCAGGTAAATTACAGGTGCACCGCTGTTCTGTGGGTGGAGCCTAGATTTTTTTTTTTTTTTTTGTCGTAGCCGAGTATAGGCAGTATTTACAAACTCAAGTGCATATCTGCCGTTCCTGCCGGCTTCATTGTAGTTGCATGGCAAGTCTCGGGCATTTGTATGTATTGTATGTATTTCCAAATGTTTGCATTTCTAATTTTGGCATAATCAAATAAACTTGCAGGGAGTGTATATTCAAAAGCTATTGATAGGCAACATTGTTGACACCGCCTGCATCAGTGTCATTTATGCCATTTCTGATGGCTTCTTTATGAATACAGTGCAATCGCTTTAATATTTAGTTCTGCGAGCACAGTTTGAGAATTGTCTATCAAAGTATGCACCCATCAGACTCGACTGCGAGAGCCCGCTGGGACTTTTCGTGCAGGCGACGACGGCTCGAAGTGGCTTCTGGAGCGGCTACGATCTGGCTCGCGCTTCATGCTGGAAGAAGGCACGCCTGAGCAGCTCGCGCACGCCCACAACCTGACCTTTCCGGACAGCGCCTCTCTGAGCGGACGGAGTCCGTCGCGGTCGTCCATGTCGAGGGAGAGTCCGTGCGGACAGTTCTCCGTTGACTTGAGTCAGTATATCCACTTTACGGTGGGGGCAACTGTGCATGCTAACCAGGCAATTTACACTCTAACCTTTGCATAACGAACCCTGATGTAACGAAATATCATTTATAACTAAGTAAATGGAAAATGTCTTGCAATAGATGTAGTGTTAGAAATAAACCTTTTCAACAAATTCTCGGATATAACAACCCTATTTTCGTGTAAGATACAACTTTGTTATAATAAGGTTTGTGTGTATGATAAAAAGTTCTGGCAGTGATAAGAGTGTCCCTATTGAACTAGAAATCGGCGTTCAACTATAAATCAGTGGCGTTGATGCTGACATACTGCCATTTTAAACTGCTTGTAGTGTTCATTTTGTAGTGTTCAATACTGTTAAACGCCGCCGCAGTTGACGAGAAACACAGGTAATTTTTAAAGACAATAGTCTTTCTTGGGGACCTTCGACGCAAAAGTTTTGGTGTCTTTACATTTGTCTGTCTGTCCACTCTTAACTGTACCGAGTACTCTGAACGGCACCAGCCGATACCCCAAACGGCCGACCCCATCTGCAGCGCCCACCAGTGTTGCTCAAGATTCAACGTTCATACTTTCGTGATTGTCAATTAAAAAGCAATTATCACGCATACCTGAAATACCATAACAACACGTATATATTCTGTATGTACGTCTTTTACTAGAAAAGGCATACATAAGTTATCCTAATGATCGTAGCGTTTATCCCGCGGCACTGACTATGCTATGCTTGCACGAAAAGGGAAGTGTCTTCAACGCTTTGCTAAGACGACACGGTGATGGTAACTACCCGTCGCCTTGCGTTCTACACCTTATCAGTGTTATCACCTCTGAGACATGCGCGCACACCCGTCTCAGAGCCGCGCGTTTCATTTTCCAAGATAACTGCCAGACAGCGCTCAAGTCTCACGTGTGACGTGACTTGGTGCGCTCGTTCTGCCTCCGCTGCACGCTCGAGGCACTCTAATGCAGCAACTCCAGAATACCGTTCACCATTTTTCTTGTGCAGAACATCAAATAAACATATTGTTCAATCTCTCCAGATGCAAGACTGTTGTCTTTCGACGACTTTTGCAGATTAACATGCAGATACGGGGCCAATTTTTTACTCTGCTTTTTCTTACCGGTGTGCTGTGATGAATAAAATTGATCAATCAAGGAAATTATCAAGAGGTCCTCCCGACAGTTTTCACTTCGGGACCTCTGAATATAAAATTATGTCTACTTTGTAAAAATCAAACTGCCTATCTCTCTATCGATTCGTCTTCATGTGCAGGCCAGATGCGATCACTGCGGCTGCTGTTCAGCAACCGTGAGTGTACCTGCGGCCAGCTGGTGATCGCCAGTCGGGAGAGCCAGTACAAGATCTTCCACTTCCACCACGGGGGCCTCGAGAGGCTGGCGCCGGTCCTCGGAGACTTCGACTTCCTCACGCGGGGCAAGAAGAGCAAAGTAAGACACAGTGACATGGAGCACCTGTTGTAATGATCCTGAAGATCAGTGTAGCCAGACTGGTAATTACAGATTAAACTTCATTGAGTGAACTTTTTAAGAGTATCGATCTGGGCTTTTCGGTTTGCCATCACTCGTGAACTGTTGTTGCGAAAAGCTGTGGCTGCTCACCGAAGTTTCACAAGTGCACCGTAATCGCAGAAAGCACCAGCGAAATGACGGGCCTCATTGTCGGGGCTCACAAGATTTCAGGTTTAAAGGGAAAATGTGTAAGCTAGATGCCTTTCTCTATACAACAAGGAAATCGTCTATCTGAGGAGTACGACACAATTGTGGTTCTTGCTGATATGTACTTGCTGTCATGCGTAATGTAATTCTGTATCCAGGTGCGAAAGGTCATGTCGTTTTGCTTATACACTCAAACCTCTGTTTAGCAAACTCGGGTATAACGAATTATCGGTTATAACGGAGTAAATGAAGAATAGGCTAGCAGTAGCTGTAGCATTACGAATATACCTTTATAATGAATCTTTGGATATAACGAAGTTTTTTCCGTCTTGAGACGCAACTTTGTTTAATGAGCTTTTGAGTGTAATTATGTTGATAGCATGCACTCTGTGTGTTTCTGTGTTTTTATTTCTATGTTACGTGCAACAGTTTACAAGCATTGAGTGAACTCTAGGCATGCACTCTGTGTGTTTCTGTGTTTTTATTTCTATGTTACGTGCAACAGTTTACAAGCATTGAGTGAACTCTAGGCAAGAAGACTAAAGTTTGTTAGTCTAACGCTCTGAGGTATTGAGACATACCTCAGAGCCATGCTTGAAGCACCCATAGAGAACCAAAGCCAGGCTAACGGTGAAGGCGATGCACATGAGGGGCCCTATAATGCTATCGTCTGCTAATCTTAAGGGCAAAGCTCAAGTGCTTTTCAGGTTTCTTCATCACGACATGATTTCTTTTGTTCACTGCCTGAATGGTAGTTGAACCTGAACCTAATGAATTGATAAATAGAGGTTTATTTCCCCTGAACAATTGCAGAACGCAGGCGGGTGAGAAAAAATGATGGAGAAAGGCTGCTTGAGAAACCCCGACTTTCTTATAAGCAGAGGAACAGGCCAGCAAAGCATTAGATAAGTGATAAAAGAGAGACTGTGAAGGCATAATATTGGTGTCACGTAAAAGTGCAACACTGGGACGTATAAATTCAAAGATATGCTCCGAGAAAATCGTTAGCAAGAAACAGGAAATAGCAATTGCATCACAACAGTATATGTATATAACGATTGGAGTGCATTTTGAAAAGCATAAAAAAACAGGTAGTTTGACAAAATAAAATAAGTCACCTAAGGAATGATGCAGGATGTTTAAACTGTGAAATGTTGATACCCGATATGCAGAATCATTTAGGAAGCAAGGTTAGCTATTGCTCAGTGTTAAACTGCTGTGTATACGTCAATTGATTGGTTATGATAAAGTAAATTCCTCTCAAACAGTCTCATGTACATACCTTTATTATGAATTTTTGGATGTAACAAAACTAGATTTATTTGGTTATAAAGATTTTGGACTGTATATCGCAAAAACACAAATGAAGGAACAAGTTCTGCCCACTTCTCTCGTTCATTACTGCTGCTTGCAGCGAGTCAATACTGCTGTGCCAGTTGCAGTGCTGAAATCTCTATATAACGAACTATGATATAGTGAAATATTGGTTATAGCGAAGTAAATGAAGAATAGTCTCAAAATAAATTGATTGTAAGGAATATACCTTTTTAACAAATTTTTGCATATAGCCAACCTAATATTGTGTAAGATGCAATTTCGTTACGAAGAGGTTATAGTGTGCTTGCCGTGCTTCACCGACAGTAACCTGCAATTGGCCTCTGCGATTGCAGAACGAGAATTGCCCGTACGACCACTTCTCGGTGTCCAAGCCTCAGGTGTCGGCTGAGGAATGCCACCCAGAGGAAGGCCTCTACAGCACGCCAGTTGACGAGGAGGCCTGGCGGCAGTACATGAACGACGACGGGAGCATCGACGATGACTTTCAACTGCGAAAGGTTGTGCCATTTTCCTTACCTCGGCGTTTTCTCTTAAGCACTTCAGCGCAAGTTGAACTTGGGTGCATGCAACGGTGGCAGCCACGTCTGTGTGCTAGCAGCTTTAGTATTGAGCTGCAGCACTCTGTATAGTACTTGTAAGTTCAAACGAGAATTTTTAGTATAAGAAATCTTATGTGCAATTTCTCAAGCTAATTACGTCTTGTAGCGGCAGTTCTAGTCTCTGAAAATAATGTGCGCTGCGATTTGCGTGTTCGAGTTGGAATTCCGCGGATATGACCCAAACTGAAGATGGTGAAAAAGAAAGTACATGTGTTTCCTGGCCCGAAGTTAACCTGTTCGGATCTGCGAGTACTGTACATTGCATCCCCGATGTTGTTGTGTATGTAATAACGCCAGGTTTCGTATAGAGCGTGTGTTCAGAACTTGTGAACATGCACACTGCTTGAAATCAGGTCTTACGTACATGGTGACATGGATGCTGCATATCAAGTAATACCTTAACTCTCTATAAACACAGCATGCTTGTGCTGCAAGCCTGTGTGGTTGGAATTCGTGTGAAACCTCATGAGTGTCACTATGTTAGTTGAAAGGCGACCAACTATAGCGAAAAAATACGTGGAATCAAACTAGACGCAAAACACGAAAGGCTCGTACTATGACATTTGTCTGGTACTGTTTCTTTCTACTCCGTGTTTAGGTATGAGTGGGAGCACTTGTTGTCATACATAGTTACTATTTACGAATGTTAGTTTTTCATGCCCATCTGTGAACTATTGCAGGGGTCTTTAGTTCTATTTATCTTAAGATCTGGTTGCCTCTTTTTGGTTTCTAACCCGTTATTTGGCCATTCCTGCTGTAGCCCAGCGAAAAGTTCGGATGTTTAAATGAAAAATTAGTGAAAAATAATGTACTGCGAAATTCAATGTTTGTTGGCTATTGACCTTTGATGGCGTGTGTATGGATGGTTATATGCTCCTATCTTTGGTGCAGGCAATCTTTTTCAGAGGCTTGGATCCCAGGCTACGGAGGGAGGCATGGCCGCTGTTGCTTCAGCACTACGCCTTCTCGACAACTTTCGAAGAGCGGGAACAAATTCGCAACGACCGATTTCTCGAGTACCAGGATATTCGCAAGCAGAGGTAATCGCTGCTGCATGATTAAGGTTGCTCAGTTGTAACAAGGAATCAGGTATACTCAAACATCGATATCAAAACTCAAATCAAAACTTTATTTCGTCCACAAGTGTGTGTGTTGTGGAACAGGAGGGCTCGAGAAAAAGTGGATTTATCTACTTGAGAAGCCTCGAGCCCCCATTTGACATGGCATACAGCGAGAGCATGGAAGTGATTATGCAGTACTGATATAATACAATACTTATACTAACACAGTATTACAATATTTACAACAAACACTATACAATACAAAAATGTGCACACTATCTAATGGTAAATCATTCACATAATCATGAGATCGCAATCAGCATTTCTTCATGCAAAAAAGAAATAACTGAAAAAAGACAAAAAGAAGAGAAAAACAGTTAAAACTTGAAAACTCGTTGAACAGAATCTATACTTTTTTACAAAAAGAAAGAGCATCAATCCTTGGGGGCAAAGAATGCTTTGATTGCACTGTTTCCAGTTGTCTCTAAAATGATTTCACATTGATGGAGTTCATTTAACAACTTGAAAAGTGATGACGAAGCATTTGTTTTGTTATCATAATGCGTGAAAAAGGTATTTTCCAGATATTATCATTTCGTGAATTATATGACCTTGTGAGTGGTGTCAACTCAGAAAATGTACGAAGTACTCCGTCTGTATCGTGCTTGTATTTTCTGGCTAGATTTAATGGATACAAATTGTGTACGGACGTGATGTTATATTTGATAAACAGGGCTTTTGTGTGCGCAGTTTTTTCCACGCATGCAATGTGGCGAAGTGCTTTCTTTTGTAAAACAAACAGGTGGTTCAGGTTTGTTAACGTTGTTGTGCCCCAGACTAGACAGCAATAATTTAAGCGAGAAAGAAATAGTGCATTATAAATATGAAGCTTGACAGCTGTTGGCAAGTGGAATTTGAATTTCGCCAGAATTCCTACTATCTTTGCTACCTGTGTAGCAACATGATTTATATCAATGTCCCATGATAGATGCTTTTGAAAAAATACACCAAGTGATTTTACTGAGTCAACAATCTCGATACGTGAATTTCCTAAGGTAAGATTCAGAGTGGGTGCTACAGGTGATTGTCGGGGTGTGAAGATAATAGCTTTTGTTTTGGCTGTGTTGATTTCAAGAGAATTGATTACGCTCCACTTGTGTAAGTCGCGCAGAGCTATGTTAACGTTATTTTGAAGAGTTTCGTAAGAATTGCTGAGAAAGAAAATAGTTGTATCATCTGCATAAGTTATGTACTTTGCTCCATGATTAATTTTAGAAATGTCAATTATTTAGAAGTTAAATAATAGTGGTCCAAGTATGCTTCCTTGAGGTACACCTGAGGTAATTGCCTTGTGCCGAGATAAATTGCCTTGAATACAAACACATTGCATTCTGTGTTGCAGGTAAGACGTTATAAGAGCGAGCGGTGTGCCTCTAATTCCATATAATTCAAGTTTTTTAGTGAGTGTTAAGTGGTTTAGGCAATGAAATGCCTTAGAGAAATCAATGTATATGCTAGCTATTAGACTTTTTTCATGGAATGCTTTTAAAATGATTTCTTTTTGCATGACAAGGGCAAGTTCTGTTGATCTTCCTTTTCTGAATCCAAATTGAGTTGGGCTAATTAAATTGTACTTGTTTGCAAAACCAATTATTCTGGCATTAATTATCTTTTCTAAGCCTTTGGAGAACACGGGCAGTATGGAAATCGGTCTGTAGTTTGATAAGCTATTTTTTTCACCGCCTTTGAATATTGTAATAACTTTTGCTACTTGCATTTTCTTCGGAAAAGACGCCTGTAGAGAGAGCAAGATTATAGATATGCGTAAGCTGTGGCAGTATGACGTCAAGAACATACTTGACTGGCCTAACTTGAATGCTGTCAATATCGCATGTTAAGCTGTTCTTAAGAGATTTATAAACGTTATCTATTTCACTATCAGTGGTGGGATTCATATATATGCTTGCCGAGTTCCTGCTGATCCCCTTTATTGCCTCCGGGGAATGAGAGCTAGAAACTAGATTTACAAAAAAACTAATAAATTCTTCAGCTAATTCTGCTCCTTGTATGACTTGATTGTTCAACTTTAGTTCATGAGTTTCTGGGTTTTTAGTTGCACGATTTAGTAGCTCATTAATTTTTCTCCACATTACGTCCAAGTTCTGTTTATTTCCGATGTCAAAATAATTGTACAGATAGTTTCGCTTTGCATTACGTAATAAGGCATTAGTTTTGTTTCTATGTAACAGAAATGTATCCCAGTCGGCAGCGTTACGCGTTTTGAGAAATATATTAAAAAGCCTATCTTTCTTTTTAATCATTTTAAGGCACTCCTTATTTACCCAGGGCTTACGTGCTTTTTTACTTTTTTTATGTGTGATTAATGGAAAAGACTTTGAGTATGCTTCAAGAAATAGGCGCAAAAATTCATCATATGCATTATCCGAAGTGGTAGACATGTATACAGTATCCCATTTTATTTTTTCGAGGCTGTTGCGAAAGTTCCGCAAGGTTTTTTCATTGATGTCTTGAATTTTTTTGCTTGTTATCGAGGTATGGCCAGAATTAGGCTTTTTGGTCAACAAAAAAATGGGCAAATGATCACTAATGATGCTAATACACCACTGATGACTTCGGGCTCTGGTAAGTTTGTTATAAACAAGTCGATTAATGTTTCCGTTATATTTATCACTCTAGTGCATTCTTTAATCACATTATTTGAGCAGTATGAAGATAGCATTGTGGATAACTTGTGTTGAGCGTTTGAGTAATTTAACATGTCTATGTTAAAATCACCACCTATAATTAATACTAAATTGTTTTCACTTGCATAGCTCAATAAGTCTTCCAAATGTGCAATGAATGCATCTACGATTCCATCTGGAGGGCGGTACATTACAGCTATGACATAGTTCTGTGATACAATTGTGAGACACTCTGCATCATGAGTTATAAAACAAAATTCAGGAAGTAGGTCACAAGTAATGCACTTTTTGATATTTAGTAGTACTCCTCCACCGCGTTTCTCCTTGCGGTTTAAGTGAAAAGTGCGATAATTATCATTCACTATGGCATCACAGTCCGAATTCAGCCACGTTTCAGTGAGCATGACTATGTCAAACTTGAAATAAAACCGATCTAGGAAAACGTTTAGCAAGTCTTGTTTATGATAGGCAGATCTGATGTTTAGATGGAAGCACGTTAGTCCAATAATGCTTTCGGAAGCTATTAGTCGGTTGACATCTTCCAGTTGCAATGCCATTTTCGGTACAAAATCGTGGTTGAAGGCGTGTCACTGTACATTCAGATTATTTTTGCAATGTCACTCTCACAGTGTACACGAACTACCTTGGACTGTTCGTCCTTGCGGGCAAAAATCTTCCCATCCCTTGTCCAAACAAATTTCTATTCACATGCCTTTTTCTTGCTGATTGCCATCCCGAGCAATCTCGTGAGAGTAGGGCAGAGGTGCTCGTTAACAAATACTGGCTTATTTGTTGAGCGACCGATGTCACTTGTTGATAGCCTAGTTTTCCTAGCCTTGAGCAAAAAGGCGTCACGCTTTGAGCGGCTCTTGAACTGCACTACGATGTTGGAGCAGGAAGCATCATTCTTGGTTTTCACTCTATGGCAAACATCAATGTCGCTTGCTGTTATTGGCTCATTCAGGGTTGTTTCCATCTGACACAGAATTTCATGCAGATTCTCATTACTACCCTCCTCAATTCCCTTGATTTCCACATTGCGATTTCTAGAGTATTGCTCGCTATTTGTGATTCTTGTTTCATGATCATTTATTTGTTTCATAGAATTATCACAATCCTCTTTCAGTGCTAGGTTCTCTTTTTTGAGGGCCTCGTTTTCTTTTTGCAGCGTTTAATTGTTTATTTTGCTCTCATCAAATTGCTTACTTAAGAATTCAAGACTTTCTTTGACTTCCCTCAACTCCTTTCTGAGCTCACGTTTAATTTTAGATTTGAATTCTTTAAGTTCTTTGCTCATCTCTTCTTCGAAACGAGCAGACATGGTTAAACAGGAGATAAGTCAATAGTTTTGGCAGCAGGGAGCAGCAAAACAAGAACAAAAAAAAAAAAAAAAAAACAGAAAGGGAAAAAATGCGTATATATGGGAGCGATATCCAACCTGCGACGATAAGAAAGATGTGTCTTTCAGGCGTGTTCCATGCTGCCCACGCTGCTGCCAAGTGGTCCGGTGCACGATGGTGTCCGGCTTATGTAGGCTTCAATAGCCCCTGGCGGCAGAACGATGAGGCGGCTTCCAGAAGATACTGCGGCCACACCCCCAATGTAGGCACGTGGATTTGCAGCAGGAGCAGCTGTGGCTTGTTTGATGGGGTTATCTGCGACGATAAGAAAGATGTGTCTTCAGGCGTGTTCCACGCTGCCCACGCTGCTGCCCACGCCGCTGCCCACGCTGCTGCCAAATGTAACAAAGCTGGATGTGGTAAAATATAAATTTTAACTAAGTAAATGAGGAATAGTCTTGCAATAGACATAGTGCTTGGAATATACTTTTATAATAGTGTTAGGAATGTATCTTTGTAAAGAATTTTTGAATACAACACATTTATTTTCGAGTAGGATGCAACTTTGTTATATAATGCAACTTTGTTAAGGTTTCAGGGTAGTTTGGTTTTCCAATAGCCAATACTTTTGGTCTTTATTTATGTCGGTGCAGCTCATATTATTTTCAAACATAACAGTGAACTAATATGGTGAGCTGATGTAGTAAAATTCAATTTCATGGCTTGGAGCTTTGTAGATTGCAGTGGTTTAGTGCTGTGGGTTTTAATGTTGCATTCATCACAAATGCCACTTCGTCTTGCTGGCTCGACAAAGCTTCGCTTACACAGATTGCCGCAGAACATGGAATCCTCATGATTTTTTTCAGTCAACATAGTATTTTACTATGACGTGTAGGTAAGATGTGCTGGACAATGAGAAGAAGAGTGTGTGGACCGTTGTTCGAATTTTAAGTTGTTTTTGAGCTGTACGTAGATTCAGTACACTCAGAACATTTGTGTTCTTTGCTGTGTATTCTTGTTGTGTGACAGTAAAATTTCTGTCTGGCTTGCATGCAATCACTCTAGTGGAAACTTAACTTTTGTCTCCTTCACCATCAGAAATTCTTCGTTACTATTATTCTGTGTGTGGTGTTCGTGTTGAAAGTTTTCTGGGCACATAGCGTTAAGTTGATGTGACATAGTTATGATAACAATGATTTTCGTTGTGCGACAAAAGGTTTGTGATAGAAGGTATAAAGTGTGCTTTGACTACACTCAAACTTCATTACAGCGAAGTAACATCTGCCACAAAAATCCTTCGTTGAATCTAAAAATTACTTACAAACAATGATTTTTAACGTTATGGTAAAGCTACCGTATATACTCGCATAATCCTTGCACCTTTTTTTGGCGGAAAACCGATGCAAATTTGGGGGGTGCGAGAATTACGCAGGGAAAACCCTACGAAAACGTATAGAGCGAAAAAGAAAACAAAGTGGCCGCAAATCGGGATTCTCACACCAGCAACTAACAAGCTTTGAGAAGTACTAATTAAAAGTTACCTCAACAATAAAAGCACAGGTTCAACACAAGGCAAGATTTATTTCAGACACAAAAGGTGCAAGCAAATAGTCGAGAACTAGAATACCATACGTAAAGCTTATGGGCGTCGCGGGCGTAGCGGTAGCATTCGTCGCTCAACAGGAGCCCTCAAAAGGTAAGCGTAGGTCGTCAGTATTGGGCTGACGACAATTTACAGAATCGTCCGCAGTTTTCTTCTGAAGAAATAAAGTTTACCATCCATCCCAGTTTTAGGCACACGGCTGGCCCAACGCGTCTTGGTGGCTTTCAGCTGCCGTCACCAGTAGCGAACACAAAGCTCATACTCTGAAAGACCAGCCGGTGGCCCTGTTGCCGTTGTTTAGTGCATGATCTGTCACTTTCAATTTGAAAGCAGCCGTGTAGGTTTAGTATCCCCCCATAACGTGACAAGATTACCGACTCAACAAACAAAACACGCCGCAATGCGCACTTGCCACTTTAGCTTGGCTTAGATTGGATTGAATCTCCGTGCAGTAATAGTACCCTTGATGCTTAAAAAAAAATGGCGCACGCTATCATCATCAGTGGTTGGAACGAGCAGACGACATTATTGCGGCAGTTTTCGGGGGTGCGATAATTACTCGAGGAAAAAAGATATCATATTTTTGGGGGGCGTTCAAGGGGGGGGGGAATTATGCAAGTGCGAGGATCACATGAGTAAATACGCTATTGGTTGGTCACTTCATCATAACCGATAATTGGTTATATCTGAATTCGTCTTATTGAGGCTTGAGTGTATTTCAGATATGTGGTCATTGTCACATCTTGTTTTTAGTCATTGTATGCTTGTGCCTTCGAAAATCTGGTGATGAGCCATATAACGGTGCCGTGGGTTGAAGTTCGTGGGTGGCGATTGCGTGAAACTGCAACTTTTGAAAATTTTCACTGATATTGTAGCATTGTGTTGGTGTTTGTAGAACGTAGGATTTCGCGTTAAAAAAAACTGGTTGTGATATGCAGAGAGCGGATGAGCCCGGCTGAGCGCGAAGCCTTCTGGCGGAACGTCGAATGTACCGTGGAGAAGGACGTGGTGCGCACTGACCGGACCAATCCTTTCTATGCTGGTGACGACAATCCCAACATCGAGATCATGAAGTGAGAAAAACTTTCTCACCCCCCTTTCTTTTGATAATATTTTCTAAGCTCTTCTTTACTCACTTTCTGTAATAGAATGATGATGTCGGACAACTTCTCACATAAATAAAGATCACACGATAAAAAGCTAAGTATAACTAAGAAATCACACACAATAAAATTACTGTATTAAAATGAAACCGTAAGAAAGTACTGAAAGTTTGATTGCATAAATACACGATACTGAGTAAACAAAGCAAGGTCGTCAATTACACAAATTATTATGTTTACTTGCACTGGCTAGAGTTGGCTGACTGTTGGCTTTCTGCTGGCTATGTATACTGCTTATTTGCTCACATAATCAGCACTAGCTATTATTGGCCAATGTTTGCTTTTTGATGGATAATGCTGGCAAGTGGTAACTAAATGATGACCATAATCATCACTTACTCCTACCAGCGCTAGCTGAATTTAGGAAGTGATGGCCGAATTTTAGCTTTTATTTGCTACCTGCAGTACTGCAATTATTTATTGGCGTACAGCCAGTGCTAGCTAATGGCTCATGCACTGATAGCGTTATGTGCTGAATCTAGAAACATGTCAGATCTAGCTTGTATCTGATATTTTTTACAGCTTTGTTTATTATATCAAAGTTAGGCTAACAACCCTGCGAAGTGTCACTTCATAACATGTGCTAAGATTCACACGTGTCGTCTCTCCATCAGGAACATCCTCCTCAACTATGCGGCTTGCAACCCGAAACTCGGCTACACCCAGGGCATGTCCGATCTCCTGGCTCCTGTCCTGGCCGAAATCCAAGATGAGTCCGAAGCCTTTTGGTGCTTCGTGGGGCTCATGCAGCGCACCATATTCGTCAGCTCCCCCAAGGACGGTGACATGGACCTTAACTTGGTATGTGCTACTCTATTTTACTAAGGTGGAAGCCTTGTCAAATGCGAAAATTCGCGGTCAGTGCTGTCGGCACCAACACAAGTTACGCAAAAAAAATCAGTCACATAGCGATGCCATGATGATTGCTATAGCGTGAAATGAGAACAAAGAGACACACGAAGATGAGCGCCAACTTCATATTAAGTTTGCTGTGTAGAACATAAATATGGGGAAAAAAAAACACTCAACAAAAGGTGAGCAATGCAAAGAGGTTGAGAGAAACAGTGAAGTCAAACATCCCAAAGAAAAAATGCCCCCACCTCCCTAAAGAGAATCGTGAGGAAACGCATTGCATAGCGCCCATAATGGTGTTTCGCACGTGAGAACTCGGCGTTAGGAGGATAGTGTTTTTGTTTTTACACCTTGCAGCCAATAGCACTGTTTGGTGCTCTAGTAGCTAGAGTGCCCGGTTAACAAAATACTATGAAGTGAACGAAACAAACGGCTTTCTCGGCTTGGCGTTGGCGTATCACAGCGGCTTCTCGAGCACACACATCCGGATGTTCTTGAGAGGCGCCCAGCCAGCGAACGGTCAAGAGTGAGGCACAGGGAGGAGAGAGAGCGAATGGCGAGAGAAGCGGCAAAGCACTGCACCTACCCTCTCCTACACTTTCTTGCACCAGATGCTTCGGTGGCAAGGGGCGAGGATAAGCGCTCTCACCCGCTGCTGTTGCTGACAGCTGCCAATGCTGAAGCGTGACATGGGGGGCCCTCTGGTTGCTAGAGACGCGCGCGCCCATTGCGGTTGCTATGGGAGAGGGCAGTAGAAGGATCCCGACGGACGCCTGACATAGCCCGACAAAAAAATCCATTCGCATTTAAAAAAAAAAAACTAAAGGAAAAGCCAAAGAAAAACTATAACTTCGGGCAGGTGCAGGTACAAGTGCAAATGAGTGTGGCTTACGTGCCATCTGTGCAGCCTTAAAGGGGCCCTGAAATATTTTTTCATGTACCGTAATTGCTCGAATATAATGCGCACCTTTTTTCCGGTTAAGCGAGTTCATAAATCGCATGCGCGTTATAATCGAGTACAAAAAAAAATGAATACGGTCATTCTATTGCCATCGACACTTCGAAAATGGCCGCCCCTTATGTGCGTCGGCATGGCGCGTCGGCCATTTCTGCCAATGTGTTTTTGTCACAGAACGAGCGCTAAAAATGGCCGCGCCGCCAAATTCTTGCGATAACGCGCGAAAGAGACGCCACGAGGTCAAAAGAAAAAAAGAAAACAAACATCCAAGGCTCCCCGGGGCGCGCGCTCTCCTCTCGGAAGCGTGGCTTCGCTGACGAACCTCCTCACCCCACAACGGCGGCCTAGCAAGCGCTGGAAAGTTCCAGAAGGAAATAGGCGTGGTCAGACCGAGTTGAGTCATCCGACGCGGAGAGCATTCGAACCATCTCGCCTCTCCCCAGCCTTCGCTGCGTATCGCGCCGACGAAATGAGGAGAACCTTCTGGAATCTCGCGCAGAAGGTATTTAACCGAGCAGCGGAGACGAGGGATCAGGAGAAGACGGAATTTAGCGCCAGAGTGCGTAGGGATCCCGCCGTGTAGTCGGCGAAGGTTTTGTTCGTAGGGACGAAGCAGGAGATGAAGAGGATTTCCACCTGAGGGGTGAAGGCTCGAGCTACAGGAAAGAGCGTGTGTCTACCGCTATCGAGCGAGGACGCGTGGCAACAGCAGCGTGTGTGAAGCCGACGTGTTCGGGCGAAGAAGTTTGAAGCTTGGAGAGTGGCCTATTGAAGACGGGAGGTTTCCTGGAAGAGAAACTTCGGCGAGGTTTCCTGGAAGAGAAACTTCGAAAGCTGCGGAACGACAACAACGCTGGACTTTGAGTGAGTGATTCTCGGAAGAGTATCATCTAGACTTTGGTTCCAAGAACTTTGGACTGGATAGGTTTTCTATCTCTTTAGTCTTTAAGTGTCTTGGTCGTTCAATGCATGAGACTGCATTGTAGTGCGTATTGTTGTCTGTGTCCGTTGTTTTGAGTGTGGCTGATTGTACTGTGTAGTACGTTGTTGGATTGGTGACGTATTGTATGTAACTATTGTGGAGTGTGCATTCTTGTGTATTGTTTTCGATCTGCCATTTTTGAGAATATAATATTTGTTTTGTTTATCAACTCTCGGCTCTGACTTGTTCTTTGGGCCACAGCCGGCGTCCGCTGGCGCGCCAAAAAGGACCACTTCTAAATTGTCCACGCTTTCGTGGTGCGGTTCGGGGGGCCGATACTTCGGCCCTTGGAATTAGCCCGGCGATCGCCTCCCTAATAAACGGGACATGTGCGACAGTTTTCCATGTGCGGCACTTCGTACGTGTGCTGAGAAGTTTGTCATATCGTAGTGCATTAACATCGACGGCATGGACGGGCCGACTCCGAAGGCTCGACGAGGGCACCACGATGCCACTTTTAAAAGAAAAGTCATAGCATGTGCAGAAACGGACGGAAATCAAGCCGCATCGCAGTCGTTCGGAGTTCGGAAAATTTTAAGAATCCGTCCAGTACGAGTGGAGTTACGAGATTTGTCGCGTGCTGCAATTGCATTCTCTTTTCTCTTGTCCTGACAAAAGCGCTAGAAGCTAAGAAGTGAGGGATGGTAGGGGCAAAGAGATTACGTCACGCGCGCCTCGTGAGGTTGAGCACTTTTTTCTATTTGGATTTTAAGTGTGATGTGCATGCACGCGCGGACAAGTCACGGCCTCCCACAGCGATTTCTGGAACGACGGAGCGCGCCATGTTCAAATCAGCCAATGGCTGATAGATGGCCATCTACGAGTGATTTTTGAGCGTCGTCCGTCATTTGTCAAGAGAAGAGAAAGCAATTTGTTAGCTGACTCTGTTAGTTTACTGTGAATTCCAGGCCGCGTACTGCGCTTATAATATTTGGCTCGCGTGTTGTCGGGAGCCTGTACTACCGATTGGCAGCGTTTTCTGATCATTCTCAAAAAGTGTTGCAGGGCCCCTTTAACGATAATTCTAGTACAACATTCCTGTGTTTGTACAGCGTCGCTGTGTCTTCAGAAAGAGGTGTACACTTGCACGCAGTACAATGGTAGGCATAAAACATATCATTTACATTTTAAATGTTAGTGTTATTCTAAATCTGTTGCTTATAATGTGTAAGGAGCTGTATTTATAGCATCGTTAATGTTAGGAATTAATTTGATATATTTACACTTATTATGTGAAGGTTTTCATGTATTCAATGCCATAGCTTCAGATAACCTCTTTAAGCACCTCGGGTAATCCTCAAAGGCAAGACAGTACTACCGTATTTACTCGATTCTACCGCGCCCTCGACTGTAACGCGCACCCGATTTCCATGACGAAAAAAAAAGTAAGACATCGATTGCAACGCGCACCCATTTTTCTTGCTGGCCTGCAGGTTCACACCACTCAAAAAAAGGACTCCTTTCGGGAGCGTCGTCCATTTAAATATGAGGTACGGGGGAAGCTTGTTCCCATCTGACGTGTAACAGAGCATTGCCGTCACTGTAGTTTTATCGTGGATGGACGTCAGCACGCGAACTTGCTTGCGACATCAGGCGAACTTGCGAGGGTTGTGGTGCCAGGCATGTGGAAGTAAAGAGGCGTCTGATCGGCATTCCTGATTTGCCCAAGCAGGTAGCCGTTGTTGTGCCGCAAGTTTAGGATGAACCTCTGAAAACTGTGAAGCTTTTCATCGTACTCCTCCGCAAAATTTTTCGCATATGCCCGTTCATCTTCGGAAGGAAAAGCCTTTCTTCTTCATAAAGTTAGTTAGCGAGCACCTGCTCGCTTTGAACTGGCTCCGCGTTAGCCCTTTTTCTAAGGCTAACTGCGTAGCCCGCACTTGGAGCAGTTCTGTCGTCACGGGCCGCTGTGCCTCTCGCTGCTCAAACACATACTCGCCGAGCAGCTCTTCAATTTGCAGAAACCGATCCTGCAGTGGTCCACTGAAGCCTTTGCCTGAAGCTTTGCTGTCGACAATCTTCTGCTTATGTTTCCGCCAGTCTCGCATGCACGTTTCTGGAACTCCGAACGACCGCGATGCGACCCGATGTTTGCCCGTTTCTGCACACGCTAAGACTTCTCTTTTAAAGGCGGCATCATGGTGCACTCGAGTTTTTGGAGTCGGCCCTTCCATGTCGTCGATGCTAATGCACTACAAGATGACGAACTCCTCAGCACGCGTACGAAGTGCCGCACATGGGAAACACATTGGCAGAAATGGCCGACGCGCCATGCCGACGCACATAGGGGGCGGCCATTTTAGAATTTCGATGGCAATAGAAAGATCGTATTCATTTTTTTTTTCGTACTCGATTCTAACACGCATGCGATTTATGAACTCGCTTATCCGGAAAAAAGGTGCGCGTTAGATTCGAGTAATTACGGTACTACCCGGAAGTAGCAACAACATCCACAAAAGGTCCAATTCGCTGTCATCAATAGTGTACTAGAATAAACTGCCATCTGTGGTGAAATCGAAAATGATAGTATGATTTTTAAGAAATCAAGGATAACGAATTTTTGCTAAATTGTGCATTAGTTTGTGCATAAATTAGCAATCACACAGGGTAATGAGTAGGGCTTCACATTTTATTGTAAGGTGTTATTTCTTTCACTTTTCATAGGCTTTCTATGTTTTTGCTTGTGAGCTGAATATTCTATTTTTGACACTGCTTTTTACACCATACTCAGTGTTGAATTGTTTTTTTTTAGATCGCGCTCATCTTCGTGTGCAGCAGCATTGAAACTCTACTGCATACGTCATGCACCACTCCTGGTTGGACTTAGGGCTACAGCATATCGAAATAAATAAACAAAAATTGCCCGTGTATCTGCATGCTTTACTGCAAATGTTCTCGAAAGACGATAGTCTTCAACAGGCCTCCCTTCGTGCATAGTGTCGCATTTTCAGTGCACTGTAAAAAACACCAGGGTCTTGAGAATCATGCATCTATGCACTTTCTAGTAAAGGAACACACCACGTAATACTTACATGACGATGTAGCGCCTCAAATATGCATAATATTTGCTTATTGCTAGACTATGTTCACAAGTATGAACGGAGCCACCAGTTCGAGATAGCTGGGCATTGAGCAAGTGCTTAAACCTTGCCCGGGTGGCTAAATCATGTGACAGACACAGACAGACATGCCGAAAGACGCAGTCCGAAATTTATGCATTAAAGTATCTCGAGAAAGACTGTCATTGTTTCAAAGGAAAGTCATCTCTTCTCGTGCATCTTCAGGAGTACATGCGAGAGCTTCTGCGGCTGATGACACCGCGCTTCTATGCGCACCTGGAGTGCCAGTGCGAGCACTACCCGGACGCCCTGGAGCTCTTGTTCGTGCATCGCTGGCTGGTTCTGTGCTTCAAGCGTGAGTTTGCCGAGCCGGAGGCCCTGCAGATGTGGGAGGCGTGCTGGGCCCGCTACCAGACGGACTGGTTCCACCTGTTTCTGGGTGCGGCCATCGTAGCCCTGTACGGAGGCGATGTCGTCGACCAGGGCATGCGGCCTGACGAGATGCTCCTCCACTTCAGCTCCCTGGCGGGACACATGGACGGGGATCTGGTGCTCCGTAAGGTGCGTGATGAGAGGGCTTAAACGTACTAAGAAGTGTGGTAACTTACAGGATTGGTTCTCGCGAAACAGCCACCTGGGCAAGATGGGGAACAGGTGTGCTGGTGTCGTCATTCTCATTTCTTATCCCTGCTCTGTACTAGGCTCCATTTCGACAATTGAGGGAGTAATAAGTACATCAAAAAACATGGTGCTCCTTGGCCCTTGCACCACAAAGACCCAACAGCCATAATTGAAAATCGATGTTGATACCCCTCCAACAGCGTGGGCCTCAGTTACAGCAACGTTTCGTGGTCGATGCAGGCACGGGGCCTCTTGCACCAATTCCGGCTCCTGCCGTGGATCCCGTGCACTCTCGCCAGCCTGTGCGAGCTGTGCGGTTCCGGCATGTGGGACAGCGGTCACGTGCCAGTCGTCGAGTGCCGTGGCGGTCACGGCGGCCGGTCCTGTCCATACGGTGGCCAAGACCCCGTGGCGTCACCTGACTCCACCGCCACCAACCATGTTCCCTGATCTTCAGCCTCCGCAGCTCCGCGTGGTGGCAGCTGCATTTTTCCGTTTCTTCGTTTCGCAGACGGAGAGCAGTCGGGGGGAAGTAGCGATGCTTCTTCGTCACACGCGTGTTTGTTCTCAAAAGCTCAGGACTACCTGTTCCCGCAATTGAGAAAGGAAGGGAGAAAGTCCTCAGACTAGTAAGGGGGGTAGAAGTCCGGGCGGATTTGCGAGTAGCTTGCCAACTTGCGAGTACCAAAAAATGCTGGCGAACGAGTTCAGGTGTTCCCACAAGGTGGCAGAATGGTTATGCAAGGAAAAATTGACATTTACTTTTGCAAAGTTACCAAGAAATCCACTCAAAGAAAGAGAAATTGACAACCACTTTTCTGCAGCTCGAAGCCACAAGCTAATCCTTACATATTACTCAGACTCGAAACGTTTCAGGAGTGGTCGCTATGCCATTTGATGAGCATCCGTATAAACTTCAGTGTGGCTCTTCATGCTACAAACAAGTGGTTATAAATTCCCCTTTCTTTCGCGACCCTTCTGCCACCTTGAAGTTCTGCAGCACTGATTTGCAAATTCACATGGATTCCTAGTTCACGGAAAATTCTCGCCTGTAAAGGGATTGAGCCCAGGACCCACGCCTTGTGGCAGTCACTCTTTTCGGTTAGCGAACCATGATGCTGGCCTGTGTAAACGTATCTGCCCCCTTATCGCTGATGCATTTTATCTTTGATATGCAAAGCAGCTCTTTGACTAGCCTGTGTAACACTGTCCCTCCGTCCGCACTGCTCCCCTCGCTGCAGGTGTTGGAGCGGTGCCAAGTAGCTCACACCCTCCTAGCAGTGCGCGGTGATGTCTCTCTCCCTCGCCTGCCGCGCGCTCGCCGCGTGTCAGCTCTCTCGCTTCACCCTCTCCACCGCTCGCAATGCTCGAGCCCACTCGTCATGTGGGCATCATCTCACCCGTGCCACCTCGCTCCATCTGTCGGCGAGAGGAAGCCGCAAGTCGGCAGGAGTGCGCTCCACGCCCGCCTCGAGAGCCTCACGGCACCAACAGTGTAGACAGCACGCTGCTGCTTGCTGCGCGATCGTGCAGGCGGGCGAGACACCGTCGCGGCATGCTTCCCGCTAGTGTGTGCGTACATTTCCCGGCTGTCAACGGCGTTGTAAGGGTTGACGAAGCTGATCGCGCTCGCGAATGGCGACGTCAACAATGACGAGGCGCGAGCTAGGGAAGGCGAACGCAAGCGTCGGCAGTGGAAGACCAGCGACACTGACGAGGTGCGAGTCAAGTACACCATTCACGTTCGAGAATACAGACGGCGTGCAGGTAACACCGACGAAACGCGAGCCAAGGAAGCCGAGTGCACGCATCTTCAACGCGTCCTGCCTCCCTTGTCTTTGTGTTTCAAACAAATGCTTACTCAAGCGTTTACTCAAGTAAGCATCTCCCTGAAGGGGACCCTGATGGGATGCTTCGCATCCCATCAGGGTCTCCTTCAGGGAGATGGTCCATAGTTTTTTACCTTTAATTGCTTCATGTGATACATAATTCTAATGTTTTAATTACTTTTATTCACTTTAGACGCTTTGAACTTTCTGTGACAGGCCACGTGCAAAATTATTTTTGCATTCTCATATACTGTTTAGATGAGACAATTGGGACTAATTTGTAATGCGTTTTAGGGACCGAGTCCTACACGCAACCCATTGCAACGCGGAAAGAAAAAGAAGAAAGTTAAGATTGATGCAGTTACTTACAGCACCGCTTCAAAAGAAATGCTGCACTATTCGCTGTTTCAATAGCCTTTCACGAAAATTATGAGCTTCTGCAGTTTTTCTTTCCAATGAAGCGAATCTTAAGCCTTCTTTGTAGCAATATCAAATGCTCGGTTTTCAAGGAAAGTCATTGAAGTTTTGATGCTACACATCCTTTTGTGGAGATTCTGTGGAACAACCGTTTTTTGAATGGCCCTTTGTATAGTCTGTTGAAAATTTTTATTGACAAAAGTGTTAGTTTGCCTCAGCTTTTATTGGGAAGTTCACTAGCATTGTGAAAGTGATTGGTGTTTTTTTTAATTGTACAGTGCAATGGTTTTTCACTGGCAAAGTTGCCCGCTTCATTCGATCGTTGAACCTAAATTGAAGCTTGCAAATATTGAAGAATAGTTTGTGGAGTAAGCAATCTTGGTAGTTGTCGCTCTGATGAGCAATGAAATTAGTACGCTTGTGAACTAGACGCCTTTTATTCGAAATCATGTTTTATGAGGTCGATGCGCCGCCCGATGTGGTCGTTAAATTGCCCTTTTTCAGGCTGCACTATCTGATTGTCATGAGAGTTGCGGTATATGCGCAATATTTTATATTTTTACAGGCTCATAAGGAAAAGTGTGTATGGCAGGGTGTTTCGAGAAGATATAGATTTTTGTCTAATCTCTCGTGGACTGCTTCATATTTCATGGCTTAGTAAAGGCGTCACTTTCTAGATTGTCACGGCACTTAAAAACACAAATGCTATTATTGCGTTCGTCGCATTCATCTTGATTCGGTTCATTGTGTTTATATGCACACTGGCTTATGGACTGACTGGCTCAAATGTGTTCTAATTCAAATGTCCACAAGGGCATTTGTGTTGGTTCACTCTAAAATGAAAGAGCGTACTTCGAGTGTCTTTCTGTCCCATGGCAGTCACGGTCGTTCATTTTGAGTGCCGTTCATCACATTATTGTCACACGCGCTGTACATCCAGGTCACCAAAGACGTGTGCGCTATCACCGTGATGTAGCGTTAGGGTGAGCGTTCGGTTATTGACGGGGTACCGACACAACAATTTTCGTTCGTCGTTTTCTTGCATCCAGTGATGGAAGTACTGCTCCGATTGCTCCAAACTGCTCCAAAAAAAAAATGCTGCTCCAAACAGTAATATTTCTTGGTAATTGCTCCAAACTGGCTACGAAACGACGCTGAGAGAATGAGAATGACAAACTTTTACGGTTTCCCAGACTCGTAAGTCCTAAGGAAGCTGAAAGGAGTCTGTGTATTATCGTCCCTGTATGCTACTAGTGTGCATAAATATCGCCTATCATTTCATTTATGCAACAAGAACTGGCATATATTAAGCATATAACTCATTTGGCTGTTTTTTTTCTCAGCTAGACATGCAGGCTAGTGTGGTGAAATGCGAAAATGAGCAGGATTGCTTTTATGTCATACCAATTATTTACTGCTTATTTGGCAGCAGTAATATGGGACTGTGGTTGCTTCTAAAATGTGGCACTCAGCCTTTTCTATTTGATTTGGTTTGTGCCAAAAATACTAGTATTTTAATTTTTACCTCATTTCACTGCAATTTTTGACAACCAGCCATTGATTGCTACGTGAAATTTGCATTGATTGTTGCCTGTTAAATATATTTATTAAGAATTATTAATATTTACACTATGCTTTGACAATGCTTAAACTCCAGTTAATGTACGGCAAATCGAATATCTGCTCCTAAAACACCAATAGCTGCCCTAAACTAGCATTTTTTTTCTGCTCCGCAAAAACTTATGGCTGATCCAAGGCACTACTTTTTCTGCTCCAAAGTAATATGCTCCAAACAGTAAAAAGTCACCTCTATCACTGTTCATCAAATGAAAGGCCTAGCCTTTAAGAACCTAGAAAATGAACTGCCAAGCGCGAGTCTACCCTGAAAAAGTAATTACAGTACTGTACCCTGACCTCGCAACACTGTATGAGCTTCCTGTCATGGGCTCCTGCAAGTCCTTGTGACGTTTTTGCAACTGCTTTGTACCATGGCTCCGTTGGCGATGCTCAAGTGGTCACTTTGAATGTTGTGGTGACGCGCAAGTGGCCGTTTCAGAAGTTTGGGTACCTGACGTCATCATAACTAGCCAAACTGCTACGTGAAGTCGTCAGAATTAGTACTGTACCCTGACATTAAGCTAGAGCCGATGCCGGTGCGTGCATCGTGGGGAAATTTACTTTAATATTGAAATAAAATATCTTAACAGCATTTGCTGGGTTTCACGCTTGCTCAGACCATCTCTGTATATACACTCGAACCTCGATATCATGAACCAGGATATAACGAAATACTGGTTATAACGAAGTAAACGAAGAACAGTCGTGCAATAGTATTCATAATATACATTTATAATGAATTTCCGGATATAACAAATTTATATTCGCGTAAGATGCAACTTCGTTATAATGAGGCTTGAGTGTAGTCTATAGGGGATTTGTACGGATGAGTAAATTCACCTTCGAAAAATGATGTCAGTACCTTTTTAAGAAATGGAAACGCAAGCTAATTGGTCGTAAGTTATTGCGAGTGGTTAAAAAGGAGGCCTGTCTTAGTGATGTAAAGTATTTTCAGACTGTTTGAATGTGCTTCGTTTGTTTTTGAGAACGAGTAAACTGGATCTCACATGGTCAATGCCCAAATCATTGTTTTAATGCTATAGTTCAAGAATAATTAGGCTTGCATGTTTTACATTTTCTGCCCTAGTCAAAATCATGCGAAAAGTTTGCATAGTTTCAGAATTCAAACGAGACTGAAGTTGTTTGACAAAGAGTTGGAGGATGAAAAAAAAAAAATTATAGAACAGAAAATGCCATCGGAGTCGACACTTTAACAAGTATACTTGTCTTGTCGAAACATTGACATTTGCATGCTTAAATTTATGATTTCATGCCTCTCTTAAACTATTTTTTTAAAATTTCTGCATGATGTTTCGTGTCTGCACTATCTGTTGTGTTTTGCAGTTTGCCGTTCACATCAAGTGAGCGTGTAAACATTTTAAGTTAGTGAAAGTGAACGGCACGTTCACTTTATTTCAGAAGGAGTGGTTCTATCTATGGTTTGAGAAGAAGCTTTAGCTCTTACTTTTCTCACTAAAGCACAAGCAAAATGCAAGCACAAGCTTCACAGATAACTGTTGAACTGAACTGAAAGGCCTTGTTTGCAAGTGTGAACAGTCATTAAATTTTACGTGATGCAGTTCAATTATTTTATGGAAACTCAAACAAGAAGTTATTGCAGGAAATCGTGGTTGGAATTTCACAATTTGCCTGTGGGGCCGTGTGAAGAGTGTCTAGAAAAAGAAATATTAGTACACTCAACAACCCGAACAAACCCAGATATATTGAAATATCGGTTATAGCGAAGTAAATGAAGAATAGCCTTACAATAGTGTTAAGAATATACCTTTATAACGAATGTTCTGGTATAACGAACCCATTTTTGTGTAAGGTGCAATTTTGTTATAACGAGATTCGAGTTTAATTTCCATGTGACAGTATTAGGTAGATTCATCTCCAAATTGGGTGCTTGACTAGATGAAACACATTGAAATTATGTTATTTAAGCAAGATAAGTGGTTAACTTAAATCACAAGTAAGTGACAGAGTGTGTGGTGAACTTGACTGTTTTTGAATACTGTTTTGATCGAATGTCTGACAATTATTTAAAAATCTTTAGTTTGAGCACTGGAGGTGAAAATGTTTGATGCCCGCGTACTCAGATTTAGCTGCACGTTAAAGAACCCTCGGTCATCAAGATTTCCAGAGACCTCCACAACGACATCCCTCAATAATTTCATGCTTTTGGGGAACATAATGCCAGATATTATTAAAGTTAATTTGAGAACGTTAGTAACACTAACTACCAACTGTTAGCAGAATTGAGCTTAATTACCCTGAAGGCATCGTATTTAATTCAATAAAGTGCCGCAGTTTCTTAAGAATATTGTGCATGCATTTGTTTATTCTGCATGTCATTCATTAAAATGTAAGAGCTAAGGCTTTTTCTTATCACTTCCTATGTGTTATTTGAGGTATTCCAGGGCTTCTGGTTTTATGAAGAAATGACATTCCTAAAAGTGATTCTAGTCAGTTTCAAAGTTGGACATTATTCTAGTGAAAATTAGTCCTTTAGGCTAATTAGTTGGAATTTGTTTTTGTGTAATTGCAACTTCCATTATTGGATTCCTCATTCATGGTTCCTATTTTCTGTAGCATTGTACGCTACTTAGCAGCAACTGTTGGAATGCACAATTTGATTTTCAGTGCGTGACTTGAATTTTTTTGTGCACCAGCTCAGCTGAAGACGTTCCATCAGTTGGACGTGTTTATTTCCCATTGACTAGTTGCCATTTACAAGTTCCCATTGGACTACTTGACCAGTTGGACTTCCTTATTGAACTATACTCAGTTTTTGCAGTGTTCACTTTTAAAATTTTTAAATTTCCTATTTTTGCTGGTTTGCATGCATTCTATGATATTTGATGCAAGTTAGCAAATATCATTCCGTTACTCTTTGAACAGATGAATCTCTATATGACATGGATGCAACGAATCATTGCATATAATGAGCTAAACAAACTGTTCCACCACTTACATCAGCAAGCACAAATATGTGTGTACTGTGAATCATGGCAAAATGATTACTTTTCCCGACGTTGAAGCAAGTCTCTTTCAGTGATGTTCAAATATATTCAGCATACCATCAAAATGCAGTTCGAGACACCATTTGTTCCAACCCTTACTACAATAGTTTTGTTAAAGTGACTCTCTTACTCGAGCTTGCTTTAAAATTTTTTCCTGTTGAAAATGGGAATGCACTGCATTCCTTTGCAACCTTCTTCACCTTCTTATTTACATTTCTCATCTTGAATCAGTGAGCTATGTGATCCTAATGCACGAATCTCATTGTGCAGCTTCCAAAAACGACGGACTTTTAGCTGCAAAGCAAGCTACATTACACTTGCCTGTACAAGCAGATGTGATGCGACATGTGCATGGCACGATTTTCATGTAAAGTGTTACATGGCATGTATTGTTAAACACTCTCTATACTGACAGCCATGACTTGATTTTCTATCTACATTTTTCTTGGATCGATTCTAGGTTCTACATCTAGATCGATTCCACATTTGTGATGTAATGTTTGCCTGGTGATGAGCATCCTGTGGTGAAGTGTGATACCGAGAGTACAAGGGTTTAGAAGAGTAAAGAAGAAATAGAAATTGCAGCTTTATTTTAATTATTAGTCTTGTCAAATGACTTTCTACATGGTTTCAACTTTTGAGAGTAACTGTGGTTTAGTGCACTTCAGTCAGAGCACATGCGACCATTGAATTCCCTGGAAGAAGAAATTTGAATGTACAGTTCAGCATCGATGTAATGAGTTCGGATATAGCGAATCACTGTTTATAACGAAGGAAACAAGAAATAGGGTTGTCATCACTACAGTGTTAGGAATATAACCTTACAATGAGTTCTTGGACATAGTGAAGTTACTTTCATGCAATACGCGACTTCGTTAGGACAAAGTTTTGCTGTATTGATCTTAAGCTCTTAACTATTTCATTACGTTGTATTCAATGTCGCTATAAAAAGAATAATTGATCAGTAGTGTAGTCAGTTTTTAATGATGAAGGCTGATGCAGGTTTAGTTCTTAAAATGCTAAAGCAGTGAAGAGCTCAGCTAGGCTGTGTGTGTGTTTATGAATGAAAAATGCCGTACTCAATTGTAGTGAGCAATGTACATAAGAACTGTAGGAGAACTGAGTGTGAGTGTAAAACAGCTTCTTTCTTCGTTGCAGCTGCCCAGGAAAAAAATAGTGTTTGTGTGATTCTCTCGTCTTAAAAAATGTGCTGGCACAATTTGTGAATGGTAACGCAAATCTTTTTGTTCCATTGTACATAAAGTGTTGTAGTTGCGTGCAGTGTAATTTGCCTTGTGATCTAGCCCTTGTATGTGCAATTTTTATGTCGCAGTGACCATGACGTGCAATCTTGTCATGGAAGCTGTTCTTTTTTTGTGCCATTACTGCTATGAAACGTGCAGTTTTCCCGGTGGCGTAGGCGGCAATCGATTTGAAAGAAAGAAGTCGGAAGACTTGCAGTGCAGTAACGCACAGGCATGACGAAGTCTAGTCGTCTCGACGTGCCAGATTTTGTACATATTTTGTACGCATGCTCTCAATGCGCAAATTTTGCAAGGAAAAGCCGGGAGTAGAGGCACCGTCGTGAAGGTGTCAAATGAGGCATCGTTGTTGCAAGAACAATCCTTAGCATTGATAGTAAAGACTCCTTGCGGTAGTGGAGTTTGGATAACAAGCAAATTGTATTGAGCACTGGTGACTACCGGGACAGTCAGGGCAATTACTTATATATGCTGTAGCTATTGGAGGACCTCTTCTGTCTTCATTCATTGCAAGTATGTTCACGAGGTTGATGAGCACCAGCGTTTGGCGGATAATGTAATGCGTGCGGGAGATACATCACGCTGGCGAGAAATGTAGCCTGTCATTGTAACAGTACCTGCTTGAATGAAAGTGTAGCATTGTCTATGTATCGTTGCCTCACTAATGCCCTACAGCACTGTGAAAAGCTCTGAGGTGCATCAGCCAATCGGGACAGAGATCCAAGAAATGCCTCTCCACTGTTCACAACTGATCATCCTCTTTGCGAAGCCAGCTGAGAAGTATCGTGGTGAAACGCAGTGGAGTGTAGCAAACAAGCTGTCCACTTCTTGTCCCAAGATTACTGGGCGGTTATTGCTCACACTCGATTGGCTTATATGTGCCCCGTAACCTTTGTTGCAGTGCATGGAATTAGCGAGATGAGATACGAAGATGTCACAGAAATAGATGTGCTGATATTACTGAGGTAGTGATCGTCTTATGCGGGAGAGACGAAAGCGGAGTCCTCCAGAAGAGGCCCTTGTGGCTATGTGGTGGGGTGAGATGAAGATAACGACTTTGACAACGATTAAGGTGACGATTTGTACATTGAATTGTGCGTCGCTTAGATTTTGTGCTTGTAGGAGCGAAATTCGAAGGTGTAGTGTCCTGTGAAACGTGGGGAAGTTGGTGTGTTGGGAGAAATAGTGCAAAAAAAAAAAGAAAAGAGTAGTGTTGTGCAGCCTAGTGATGAACTCAAGAAGTACAAGTTTACATGTAAGGAAATTATTTTTTTCTTCCTTTTTTTTATTTTCTATTCAGAGACTTTCGTGATTCTAGTCATTCAGATGTAGTTGACTTCATGGCAAAACCTTAAACACAGTCCTGTGTTGGTACAGGGCCATTTTTTTTTTCCACCTCTTGTTTTTTCACGGAGTGGTAGTAGATGCAAAGGCCGCTGTAATAGCTCAGTGGTTAGAGCATCGAACGCGTTATTCGAAGGTGGTAGATGCAAGCGTATTGCATTAGGGTATCTTTTATGTCATAACTAGTCATTACTACTGAAACGAAGTCAAGAAAAATCAAAAGTGGCACTCTTTTATTGCATTGAACTTTTGCTGTAGAGGCAGCATCTTTCAATGCCTTTTTTTTATGTTTTTTATCCACTTTCTTAACACTGGAGATTACCCGGTCAAGTGTGCTAGATAGGCTCTCGGTATTAACCGCAACACTTGGTACATTGCAGTCACCACCTTCTGTTCAGTGAGATGCTGCAGAGACCTCAAAGAGATTTTACTTCCCCATACACAATGAAATCAAAATAGTTCATTGTTGAGAGCAGTTAGTTCCGTTTGACGTGCTTGAAGCTTTTATGTTGTTTGGTGTTGTCCTGTTGTCTGTGTCGCTCATACTTTTGCTCTCAAAGAAGAGATTGCTTTTTCTGATCATCATTTTATCAGTGGCGGCAGAAACAGTGCCATACAGTTTAATGGCGGTATTTCTAAGGAATTCAAACTTTAAGAAACCCTGTTGTTAAAAAAAATATAGTCGTACCGTTCTGGCTTGTTATAGAAAAACCTTCTTATACACACCCAGCCATGTCTGAACATGTGGTTAATTCACATGCAGTATATATATAAAATATAGTTTGAGATGGCTTTCAACAACTCTTCGAAATTCATGTATAAATTGGGAAAATAATTCTAGATCGATGAGTAGTTTTTGTCTATTGTTAAGCCTTTACTGCTTGCCCAGTTATAAAACAATGGGTTCTGAATGACCACTATTAAGTTAGTGTGGGGTATATGCAAATTCTCCAAGTTTTTTTTTTATATTTGAGTTTGTTTACTGAATAGAATTACATACTGATACAAACCGGCTAAGATACAAAATATGAGGTTTCTTAATGTAAACCATATAGTGAGATGTCCTATAATATACATGAGAAAACTGACAGGCTAAAACAGAAGCAATCGTTCTTTTCTCTGAACATTTAACCAGCTTTTTTTTTTTTGACATACACAACATGATGATGGTGTTCGCATCTCCCTCTCTACGCACATTGACCATTTCAGTGTAAAACATTCTTTCATAATTTTATCCCACGACACTTTTTATTGCTGCTTGTGCAATGTATCTGCCTGCCGTGTACATCTGCATATTTGTAACAGCGGTGTGTACACATCCGCAGAGTGATCATGTGCCTCAGCATGTGCATATATGTACAGCTATGCATATACAGGAATAAAGGTTATGATAAAGCTCTGATGAAGTCACGTTTTTTCATCGTGGAAGCAAGTGGGTGTACTTGCTTCTACTGCAAGGCACAACTGAAGTTGCAAGTTGTATTCAAGGCTCCACATAACAAACCTGGATGTAACGATATACCAATTATAACTAATTGAAGCATGGTATTGTATTAGATACAGCAGTATGAATATATATTTATAACAAATCTTTGTATATCATCATCATCAGCCCGACTATGCCCACTGCAATACAAGGGGCCTCTCCCATGTTCCGCCAGTCAATCAGTCCTGCGATTCCTGCTGCCACATTATACCCACAAACTTCCTAATCTTGCCTGCCCACCTAGCTTTTGGATATAACGACTGTAATTTTGTGTAAGATGAAATGTTGTGATGAGTTTTGAGTGCAGTACACGATACAATATATGTGACTGCTACCTTCATGTGGTTAAAACTCGCATATGTATTCACCTAGATTGAATCAAAGGACGAAATGAGCCATTTTTTTCTTCTCAATCGATGTATTGATCCTTTGCGCCATCCTCTAAAAGCTATTTGCACGTAACGTGGTTCTGCACTGCCTTCAAGATTGGAGGCATTGCAATCTTTCCGCACTTAACCTGGTTTTGCACTACCTCTTTGATCAGTCCACCTTTGACCGCATGACGTTGTCCTGGGAAGATGTCGCCACGTGACGTCACGTTATTATGTCAAGTCATGATGGCGCCAGTACGGGATCAATCTACATGCGAAGCAGCGTGTGCGGCGTGGCCACCCTTAGTGCGTGTGCGCAAAAGCTGGCTTAAGCACTGCCAGAATACACTCACCCGCTAGCGCGTTCCAGTCCGTGTAAGGGGGCGGGTAAGACGCTGTGGCCTCTTTGCATCACGCTCTTTCAGCAATCATGTGGATGCGTCGAGGTACGAGACTCTGCAGACGCGCGATGAGCCAATGCGTTGTGTGCTATTCAGAACGCGCTAGAGCGTGCGACCTGCGTAATTAGTGGCCAGGCGTTGTAAAAGGCTGTGGCCTCTACACCTTACTCTCTCAGTAATTACGTGATGACGTCGCGGAACGAGAATCTGCAGACGCGCGATGAGCCAATGCGTTGTATCTTGGTCAGAACGCGCTGGCGCGTGTGGTCCTGCGTAAGTGGCTGTGTAAAAAAATGTGGTTTTTCTCCTTGCTCTCTTAGTAACCACGTGATGGCGTCTGGATACAAGATTCTGCAGACGCGCGATGAGACAACTCGTATCCTACAGAACGCGCTGGCATGCACTAGCGCGTGCGGGCCTGCGTAAATGGCTGTGTGAAAGGCTGTGACCTCTCCCCCTTACTCTCTCAGTAATCACGTGTTGGAATAGGGGAACGAGATTCAGCAGACGCGTGGTATCCACAGAACGCGCTAGCGCGTTCACTTCTGCGTAAGTGGCTGTGTAAAAGGCTGTGGCCTCTCCAACTTACTATCTTAGTAATTACGTGATGGCGTCTGGAAACGAGGATCTCCAGACGCGCGATGAGCCAACGCGTTGTATCCTAGCAGAACGCGCTGGCACGCATTGGCGCGTGCGGGCCTGCGTAAGTGGCTGTGTAAAAGGCTGTGGCCTCTCCCCCTTGCTCTCTCAGTGTTGGCGTTGGAAAATGAGATTCTGCAGACGCGCGATGGACCCACGTGCTTCCGCGTGGCGTGGCGATGAACCCGCGTGGCATTCTTTAACAATAGTTCAGAACGAGTAACAAAATACAGGTAATTTATGGTGTGCTACTTTTGCAAAGACGTCGTAGCATCAGGCAAGGTGCTGGTGATGAACGGAAATATTAAGTCGACTCACTTTGAAGCTACTCGTGGTTTCATTTAGTGGGAAATGTTGCGATTTTTCACATCGCTTGTGTTGACGCCGGTGAATTTTTGCGTTTAATTGGGCATCTAAGGCTTTAGATTTAGTAACCAGCTTGACCAACTTAACTACATCGTGATTACGGCAAAAGGGGATCGTGGTTATGTATTTCATCAGCGGCGTAAATCACGGGGAGCGTTCAGAGGGGTCCTGACTCCCCTCCCTTGCGTTGAGGATGACCAGGGCACCCCTTGCAAGTGTCTCCCCTTGAGATTCCTGTTCCTAATTGAGTTGAGTTAGTAGATTCTCCCTCTTGGTCCACTCGTGTATCACTGCCTCAAAGTGTCTTGGCATGTAGTAGAGTCAAGCCCAATCTGAGCTACAACTTTACATGTAAGTTACTGCAACATATGCAGCCCGTGGGCAGAGTGGTGCCAGCACTACATGGTAGCGACGATTTTGAAAACATTAAGCGTTTCAACTACTGTTATTTGCTAAACCAGTTTCACGTTTACTGGTGTTACGGTGTAGGTATGGGGCTCCTGAAACCTTGTCGCGATTCATATTGACTGCCACTACATGATACATTGCTGTTTCAAGGTGCAAACTAAAAACACGAAGAGATATGTAATGCTTATAAGGGCAAAATGAATATATATTTTTTGCCAACATTCGCACGAACAAAGCTTTCCAAACTCTGCGTACAGGCAGCGCCGTATTTAGAAATTTTTTTGAGGGGAGGGGGGGGGGGGGCACCTCCATGATCACGGGGAGGGCAACCCCTTAAAATGGCCGTTTCCCGCTCTCTATGCCACGGCGAAAAAGATTTCTGGGGGAGGGGGGGGGGGCAACGAGTCCCTTGTGCCACCCCACGGCTACGCCCCTGAGTACAGGTGAAAAGCAGAAACTTATTTTCCTACACTTATTTATTTTCGGTAAGGTTTCAATGCGATGACAGCATCGCGCAAGTGTTGTAGCACCGTATCACGTACAAGCTGGTATTATCAGATCTGTTTCTCTTCAACTCGATACACATCATGTCCTCGCGCCGTTCAGGGCATGACAGGTCCGTCACATAACTACAACCATGACATCCTATGTCCAAGCTTCGCCGTCAAGCGAAGCGATAGTTGTCCACCATCCATTTGTGGAAGGATATGCAGCATCACTGTACTCCACGATGCGAAGCTGGCGCAGATGGGCTTTGAAGAGTCGTCCAAGCTAGGCCTAAAATTTTTCCAGGCATCATTTTGACATCGTTCGGCGGGCTGTGCCGTACAAAAACAGGTAACCGTGTTTCAAAGCCGCGCACAACGCCGAAAAAGGCCTATATATATCGACATCAGCATACTCTAGAATTTTGGCTTTTGTAGACCTCATTCGGTCATCCTTGACAAACTTGCTTCCGGCGCACGACGTTTCTTTTTTCGTGTAGAAAGCTTTCGTTCTGAGCTATGTCTTGTGAACTGCTCGTAGGTTCGTGCTGCAAACATGTGCATGACAGTTACACGTTAAAAAAAACACCTCCTCTGCCTTTCAGGCTTCTGCAGAACTTGTTTGTCTCACGAAGACTTGAAGAGCTCTTCCGGACTTTTCGCAACAGTCTCGCTTCAAGCGCCATTCTTAAGAAGGGTCTGTGAACCTACGGGATAAGCGGTAGCCTATCCTCGAGGTCACTGTTGGAACGATGCGCGGGTGTCACATGACTAACAGGTACTAGGCGTTTCCGGCATCGCTCGATGGAACTGTCCGTCGATACAGTCCAACGAGAATCTATCCCTCCGACGCGTGCGCTGTTTGAAGGCATGACGCTCACATTCGAAAGACCGCCGCCGAAAGCGGCGAATATCCTCAACATACAGAAGACTTGGGTTCGGTCACTGTTAAAATCACGCATTTCGCTTTCGCTGTGTCCGCCGTAACGTTCGTAGTGGCAGCGCCGTCAGTCACAGAAACGGTTGCACTTTCCCCGACAACTGCGAGGGACGAGGTCGTCGCGTCGCGTACGCTGGGACTTCTGGAAGGAGTGAGCTGGTGTATGTTGGCCACCGCTTCATCGTAGCTAGGAGGTGCGTCGATGGCCCACACCGGCTCGACGCTGCTCACCACCACGACCCTTGGCGGGAGCCGAGGGCCGTTCTGGATGTGGTCGCACACGGCCACGCACGAGGAGATCAGGAACAGCGTACCGCCGACGCAGACTAGGCCTAGACCAGCCAGAAAGACCACGTCCAATCGCGTTCGCGACGTGACGCTCAGAATGAGCGGAACCATGCCGATGACGATGAGGAACAGGCCGACGTTGAAAGTGCGCCAGGAGTTGCGAGCCAGCGCCGAAGGTAGCCGGAACTTGACCATCGCCGGTGTTGTCGTCTATAATGTTCTGCGTGGAAGAAAAAGAAACTTCATTTTAGTGAAGTTGGGTAAAGATGAATTCAATAACTATATCTAGGTGGTACTATTTAGCACAGGTATAGTAACGGTGGAGCCGAACCACGAGATTGAAGTAACTAGAAGAATAAGAGTGGGGTGGAGGAAGTTCGCCAAGCATTCTCAAATAATGAATGGCAGATTGCCACTATCTCTCAAGAGGAAGGTATATAACAGCTGCATCTTGCCGTTACTTACCCATGGAGCAGAAACCTGGAGTATTACAAAGGGGGTTCAACTTCAGTTGAAGATGATGCAGCGAGCAACGGAAATGAAAATGATAGGCGTACCGTTCAGTGCAGGGTACGTAGCGTGAAAGCAAGAAATCCGTTGGCCATTGTAATGGTAACAGACTGGATTGCAAGAGTAGGCAAACGTGCGAGGTAGAGACAGAAAATTAGGTGCACAGATAAAATTAGGAAGTTTGCGAGTATAAAGTGGCAGCAGCAAGCACAGGACCGAGTTGACTGGCGGAACATGAGAGAGGTCTTTGTCCTGCAGTGGGCGTAGTCAGGCTGACGATGATGATGATGGTTAGGCCCAGGGCTCCGCTGGCTTTCGCCGTCCGGCGGACCTGATCTAGGAGTGTGCATTGGGTTTCCGGGCCCCAACTAGCGAGGCCAGTCTCCCTCTTCTTTTTCGAATACATGCTACAACTTGGAAGTTTGTCTAAACATTTTGGTTTTTGTTCACTCCTCCGCAAGATGTGGAATAGCGTCCCACATCTCCTTTTCGAAGTCTATGCTATGAT